GAGAACGTGACTCGTTATGAAAGTCACTCCTATTAAACACATTAGTACAAAAAAGTGTCAACATAAAAGGCATTCTAGATGTGATAACACCAAGAATAAAATGTTATGTGAAGTTTAGTAATGATTTTATATTATAGATTATTTTTGGCGAAGTAGCCGAAAACTATCTACAAAATTAAATTTTAACAGTGCTGGCACTTTAAAGATTATTTTCACTTATAAAGAGAAAAGAAAAAGGGGAAAGACAAGACTGTTAATACTAAACATTTAATGAAATGCAGGTGGTAAAGATATACGTTTACATCAATCTTCTTTGAGGGGCTGGTAACAACTTCGCATCAACATAAATACCAGTTGCAGTCTACATAAGACCCTGACATTTTATAGATTATGAAATTCATTATCGTCCTGCACGAATTAATATTTTTGACAACATATAATGAGTAGAAGGGATGAGCTTGTTACTTTCCATCTTATATTATTTGAAGAACATCTGGTTATCTCTTAATTGCATTATAGGGGGCTCTTCACACTACCAGAAGGTTGTCTGCAAGATAAGGATTTAAGCTTTATCCTCGTGTAAACCGAAGCTTTGTGGAAAGTCTTGCGCTCGAGATCCAATTAGCCGAAGGCTGAGGCATAATTGGGACGAGACCGGTTCTCTTCTATCGGCACTTTTTACTCGGCGTGCCTGAGATGTGTGGCATCTCGTATACTCGGAACAAGGCGACATTGCGGGAGGATGGACCGCATTGTGTTAAACTATAATGAGGTTGCTGCACGAAAATGACTTAACGCGATGGTCGGGAACTCATTAGGAACATGAACATGTATTGTAGTTTATAAATAGCCTCGTTGAAGAAGGATCAATCAGCGATCAATGTAAACTGACAATAACACGATAGTGATCCTGGTTCAAGTCCGTCAGTGTGTTAGTCTTTTAGTCGCAGACGGCGTGGGCGATGTGGATAGTAAAACAGCGTCCTGATTGTGGAACAAGTGCGGCATAAATAACTGAGACAATAGTAGCAAATGAACTGAATTGTAATGTAAACACACGAGTGGGACGGAAATGGGAGGCAGTATGGAGAGATTGATATTATGAAGCAGATACTAGAATTAAATACAATCGATACAATAAACTAATATTAGAGATACAAATGAAAATATGTTTAATATAAAGAAATGAGTTAAACATTTAAATGTCATTGGTACGACTATGTTTCATTACCAGTTAGATACAACTCTATCAAGATAGGTGCTTTAATTCCGAGTCTATGAGCGCTTATAATAACGTTATCGTTACAAAATTTCACTGTCTACTTCCCGCTACAACCAGTCACGAATTACCATTTGACTCAAATGTATGCAAATATGTATGCAACCTAACGAGCAGTGGTTTAAGTTGAGTTATACTTATAAATAAGTATATTAAGTAACAAACAACAACGTTAGTATCATTATAAAATAACTAAACAATTATATAGAATGAAATATATTATTAATACCAAAGGTGTTAAATTATTTTATAGTGAAGAAAAATCTAATAAATAAATACAAAATATTTGGGATATACTTATCATTCTAACAACTAAATCTGGCAAAGCTTCGCGTCTTCGTCCTCAGTTTTCAATGGTTCATGATTCGTAATCCTATGCCATAGTTATACCACACAATGTATACACACAACACCGACTGATCCTGTGATTTCGAGAATACAAGACGGCTAACAAGATATTCATATTTTGTATTAACCGGAAGTGTACCTGAGAGATCTAATACTGATAATTCTCTGGACAATCTCTAGCTGCATCTTTATAAGTTTTGTACACATGGAACTTAAGCATATAAGGATTAAATTGAACTGACTCCAAGTGTTTATTTAATAACGACTTTAGATTCAAATTTTCTTATTTTCTGCTCAATAAAGTAAATAATTATATGTAGTAAATAAGAACTTTATAATCTTTAAATTCAATTTAATTTTGACTTGTATTTAAGGTCATATAGACACCTGTAAATTTATGTTGTCCAAGTATATCTTATTTGTTGTAATACAAACTATATATCGATTTCAAATATTTATTTTCTAACCTAGCGAGGGTAAGTGACCGGTGATTCAGCATTCATCATATTCCGAAAATACTACCGGCTTCATGGCGACAATCTATTCCCGTCGCTGCTCTTTGTACATAGAGTGTATTGTCAATTATTGTACGTAACCAGTCAGCAGGCAGCTTTGTAATTTGTGCTCGACTGGTCTAAATCTGTACCATGACTGCGACCCTCTTCTTAGGAACGTCTACTACTATTTATTCCTACCCCATCACCGATTCATTGATGTGGGGAAAACGTATTTTAAACTTGTATTTTTTATGACGACAGCTTTATATTTATTACCATGCGATCTTGATTGTAACTGTAATCATGTTTCCAATAATTTCTTTGACCAAATTATATTTGATTGTTAATCACACTTAATCTTTAATTACTATGAAGTTTTATAGCTGTCTAAACAGCTGTAATCAACTGTTGTACATCTATCATTCGGCATCTATTGCTATAACAGTATCCAACACTTCATTTGTAAGTTGTATTTCACTGTATAATCCAATGTCCGCTAGACTGGTTCAAACGACACTCAATCTCTTTAATTATTCGTCTCGCTAATGTTTAATTTTCATTTCACTATATTGACTTGCAATGATTTATTTATGCAATTAGTTTGAGCTAATAAATGATTAGTAGACTTTTAGAGCACTTTTAAATTATTATAATGCTTTCATAATCGTTAAGTAGTTGAGAAATAAAGTGTAATTTATAGATTGAAATTGTTGAATTGAATCAAAATTGCTGCTTTGGACTACAACAGTTTTGAATAAAACACGACCAGGGTTTAAGAGATGTGTTTATTGATCAATCAAAATGTATAACTTCAAACAGGTATCGGGTCTGTAAATGTATAGTGTAGTACAATAGTGAACCTGTGGGGTTGGAACGCGTGCCTAATCGTATGAAACAATGCCCTTCTGAGAAGCGCCCTACCTGCAGGGTGTGAGAGCAGGGTGGCCCTACAATACTTGACCATCCGTCAAGGTTTCAAATGCGACACACCGTTACTCGTTAATTCAGTAACAAAAATTCTGAATAATCATATTTATAAGAGACTTTTAAGAGTATAGTATTAATAAATAATTATGTCTCCTACAATGCTATATAACATAGTTTCAAGCATTTATTTTTATACTATAACATTGTTTCAAGCATTTATTTTTACAAATATTTATCAAACTTAGTAAGAGGACGAGTTAAAACAGAATAAAAACTCTCATTGCGACATTTCTGACGCCAAAATATTCATTTAACCAGTATAATCAGTTTACTGAGTAATTAACTCATTTCTTTTAATGAATCAGTGAGTGAGTGAGTGTGAACTGGTAATCGTATATGACAATGCATCACTCACGGCCGCGCTATCTCCGAGCTATAAATAAGCTCACATTGATGCAGCGCACGCGCCTGACAATACCCTGTACCAAGACGGGATATTCATTAATAAATTATATACACTATCGCTAAATTGTCGTTTTTTGTTTACATGCATTTAACAATACAGTTTTTCCATAGTACTAACAAAGTAAAATGTCAGAGACCGTCAGCTTTATAAATAGGTTGATAAGTTGCTATGATTTTGGTATAATATTAGAAGAGGGACGGAATAAAATGAAATTATAACAGATATTATATACTTTAAATTTGAATTTAGCTATATTTCCCTCAACTATTAATCATGACATTTGAATGCCTAACAGTAAGCGAAAAGGATTACACGTAAGCTATTAATGCTATCAATCGGATTAAGGACTATTTTAAAGTTAGTACAGATTTGACACAACCAACCAATTGTATATTAATTGTAAGAATATTAGCATGTTTAAAAGCAATATTTTATACAACTGCAGTAAAATCAAAAACACGTAAGTTTATCTTGAATTCTAACGTTTCTTTCATATACTCATTGATTCATTTTATTCCTAAAATTTACAGTGCTTTACATTGTACTTATAAAACATTGTATTTATAATAATATTGGCAACCAAAACCAATGAATAATCTGGTGGTATACCATGTTCACTTATTTTTTTAAATATTACATAGACGCTAACACAAATTTATTCTTCATCCAACGAACAGAATACGCATTGAGAATAATCCAGTCAGAAAAACCTACTATATTAAATTATAATTATAATCTCTTTCCAAACTACCAGGAATACATAAGTATATAGGATCATTTAAATTATTAGATATAAGTCGAACGTACTGATAAGGCATTCAATTAACTTGAATAAAAATACCGATTACAATAGACATATCCCTCTCATCTTCCAGCGATCACGATTACTACAAATTGTTAAGGGACAAATTATTTAATGCATATATAATGAAACTCTTGGGAGGAATTCTTAAATAGATTTTTGTTTAAATATTATATGTACATATATTTCGTAGTTTATGTCATCGATGTGATGTTAACTATGGAGGATTAATATGAGTTTTGTGAAGATTCTCCTCCAAAGAACCTATCAGTGTTGAATATATTTCTCATCCAGCATCGCTCCTCCCGTCTGCTCCACACCTGTTCAAACTGGTTTCGGTTCACAGTTCACGAGACGATAATGGACGTCCGATCGAGCGTGGATTATGTTTAAAACAAACTGCATCAGAATATCTCAATTTAAATATAAATGAATCACGCCGTCCGTGTGACCTAACCTTTGAATTAAGTCGTACTTACCGAGGCTCGACTTTAATATGCGCTTCAAGTATCATTGGCTTTTTTATCTACCATAATAAAATCCGTTATTGAAATTCAATATCCAATTAAATATATTTCAAGATAATGTTTCATATGAACAAATAATTCTACAATCCGTCTAGTTTTGCGTTGTTATTCGATATAGGTATCTGGTACAACTCAGGCTGAATTATAATCAACCTTACATATTCTTGTGGTATCCGATAACGCTGGTGGCCGGAGCTGATGGATCGGTGGTCGATCCGTAATGGATCCGTAACAGGATCCGGATCGTTGTCAGTGGCATCACCACCTCGTGTTCTAGGAATGGTGTACCCTTCCTAAACACACGCTGTTTATTTTGTGTACCTTCACATTAACGTCAAGTTATGCCGACAACAAATAGACGAGGAATATGTTTGAAGGAATCGTATTTCCGTGAAATTACACAAAAATCTTAAGTATTAACTCATTTTCTATTTAATTCACTGCCTTTTAACTATTTAGTATTTTGATTATAATTTTTATTAAAAGGTTCATTATATACGCGGCTTATATTGTTTATAAGGTGACGATCATACTGTTAGTTTGATCGTGTTTGAACTCGTACCTGGCTTGTGATGTCGATGTTTCTTCCCCTTGCCGGCGACCGTGGTCACCACCACCGTCACCAAGACCGTCACCACCACCCAACGCCACCACATCTTACACCATCACACAACAAATGGCTATATTAATTCATATATTACTGGAACTGTCCATGCAACACTTCTGGTGATCTATTATCACCGCACGAGACACAACATTTCCTTTAACTATTTTTAATCTTTCTACGAGATTTTTAAATTGTAAATATAAAATGTTAAAAGTTAATATATTTCTATATATATTTTAATACGTTAATTTTACTTCTGTCGTCCTAACTTTGAAGTTTGGGAGTTATTTTCACAGAATTATTCTAAGTTCGTAAAATATATCGCATTATATTTTAAGTTGTACGTCGACGGAGCGGCACGGCGCGGTCAGAATGCAACTTATTACTGAGCAAAACAAGCTCACCACTCCGCTATTAAAATGCCTCCAGACTCCAGACCAAAAGCTCTTCTCGGTTTATTAATTATCGAACATGGTACTTATGAGATAAGTTAAAGAACTATCCTACTGTTTGTATTAAAATCATTTATAATAAATTTATTCCATTTCTGGTTAATTTATTTCAAATTAATAAAGCTATGAATTTTTTATTGTAAAAGCTCATTGTATAGAAACGAGCTCCCTCTAGCGGGAACTTTATTAGCAACCAATGTTGTGTAAACAGTTCGCAAAATTTACGCTAGATGGCATTTTTTATTAGAAATTTAAAAAGCTTTTTACTTATAAGTTTGTCCACTTAATTAAACAATAATTGAACTTTATTTTTCGCATAATATTATCAAATAAAAATAAAAGGGGATTGCTTATTTAATTTGTATAAAATAAAAAAATGGGTTGAAGGGTTTTAATGTAATAAGAACTCAATAACATACGAACGATAAGCCAAAAATGTTTAATGTCATATCGATAAATTTACATTGCGTTTATCGTAACACCAAAAATTGGACACCCACGACACGCGTGCCTTTCACTAAACGAGTAAAAATTCACCTAAAAAAATCTTCGCTAAAATTAGATAATACATAGATACGTTCGGATAGAGTCGAGAGGGAGCGCGGCGCAGCGCAGGCGCAGCTCCCGACACACACACACACACACACGGACCCGCCTCGTACTGTTACAATACACGAACGGGGAGCGACCTACCACCAGCCGACACACTGTATTGTAAAAACTTTATAAAATCTTGTATAGCGTAACTAACAATAAAGGCATGTCCACAATGAACTCTGTAAGCGTCTTAACATATTTATATTATTATAAAGTTTATCAAAGCCGTGTTTAATGTATTAAAGCGAGGGTTGACGTTCGTGTGTGTCGGGCAGCGGGTCGGACTGCGCCGCGGAGCGCCCGGCGCCGGTCAGGAGGTCGCATGATGGATGCTCGGTGCTCAGTTACCAGTGCTCAGCTCATGATGCTCAGCTCATGATGCTCAGCTCAGCGATCAGCACTGGCTCACGAGCCGCCCGGCGACCGCTTAGTGGCTCCATATTTATCGGTAATAGCTCAAGGTCGCTACCAGCTAGCTTTTATCCGATATAAAAGTAATAATATAAATGCACGACCCGAGGGTCGCTTACAACGCTCGTTACACAAAATATATGTAAGTAAATTAAAATACACATTTGAGAGTTCTCATTACCTTGTGTTTCGTGGTCCGACTATCGTGTAAGGCTACATGGAATCTGTTACAATCTTCGGCTTAACTAACTACAAAACATTACAATCATCGTAGAGTTCATTAAGTTCAAACAAACATATATTTATTATTTAGTTTATGAAGATATCTGGGAACCATACGAACGGTTCATTGGGACAGAGAGTTAGTATAGAACAGCTTCACACCTGCTCACACACTGCTCGCCGTCCAATGAACCTATACAGACAACTCAACGAACCGCAACATTATTCATTACATTACATCACTAGTGATTATACAATGTCATTGGATAGATTCGAATTAACTATCACTCCCATAAATATACTTACGTCTAACGAAACGTACGTAACAGACAGACAGACATACAGACATGCGGCGGTCCTCCGGGGCCCTCGCTCACTTACTATATATTATATACTTTCCTTTAAACAAAACGACCGGCGACCGCGCTCACACTCTGCCGACTCCCGCTCTACACAAACGGATCATTAGACGCAAAATAAATGTATCGATCTCTAGAAGCCTCCTGCAGACAGACTCGCTGCTAGGGTTGGTCCACAGAGTGTCAGCGGCGAGCTACGGTCCGAGCACGAGTTGAAACAGTACGTTAGAGAGGAGACTCCCGCGGCGAAGGATGCGGCGACTCTTACAATATGTATAGGGATATGTGAAGGATCGATCGACAGCGCAGTACACTGGTCACATGCACTTGGTGTTCCCGGTAGGGGGCCGGTACGGTTCCCCCGCCCTGCGGGCCCGACCGGGCCGCCTCAGACGAACCACTCGTCCTTGTGCGGGGCGCCCGCGCTCAGCGCTGCGCCCGCGCCCGCAGGCGGCCCGGGCGCGCCGCTCTGTACCTGCACAGCCGCACTAAACTATACCCTCCGAACATACACACCTCCATACATACATACAATACACACTACACTACTATACAGATATACATTCAACGCAATCTGAGACTTTCGTGAGATTTACTCATTTAAATGAAACTAATATTTTTCGGATTCGGATTCGGATTCGGATATACATAACTCGTGCTTTATTGTATTTTATAAAAAATCTCGTCTGCCGAATTGCTGAAAAGTAGCCGAAACGTCGGGAGTATGTAGTTTTTTACAAAAATAAAGAACGCGTAGTATATCCGAAAAATATAAGTTTCATTTAAATATGTATATGTTTATTATCTAAAATAAAACTAAGTTTTTCAGAAATTACGATTACTTTTCAGCCTAGCGTGATTACAACCAGTACACATATAAGTGTCTGACAGGATTACTGATCAATAATTGGATCATCAATGAAATATATGAATAACATAATTGAAATAGCGTAGTGTCCAAAAAACTTAGTTTCATTTAAAGGTGTTCGCGAGAAAGTCTTTATTATCAATTGTTATTAATAAATATTTAATGGAAAGTAGTAGCGGAAAAACTTTTACTTATGTAGCGTCGATTTCCTTGATAAAAATCAATAAAAAATAAGTTAGAGTTACAGAATGTATGTGACATTCAGTTTGATTGATTTAAATTATAACAACAAATACATGAAGCGAACAATATGAATTGTATATATTTTATGATTCTAATAAAAATATGCAAAAAAAAAATACAATATTTGAACTGTGAATTCCAGACAAAATATTAAATATATTTCATTAAGGTACAGCATTGAATTGAAATATCTTATTTCTATATAATAGTTTATTTCTATATTGAATAAAATTTTCTTCTGTATAATTCTGTAAACCAATAACTGTTTCCAGGTGGACATGATCGTCAGCTATCACACAGCACTGTCCTCTGAACTCACAGGTCTAATAATGGAAGGAAAAAAATAAGGTGCAGAACCAAAAAAAATAAAAAAGACATAAAAGGATAAGTAGCAAATGATAAAAAAGCAAATGTATAGAATAAAATGAAATAGTATGAACACGACTACGTGCATACAGCACTAGAGCTATATATATATATATATATAGCTCTAGTGCTCTATATATATATATATATATATATATATATATATATATATATATATATATATATATATATATATATGAATGGTACAAGAGGCAATATATACCCGCGCGGGCCCGCAGGGTGCGCCCAGTTTCCCGGCAGCCTCGTGGCGGGCGAGCCGGCGCTCTTGACGCCTGCACCCGACCCGTTGCTGCTAGCCATCTGTTGTACTGCAGCAGAGATACAGCACTTATGTACTAACATACCACTGATATATACATCATACTCTGATAAATAGTCTCTTTGGTTCTTTACACTATCCCATATGACTGCAATCCAATTTCAACCAGAAAAACTTTATATATTTTTGATTATTGCTGCCTATTCATTAAGTTTGAGTAATATAAATCTGGACAGTATCACTATGGGAAATCAATTTACATATTATTATAAGTATAGTAGTATGTTAGCATATGTTACAATGTAAGTGCGTCCTCCTGGCGGGCGCTCGTCGTCGGCAGTAGCAGCAGACGGCAGCAGCGAGGCTGACCGTCACCAGCAGCGCGCCACCAGCGCCCGCTACCACCCACGGACCACCGCCCGCACCACCACCACTCTCTGGAACAAGTGGTAGCAACCAATGACGGATTACTCAGTACATAAAGAAAGCACGTGATAATGATTTGCTAAGAAAGTTCATGGAAAATTTATACAAAGATAAACATAATACTTAAAATTTACACAACAATTAAATCGTCGTAAGGATATTTTTAACAAAATTAATGGTTTATAGGTGACGTTTAGGACGCTTAATATATACATATAATAAATGTTACTTTAACATGATTGAATTATATTTTATCTGCTTTTGATATTAGCTCATTGTTTTCACCATATCGTTCACGGAAAAATATATTTATACATGTCTACATTTAATTTTAATCTCATGACGTCAATTATTCGTCAATTGAAACACTGTTACGGTTTTGTTCGATATATTTCAATATATCTTTCTAATCAGCCTCTTGGATCTCTATAATATATTACCAGAAGATAAATAAATATATCAGCATGTCATTATAGTGTATTTCTCATATGTTATCTTCTTCTTCTACCTGGCAATTTCCCAGCTATAGCCAGGGTGTACCTTACATGTTGTGAATAGTTTTTGGCTATTTGTTTTTAGGACCGGCCGCCTGCCTGACATCAACCCTCTTTTGGGAATCAGCATTAATCAGTGATGTCTAAATACTCTCAGAAAGTACATATGATTCGGAAAAATCACATTGGTACTTGCCAGGGCATGGATCGAACCCGCGCCGTCGGCAACGAGATGCGAGCCCTTTAACCACTAGGCCACCACTGACTTTAAATTTCTCATATGTTATATTGCCAAATATTTATGTGTACGTCATTATTAGTGTATTTTCTGTATGTATTCGTTACCAGGACAGAGAGCAGCAGTGTCTTCATCGGAGCCGTCAGCACAGTGATCCACTCCATCACAGGTGAGGTCCGCGCTCACACAGAACTCACGCTGCTTACATCTGAACTCCTTACATCCGTGTTCTGTAAATACAAACAATCTTATTAAGACTTAGACTAAAAAAGTATAACATTATTTTACGCTCGTTATCCTATTTCTACGATCACCTGCAAAAAAATTTAAAGAATACAAAATGAAGTCTATAATTATTTTAATTTATGCTTTTCCTTTAATATTTCTCGTTAAGGATTTTTTTTAACAAATTTATTCTAAAAAATAATTAAACAACAACAAAACGCTGACGTCGGTTGACGTGATGTAATAACGAGGGAGGAGTATCATTAAAACGGTAGCAATGATATATATATAGATGTACATCTAGAGTATAGATCTACGTAGATATATAGATATAGATATGATAATTATGATAGATCGGACCGCTTAGACTGGACGAACACTAACAGAGACTGTGATCGTGAACAAATTCTTTAAAACAACTTTTAAACGACTAATTTTGTTTACGAAACATCAAATCATAAGTAAATCAACCTAATATTAAAGTAGGCTAATATCAATTAACTCCCAAGTCTTTAGAAAATATACATTTTATTTAAAATACGCTCTACAAAAAATATTAAACGGTATTAAATAGTATCAAATGCACAACGATTTTCCACTTCATTGTAAATTATATTTAGAGTTATAAAATCTTCTACTAGAAGTGATTGCGCAATACTGATATAATAGAGGCGTTAAACCGATAAAAGAAAAAAATACAGTACAAATTTTAAATAAAAATCTACTCGAATAGCTTTTATTTAAAGCACAAATTGATACAAAACAAAACAACGGCTCAAAAGGTCAGTGATGTTAAATTGAATTAAAGTGAGGCTTTCGAGTCGGTTCGCTGGTTTTATGATATCCCCGCTCCAATGGAATCGTTTAACTACCACCAGCGATCATAAAACAATTATAAAAATTCATTTCAAATTAATATATTAATCGGAATATTTCAAAATTCGTCATTACTTTAACGCCATACTTACAGTTGAACCGGTTTAAACTGACTCGACTGCGTTTAATACAAGTTACGTAACAGAGTTATAATGTACTGTAATAATGTCTTTTGTAATCTAATAAAGTGATATAAAATTATTATCGTTGCTAACAAAAACGAAAAAAAAATTAAAGAAAATTTAATACTTCTACTTATTTCAAACAGTCCCTGTCTGTTTTTAAGCCTTTTTCTGTCTACTCCGCCTACCCTCGTTTCATGTATTGTACTTTTTAAACATGGTAAAAGTTCTGATTAAGATACATATAAATTAAACTAATATATTACGTACTACGCGTTTTTTTAAATAACATTATTGGATTTCATTATAAGACGCATTTACTTGTAAAAGCAAAGCATTAGTCTTGGATGTACTAAATATTATGCTCAAACAGAGTTATGCCAAACTTCAATAAAAGCAGGAAGAGCGTAAATGTGCAACAACAAGCCTTTTTCCATCCCAAAAGCACACTTTACAAGGCAAATATGATTACGCTCCAACCGCGAGGCTTTTCCAAACTCGCTAAAACCCTCTCTCACTATACTTTTCCAGTTCGCCGAGTCGAAAATCTAATTGGACACTATATCCAAGGTATTAAAAACGATTTCTAAGTTTTACAGAATCTCTTTTAGAATAATTGAACATAAACTTTAAGATCTTGTGACACAGATGTTTTAAGTAATTTGCCCCAAGAGGGTTATCTCCAAAACGTCTGATTGTCGTGAGGGTTGACAAGAATGTTCACAATAAAAACGAATTGACTCAACAAATAACAATTCATTTTATCAATTTATAAGGATTTCGTTTTTCTGTCAACAATGTACGTGAAACAAGGTATGTTTTCGCAACCAAACTATGACCTACACTATTTTAAGAATTATTATTTGTCATAGAACTTTAAGTTTAAATGAACGTCATCATAAAATTGTTATTTCTTTGTTTTCCTTTACAGGAACAGAATAATCGATTAAATAACAGACGGGGTAAACCAGTTTCTTGCTCATATAAACAATAATAGAAGTTTGCTAACTGCAGAGTACTTGAATTCTTGACTTTGCGTATTTTAATGTAGGAATTTTTTTATCAAAGAACAAACAAATTATACTAAACTATACTTTTATAAAATAAACGATAAAGACAAATTACAATTCAAAAAGATTTCGAAATCTATAGAATATTGGATACATCATCAATCACGGCACAGTTTTAAACAATGGTCAGAATATAGCATAAAAGGGAGTTGGGGTCAATGAAAAAGTTCACAAACCCGACGGATATCGAGCGAATTTATAAGTACCATTACTCTCTGAGTTATTGGCATCGCGTCGCCTGAATACGGCGACCAGTAGATAGCAGCCTCGAACGTGGTTATGTGAGACCAATAAAGATGAAGGGCCATTATTACTCATATGTTTAAGCAGGTTTATATCAGCATTACGAGGATCGAATGACCCACCCTCGGATATATTATCAGGTAAGAGCGCCAACAGAAAGTATATAAAATTAATACAGATGGGAAGTGAAAATATAATCCCTATTTTATCATGACTAATTATCATCATGTATTACATTATGTGATAAAAAATGTCATGATTTATAATAATAATTAATCTAACACATAATAAAATAATATACTGTGATAGGAATCTGGTTATCGTAGTTTCATGAAAAACAATAATCTGTTGAAAACATCCGTCCATTCCATAGAATAGAATAGAAAGAAATCGTCAAATCCTGATAAGTGGAGGCTTGAAAAATCTTTTGAAAAGCGAAATGTAATCGCGGCCTAAAGGGTTGAGGCTCATAATGGCCAGACAAACAGACGTCCCATTTATAAGATGAGATGAGAGTGGAATATGTGAACGAACAACCCTAGGCGTTCTGTGGAATAAATAAACACGGGAAATAATTAAAGAGGGCTTTGGAAGGGGACCAAGCCGCCTTCCTACAGGAATCACTAACTTTCTTAGATCTGGTCGGCACTATTATCATACTTATTTGGATTTCCCAACACGTCAAAAACATTACGATTATATACTTCTATTTTAAATAATATGTACTATTTGTATAAAAACAATAGAATAAAATTGATTACACCTTTGACGCAAGAGATAGGATAAAAATAAATTTACATTATCATTTCTGATAAACGAAATATTTCATACGATCATTCATTAATTTATAACAGATAAAATCTGTTGATTCGTAAATAATAATGTTTTTATTAGAAAATTCCTTATGTAATATTGTTTTACGTACATTGATAAAAGCCATATTAATTTAACAATTTATAAAGATTCTTAAAGGTATGTTGCTTTCGATTTGGCACAATTCAAACTTATATTGTTACGTTACTTATAGTGTTACGTTTTGTTTACAGTAATAAGGGAAATGAAGTGTGTGTAATGTTGGTAGTGAACTCACTGGGGTCCTTGACGGCAGTGATGACGAGTTTGAAGCCGTTGGCCTCAGTACCCCAGTTGTCGGTCACGTACTTGAGCGTGACGAAGTTGCTGCGTGTGAACAGCGCGCCCACCTGCTGCTTCGTGTTGCGGCAGGACAGGTCCGCCTAGAGCATTATACAAACATACGTATTAATAGCTACGTAAACACAAATACAATCAATAGTATTTCTTCAAATGAAACATAAATGTGGCCATAATAAAAGACAGCTTAACGTCATATTAAACTGGTAATGTTCAGTCCGGGTAGACGTGTCACGGCGGGGCTTATTGCAAGTATGCAGGGAGGCATGCGCTGGCAATATATTCTTCATCGAGCCGAGGCTTACTGAACTATGGCCGCATTATATCGCTGTCATATTTCAAGGAGAACGATCGAGGGGACGTGACGGCTCGGGATTTGCTCCCAACATCCGACGCTATACATCAGAGCGTCTTGGTCTTCCCACTGCCCCCCCCACTACCCCCCCCCCCACCTCTCGTCAACATCAAAGGCGTTACTTGCACCGGACTTTTGCGTTTTTTTTCATTCCTTTATACCAATTTTAATAACCGTCCTGGTTTGATATAAAAATGTAACTCTACATTTTTTTAGTTTAAATTACTGGCATGTCATACTTTTTTGAAATCCTGAATTTTCAATTAAATTGTTTTCCAAACTATTAGTTCTATTTTATTATATAATAAAATAAGTTTAGCGTTTCTATTGTTAATTAGGAATTATTAAAACAACCAGTCCAACAAGATCTTTTAAAATAATTTAAGAGAACGTAGAATTTCCTTAATCCGCTTAAAACAATTGGAGCATTTACCCCTAAATAACAAGAAACAGTCTCAGAGCAGACTTATCCCTCTAAATGAGATATAGGCGTGAAAATATACTTTAAGGAGAAACAGTGTCTGAATAACCGAGACATTCCGAGACGGGAAGAGTGCTTCACAATTTAAGTGTGGATTAGCGAGACTGCAGCTATTTGAAATTCAGGCCGAGTCGCTGTAGACGCTTCTCCGTCAAGGAAACTTGTAAGACTTCCAGACACGACTAGACCCTCGGACTAACCCCACTAAACATTAACCCGTCTCCCGAAGACTGAGTGTCCTAGGCTAGTGTAGTACGAGCTCAACATACAAGAGACATGATTCCTGTAACCAAACTTAGGACAATTTAAGTTGCTCCCGCATTGTTCCTCAGATATCTTCGTAGATATTCGAGCACACGTTCCTGAGTGTCGGGGTTGCAGATGTTACTTTATTTGTCTATGTTATTAATACTTTAAATTCTTATATTAATATTTTTAGCTTTATTACTTATTCTTAGCTTTATTATATTTAACTCTGTAAAAATATTTTAAAGTCTATTTTTTTTGTAAGTGTGATGTAATTTTCTCTGTGTTGATGAAGAAATATTTTTACAAGGTACGTTTCAATAATAATTATATATTTGTATATTCAATGTAAAAAATGGTCTTTTATATTTTCACTTGAATATATATAATGTTAAAGAGAAATTCCCTTCTCAAGAACTGGAACTTAATTAGTAATAGAGAAGCAATAAAGCGACCTAATGTTCAGAGCTGCGTAATAATCCTCTGAGTGTAATTACGCAAAAGTGAAAAGAGTAATAATTTATTGTGATTAACTGGCGCTTAAATTAAACGAAGTGCTTACAGCGACCTATCAGTGTCATTTGTAAGTTCTGAAAGTTCACTCGCTCCAGGAAATAAGTGGCTTTAATGTAATTCGAATACCATTAGTAAGTATTCGGGGAAGTTTTCAAAACGTTTCCCGTAAGTCGATGAGACCAAACGTCTCATCCAACTCCCAGCCACAATTACAGATTCCATTTCAAACAGCAGCGGCTACACGGACACTGATATCATAAATCTGCAACTTTTCCAACACAAAACTGACGTTTTAAACACCGTCAGCCTTCAGCTGCCAAATTAGTGTAGGTATCCATAATCACAGTCAGGACAGGAAAACTTGGCTGTAATATTCTCGACATTTCTTGAAACAAATCTCTAACTATACTTTCGGTAATAATTGTTAAAAACTTTATATCATTAATTGTTATATTACAAGGAAAATTAATGTTATAGCTTTTAAAACTTTTGTCTGGTTGATACTAATCCTGTTCCAAGGAAATCACGAAAACTAATTATTTGGCTTCATTCTTTTATTGATCACAGAGAAAATCGTTGTCTTCAAATAATTTGTCATAATTTAAATATTTCTATCTGAATTCCACACAAAAACGTGCGCAACAAATTAAGGTATGATGATAGAGAAATCTCCATTAAGTTGAAGCTCGCAATTAATTCCCGCGGACAACCGGCACCGTTTAAGCAAACATCAACTATTCACACATTAAACTGCAAAACTCACCGGCGATGAATAGAACATTCGAGTGTAGAATTTACCGACGCAGGGGACTCTCCCTGCGTGCAATATTTAAATGTTCTCGGTGCTTTTAGGAATAATTGTGTGTACTTAGGATAAGGAAAAATAAACAGGGGGAGACGAAGGAAACCGTTTATTATACATAAATGCGCGGAAAATTTTCACAGCGTCATTATACGCTTTGTTAGACTGCTGACCGAAACTTAAGGCATTTGAATTTAAAATTTAGCCGAGTCTTCGCTGGCGTGTTAATTACTAAGCAACATGACATCTGACGATGGCGCCGTGGCTTGAGGATACCTCATTAGCATTTCCGCGACGACATTAAATATTTCTTATACAACTCACTTTATAACGAATCTCTTACTTCTCGAGTTCAATTTAACTGCAGCACTCGGCGCAAACTGTCAATTACATTTTAAGTATTTTACTCAGCATTAACTCTCATTTTAATTACATGCCCGTTATAGGAGAAGGAGATTAATTTCTCGAAAAATTCAATAACTCCATCTATCGAATCTCATTAGCATATCGACTCCGACATCTTTAATAAATTAGCAATGATCCAAAGCCGTATGATCGCACGAAGGAATGGGGCTGTGAGGAGGACGAGGGAGGGAGGGGGGAAGTGGCATAATCGGAGTCCGTAATTGCTGCTCGCGACGTCTTGGAATGCCTCCAAATTGGAAATGATATCGATGAAAGTCTCGTTACGTAATATATTGAAAGGTAGAGTTATATGAGAGTTATTGTAATTACCCGATCCTTTGTCTAAACATTTAATGGCTATAGCTTAATCTTAAAGCTTTGAATTGATTCAAACGTATTTATGGTTACGTTACCTTGGGGGGTGCGGTGGCGTGAGCGCCATCGTAGACGTATAGATGATCGTTGCAGTCGAGCTGCAGGAGGTCGAAGTGCAGCATAAACCGTTGCAGGATACTGTGCGTCTGGAAGGTGACGGTACAATCCAGGTTCCTCTCGTTGCGGGACCACAACACGCCGCCGTCCAGCTTACGGTACTGTCTTTGCAAGAAGTGGTCCTTGCAGAGCGAGTCCATATAATCTGTGGAGTGAATATTTCATTTATTTCCAGTCAGTTATTTTTGTTACCCAAAACAGGCAGCAAATACAGTAAGTATATGGTTAGATCATTTATAATCCAGGCTATTGTACCCCTTTGATATTTTGATAATTAAAAAGTTCACAGAGTGAAGACTTTAATATTTAAAAAACATACTTAAGAAAACTTAGAATAATTCACAAGAATATTTTTCTTTCGTCATGGAAATGAGAAAAATTAAACCAATTTAAGTTTAAAACTTGATTATTATTTGTCTGTTTTCTACGAGCTTAATGCTAATTGAGCAGCTTCATGAAATATTTTTCAAGACTAACGAATATACATTTTTAATAAAACTTTCAAAGCAGATTTAAAATATGTTGGAAAACGGAACATAATGTTTAAAATATAAACTGGACTTTTAATACATTTTATAATCCTTAGAATGCGGAACTTTCAGATAGGAAGAGATATTATCTGAGTGTTGAATAATTAATTATTGATATTTATTGATATTTTAAAAGTCTGCAACAACCTCTTCTATGATCTACTATCAGTTTTTTATCAAAATTAAATAAACATCTGAAATAATAAAATTAATGCGACTAAACAAAAATAAATAGATTTTTGAGTGGTATTAATTTTATAACACTCTTACAAATACATATATTTAAAGGGATTATGACGAAACCGCTAATGATTATGCCACAACTATTTGTAAAACACGCATTTTTGTAAAGTTCAAGGAGGGCAAAATAACCCAGTATCACTTGTATTATAATTGTACTTTATTAATTGTACAATTCAGTGGTAATACTATATAAGATTTACCGCTGTAGTATTGAATCGTAAATTTTCATTAATACTTAAAAATGTGTTTAAAATATAGACATGTTTTTGTTCATTATCTTATATATTGAAAATTCTCTTGAGGTTAAGAATCTTTATCTTTTATCTTATCTCACATCTATCCCAAATAACAGTTTATCTTTTTCTTTTCTCACAACTGTTCCAAGCATCGCCTGTCTTTGTACATTTCTCGTGTCCTACAATCAGCCATATAGCGATGTAAGTGCTTTATATTTTTCTATATTTGGAGCTGCGATGCTTCGTTAGTTGTACGATTTAGTTGAAAGTGTACTCAAAAAGACTTCCTTAATAATGTTGTTAAACGGGTTCTTTTGTTATGTGCTATCATTTATAGTTTCTCAAAGTATATTTTTCTCTATACATTAGGCGTGGCTGTGGCATTATCATGATATATCTACTGATATCGACCAGTGTGTCTTCAGCCCCCGCCGTTCGGTCACTCGCCAGCATGGTCTCCATTGACACAAGGGGCTTGGAAGTACCCACGAATTTCTTAGCAGCCAGCGGTTCTGGAACCGGGGCCTTACAAATCGTCGTCAACGTACGGACAGACAGTCTTGGAAATATCGAGGTTATTACAGATTAAAGCATAAAATAGACATCTTAAATACTTAATATATACAAGTATTCATAGTATGATGTAGTGACGTGCTCTGAAACACGAACTTCCCACACAGACTCACAAGTTGCGACTAAGATCAACATCTCGTTGACTATAAACAAGGATATTGAACATAATCTCCTTAATACAAGGAACGTGATATAAATTGTACTGAAGCTGCTGTTTCTGCTGCGTTAGTTTCTTCATTATACTATACAACAATTATATTATAAATTTAGTGCATTTAATAATAATATTATTATCATCAAGCCCGCGGTATTAAACTAGTCCTAGCAATATTCGTGGCGAAGTTTCACGTACCTCGCCCGCTCACGTCGGCTTATCATCGATATGAGCATCTCTCAATAGTATTTATTGCTCACACGTCCGACGCTTCTAATTCACACCCTTCTATTGACTGACTCATCTTTCATAGAATTTAATAAAGAATTCTATTGCATATTATTCCGCTCTATACATAGCTATGATTTATTTGACATCTGCACAAGGAATTTAATTAATACGAACATTACTGGAAGCAAGAGAGAATGTATTAGCTACATATATTGTTTGTTTTGTTAATGTTTAAATATATAAAGGTTTTAAATAATTCTGATCTTGATAAAGATGTATTAAGACACTAAAGAAATAATAAATTGCAAGTACAAGATACTGAGTTGTTTTCGAGATTAGAATTCAAATGTATATAGGTTATTTAAGTAAAATAAAGTACAGTATAGGTTATATAAGTAAAATAAAGCATTTTTTTTAATTCTATTTAAATATTTATTAAGAGTCTGAATAATATACTTGACTATATTACTTCAAGAGTTTTAAACTTCTATAATTGAACATCCGTGTAAGGCTTTGTATAAATAAAGTGTTCTACAGCGGTGTTTTTTAAGAATTATTTATTATTGTAATATACTTTTTTTATGTGAATAAAAAGATTTTTGTATATAATTTTTAATTAGACAGCCATATTTGTTTTCTTTTTTTTATCCTTTTAAATAAGTAATCTTATTATACTATAATTGTATGTTATCTTGAGATAGGCACGGATAAATAATTTGATGGCAAAATAACATTTCAGCACTCATTCATCTAAACCTGTGTCAAATATTAGTGAAATCTTTACTTTTACTTGATTGAAACCATGATTTGCCAATTAGAAGAAATATTCTTAAGCTAGCATCAGATATTTTCGTTACTACATATAATGTTAATTGTGTCCTTGTAGAACCCAAATAAACAAAATATATAATTTAATTGATATAACTGGCCTATTCATTATTTGGTACCTGTCAAGGCTCATAAAGACTCGTATCCAGAGCCGTAAAAACAAAAAAATTAACCTATCATATAAATATGAAATGTCCTATCAACTCTCAAACAACATTTGAGGGTGCAATTACTAAGTTTTCCTCGTATATAGCAACGATAATAATATAACTGTAGCAAAGAAATTTAAGAAATAGTTGGCGGCAGATGACAAAAACCATAGTAATTGACAGATACTCTCATCTCGTCTGTCGTCTTTATAGAAACTATATTATTAATAATATATTGTTATAGACTTTCAATAAAACAACTGATTTCACCGTTAGAAAATACTCGTAAAACGTCGATTTAAAGTAGAAATGCATAATAAAATATACATAAATTTACCATAAAATATGGTTTCATATAAAATGAATATGTATTTGGTTTTTTTTCTTCTATGGCAATTTTGGCAACTTTCTTCTGGCAATTTACCAGATTTAGCCAGGGTAACCAGGGTCTGACTTACATGTTGTGAATAGTTTTGGCTAATTGTTTTTACGACCGGCCGCCTACCTGACATCAACCCTCTTTGGGAATGCATTAATCAGTGATGTCTAAATACTCTTAGAGACTACATATGACTCGGAAAAATCACATTGGTTCTTGCCAGGATCGAAGCCGCACCCTCATGCATGAGAGGCGGGCCTTTTAACCACTAGGCCACCACTGACTTATATTTGGTCTGTATTTGGTCTTTTTTGTTCTAATATAAGTAATTTAGAATCTATATTTTTTAAAGATTCCATACTATACACAAAAATACTTTTTAAATTCTCATACAAAGTGTTCCAATAAAATATTTTTCTAAACACACGTCACATTGGTCGACTTTCGCCTGTTTTGTTATCTTAAATATTTACTGTACATCTTTATCTATCAGCGGAACGTCACTTATCAGTTGAACATTTCTTAAAATATAATAATTTATCATTTTTAAAATAAATCGATGCATTATATTTTAAAGAAAATCAGCGACAGATAAAATACTAAATACTTTTGTCACCTCAATATATTTCTAGAACATTCACATTCCAAAGCAAAACTTGTGAAAATCTGAATTAATAAAGCATTTAACTTTATTTAATAGTTTTATTCAATACATAGATTAAACTGAAATTATCTTAAAGTGATCTTTATAGATGAGTCGAGGGGAAATGAGAGGAGACGGGTGTCTGTCTAGTGTCGTACGTATACGTAAATGGATATCTTTGCAATTGAGGTCAACACAATACAGTAGCGTCAGGAACACACCTTTATCTAATATGCTATATACTGTGATTTAAAATCCTTATGGAGAACAAACATTCTCAAATTAAAGAGGATGGTTGAGTTATGATTAGTATTAGTAAATCTTCTTCTACGTGGCAATTTCCCAGCTATAGCCAGGGTCTGCCTTATATGTTGCGTAAAGTTTTGGCTATTTGTTTTTACGACCGGCCGCCTGCCTGACATCAACCCTCTTTTTTTTGGGAATCAACATTAATCAGTGATGTCTAAATAGTCTTAGAAAGTACATATGACTCGGAAAAATCACATTGGTACTTTCCCGGGCCAGGATCGAACCCGCGCCGTCGGTAACGAGAGGCAAGCCCTTTAACCACTAGGCCACCACTGATTATTAGTATTAGTAAATATCGAAAGAAAATGAGAAAAATGTTATATGTGTAGGTTTATGAATAAAAGGACTTAATATTCAGATTTCAAAGATCAATAAAAATTATATACATATATAGAAGAAGCATTAAGTTGGGAGCATAAGTGTTAATTCCTTAAGTAAATTAATACGTTTGTAAAATTTGTATACATATTATATTTCTGTCACTTGTAAAAATGTGAAAGAAATGACCTCATTTAAAACAATATAAAGTCGAATTACCATGATTACGACACGTTTGTTCAACTCGATAGCAATTGATAAAAATTTAAAGAAATCGCAATAAAAATAAGAAAATGGATTGTAAAAATTTTCATTGATTCATCTTAGATTTTAACGACGGAGTTTTTATAGGAGGTCTCTTCAATCTTTTATGGTCTCGTAAAAAAGTAATCTGACGGTTAAATGGATTGAAAAACTGACGATATCAATAAAAACATTGAAGCGATATACCGAGCTTCACTATACAATAACAAGGTGCTAGACAACGACACAAGAATAATATATATATATAACTAGTTGACCCGGCAAACGTTGTTTTGTCATATAAAAAATAGGGGTTGGTGATAAAAAAAATAAAAATGTTGAGTTGTATGTGTTTTTAATGCTACATTATAAAAGATAAAAACAAAAATTTCGTCCAAAAAAAAAAGAGTGAACAACCCTTATGACTTAGGGGTATGAAAAATAGATGTTGGCCGATTCTCAGACCTACTCAATATGCTCACAAAATTTCATCAAAATCAGTTCAGTCGTTTCGGAGGAATTCTCTGTCTAGCACCGCGACACGAGAATTTTATATATAAGATAATTCAAAAACCATTAAAGTATGAACGATATATGTATAATAAGTATTTTTTTGGTTATTTTGGTCGTATCGTAGATATTATATTACACTCACTGCCATCAAGAGTTGCATTAAATGTTAAATACAGTGGAAGTCTGACACTATCGTTTAAGACTCGCTTTCCGTGGTCGTCTGTCGCCCTCTTAACAGTAAATTATATAAGTCCCACGCCTCGAGTCTCAGTTATATAGAAAACGATTACACCGCACTCGAGCTTCCTTTTTAAAAATTGCATTAAATTGTTGGAGAATGCATTAATATTAAGCAGACGCGGATTGAAGGCTTTCAACTGAATGTTATTAACGCACTATAATAATAATAATAATAATAACTTTATTCAGAAAAACACAATGCTTACACAGTAATATATCCTAACCAATAAAAACACAAAGCTTACACAGTAATATATAATATTAGGTTGAGGTGCATTATGTTTCAACAAATCTAAACTATCACGGTCAGTTTACTACAAGTTTCTATCCCACTACGTACTACGCGTTTCGAAGTTTTCCTTCAATAACCTACATTTATACTACAATGTAAGAAGATTCATGAAAGTTAAACTAGCAAAGCTTTGTTTGTAGTGTGGTTATGCAATCATGGGGTAAGCATACTTCCTGAATGTTTTTCATAAAACTTTGATCATATTTTACTTTATATAAATATACATTATTTGTTATTCATCGACCAATAGTTAAAGCACGTTGCCTCAATACTGAAACCTGATGATTCACCAGATACATATGTTCTATACCTACTCATACTCATCCCAGTCTCTGAAGATACAAACAGCCATTCATTACATCAATTATCTTCAACTGAATAATTATAATGAGAGAAGGAGCTTACACTGAACTTGAATAACGGTTAAAGAAGCTAAAAATAATTGGTTTCTTTCATAAATAAAACCTAACAACCAATAATAAAAACTAGATTTGTATAATAAAAATCGATTAAAATCTATTTCTCCATAAAAATACTTTCAATTCATATATTTTTTCGATAAAATCGATACCAATATCATTTCAACTTGACGTGAGTGACGTTAAAAATATTTTTATTGATAACGATCGACAATTTTATTTCCATTAATACTTTGAATGGAAACGATCTGAAATAATCAAAATGGTATATAATTATACGTAACATATAGAACCTTCCTCATTCTACGTTCATAATACGTTGGAGGAAATTATGAAGAATTTACAAAATGGCGTCCTTTGAATACACACAGGCATTCACACTGAAAATATACGGATGTATGAGATTTCACGGAACGGAGCTCAGAGCAGGCGTGTGGAGACGGAACGAACTGAATCACTTGAGAATTCTGTTCACTTTATAAATGTATGCTATCTTGGAAAATATTTCATTTATATAATAATGTCATTACTATTGTCAATTGTCAGGGCACATTATTCCAGTGCAATCTAATCAGTTTGTTTGGCTTTCATTAACTTTTCTCCCCTCGATGACCCCCGGGCGTTGTGATACAATTCCGTCATTACCTAAACAGCTGTAATAATCCAAATGTATGTCACTAGTGGTTATAATCGCTTGCACATTTTCTGTCACTACGTACGCGAGATACGCGTTCAGCCACGCCCTCGGGACGCGGTAATTACGATCCTAATAACTTATTACCGTCCCTGTGATGAAGCGTTACTCACGTTATGCCTCCCAAACTAACAATACTCTATCTCCGCATTCGTTGTGAGAAAGAAAGGGATGGATGATGTTTGTGACTGGTTCATCAATATTATGACGTCATAATAGCATTAGGGGGTTAGTTTCTTTTAGGTTTATTTTACGAATGGTAAGGAATCCATTGAAGATTAGAAGAATTTCTGAAGGTGAGACGAATCGATCTGTGCCGGTCACACGCTCTCTGATGATTGTTAAAAGGTTTCATTCCATATCGTTGGAACGATTTTAAACGGCTCCGGAATCTGAGGTTTTAGAAACCCAGAGTTGTATCCGCGGATTGTTTGTGAGTGTAACGATCCGAGGATTAACGGAACATAAAACGAGTCCATTATGAAACACATTTAATACTTTAATACAACCGAATAAATAACTGTTCATAATTGTTCCTGTTCGTTCACAGTCGAACAATGTTCGCACATTTTCGAATAATTCAAATGTAAAATATCGAAATGTGCTCTTGAATTTCCTAGCGATATTACGTTCCCTGTCTATTCTGTAACGCGCGATACCTTTGAAACCGGTCTATCGTGTTTTAAAACAGACGTCCAAATGATGAAACTGAAATTTTCATAGAAAATTTAAAATAGCTGAATTGTATTACAAATTTAGCAATATTGAATGTTCAAAAGTCTAATATTGCATTGATACTAATTTCATGTTAAATTAAAGTTTTTTTGTATAAAAAAATTAATATTTCTGTTGTAATCATCGTATTAATAGCGTTTACAAAGTATGTACAAATCTATCTAAAGAATTTTACGACTTTTTGGAAAAACCACTTATCTTTTACAAATAGTTTTTTAAATTCATAATAGCTTCGCTTGTAGTAATCAAAGAAGCCTCATTATGATATTAAAGGCATCGTTTTAATTTTTCCAAGGGTGACGATCTAAGTCGTAGCGGAGGTCGTAGAGGGGATATCGACCGCTCGTAGCGGGGTCGTTCACCCCTCTACGGCGTAGCGTAGCCTCCTCAAAAACTGTATGTATTGACGATTCGTTGGATTTATGTTACATACACTTTATGTGTGTCATTGGGTTAAAATATACGAGTAAATTAAGTATCAGTTTATATATATATAGAGATACCCAATTTACTCGTTAATCTATACAATTCTCTGATAATATGTTTTGTCTGATTTAGAGCTCATACATTTTACCGTGAACATACATACATAGTATAAAGACCTGGTAAATTCAACATACATATATGAAGGCTGCCCCTATACAATACGACGAGTGCTAAGTTTAACATCCACGTTAACAATAAATAAACATATTAATTTAAAGTTGAAGTATTTGATGACGGGCTTTCAGAATAATTATAAACACAGAAGGGATTGTGTTCAACATATAATATACAATGTACTGAACTGATGATAATTAAGAGTTGGGGACGAGGAATTATGTATGGAGGTCTCTTTGAGGATGATGTGGACTAATTGGAAAAGGTAACATGTACAGAACGAACTGCCATACAAAGAAACCTGGTATATACCAGAAAGATAATATGCATATACGAATATTAAAACGAATTAATCCTTCACAAATGAGATCTGAGACTTTTCAGATATACTATTCGACTTTATTTTTTGTAAAAAAAAACTACATACTCCCGACGTTTCGGTTACTTTTCAGCAATCTCAATCACTGTTGAAACATCGGGAGTATGTCGTTTTTTAAAAAAAAAACTCGCGTATTACATCGTAAAAATATAAGATTAATTTAATTAATCCTTCCCAATCCTGTGTCATCATTTTTTGTTTATCTCTATACGAGTATGTATGTATACGAACCGTCCTCACGTCTCTAATACCAATCAAGGTTCGTCCTCGTCACGTCGTTTGAGAGCTGGTTTGATTAAGTTTATTTTTTCATCGAGACACATTAATCACGGGCTTAATTAATCACGGGGGTCTGTCGATAACAGTGACCGCGACCCCAAACAGACCCTTCGAACGTTTACGAAGAAATTAGGCTGCGTGCGACGTGACCAGCCTCCGGATACATCGAGATGAGAAAGGCTCCATGTTGCTGCATTCACTATAATAACTATTATAACTACATCATTACTATACTATTCTTGATATATTTTCTCTCTCTCTCTGATATATTTTCTCTCTCTTTAAATGATATTCACTCGACACTCGAAGAGATGATATATTCTTATTTGTTCTAACGCAGAATGTGTTTGCTTTGAAACCAATATCGTGCCTAAATTGTTTTCAGAACAGTTAAAGGTTTCGCATATTGACGAAAAAATGGCGATTAAAATTTGTGATTTAATGTATTATTCATTGGGTGTTTTGTTCACGTTTTGAAGAATATATTTTATTGACGCAAATATATATAAAAGATTTATTTTATTAAGTATATGATCTTATATTCATTATAGTCATGAGTTTGTTTCAATCCCTTATAAACCATTCAGTTCAACAATAAGTATAAGTAACAATGACAATTTAAACTCTTAAGACAAAACTAAAATATCTGTCAATTTCTCTCTGTTTCGATAACTAGTAAGGAACTGTTTCAGAGATTCCAAATGAAATTAATTTTATAGTTATGAGGGACAAGAAACTAAAATCTTATATTACTATATAGCACCTTCTGACAAACCGAATAAGATAATTGTGACGTATTTGTATTGTATAATGACAATACTATATGTATTTATTGTATATGTAAACTGAAAGTTATTATTTCATTCCATAATTTCCATTTAACCGAATCCTAAAGTCACATTTCAAGGAATTTATATCAGTGAATAATCTGCGCCTAATTTCATAAACTCAATAATAATTATCACAGAACACTTTAATCAGGATTATTTAAAATAACAACAATGTTTTTTTGGACAACAGGACAGACGTTAGGTAAATTTTAACCTTAATGTATTTAAATAATTATATCTGCATTAAATACAGTTAAACACTGCAAATGAAGCACTAGTATGTTCGTTATTAATTGTACATTTTCATTCAATTTCGATTCGTCCTTTCAACGTAACACAATCTGCGTGTGTAGATAAAATATAAATAACATCGCATCTATATTTAGGATATCAGCTCATTTCATATCTTAGAATTATATGGATTAAAAGGTAATCATCTTTTTACGCAATCACAACGATAAAAACAATTAATATGCAACATACAATAAGGCGTCACACAAAATGATCGTCCACCGTATACAAACACAAATTACTTTCTATTGGAGATAATTTCTTACAAATTTATTAATTTATATAGAAATCTCATTATTGTACACCATAAGTCAGTGTACTATATGTAAATTTTATAATTAAATATCAAATGTGTTTTAAGGTACCAATGAAAATTAAATGTTATATCATTTGAGACATAATATTAAACAAGTTATTCTCATATCCTCGTCTCTGTTTTAGCTTGTGACTATATATATTATAATAATGATATATTTCCTTGGAGAATATCATTATATTCCTATGCCTGTTGTCTTCAAATCCCTGATACGTTCGACCTCACTCCAATCATTTGTATTGTGACACTCGTCTCGAACGATCCCACTGAGACCGTGCGTGGGCTGCTTTATTTATATCTGATAGCTTGATTATCAACATATTGATATAAAATCAGTTTTGCCAAAAAAAAAAGAAGTAAAATAAATCATGATAGCACAAGCACTGGTGGTAAATATTCGGTGATAATAGTTTCAGTATAGTTAATATTGTCGTCGCGATGGGATCGTGCAAAGCGTTGGGTATCACAGCAGCCCTTTTTTTGGGCTTCGGGCTTATTGGAGGTAAAACTTGTTACTTGTATTGGGAACAAATAGTTAAGATCAATTTGCTGGTAGGTGAGTTAGGATGTGCAGTAAGAATAGCTTTACCAAAGTATTATTTTTTGTTTAGGTATTATTACAATAGCAGTGTTATGGTCTCAAGATAATGCCGTCGATCCTCCGATCATCATTCCCACTGACTGGTGGCAGCATTGCGTTTTGTATCAGATTTACCCTCGATCTTTTAAAGACACTGATGGAGATGGTATAGGAGATTTAAAAGGTAAATACTAAACACCTCTTGTATTACATAATCTATCTTGGTATAGCAAATATGTTGAAGTTTTGGTTTTTGATTAGGAGAATCCAACAATATTGTGTTAAAAAATATTCGCATAACCTACTCCTGTTTAGCAAATTATGAAGATTATAAATTAACAAAAACATAAAGAAATGATGGAAAAATGTGACCAAAATTAAATCTGTAGCATCATGTATATAAAAGATACATCACATTCAAAGAAATGTTAATAAGGACGCACAAAAAGTAAAGAAAAAAGGAAAACATGTAATTGATATCAATAATATAGCAATCACGAAATATAAGTCCGGGTGTTTGATCTCAGATCCAAAGACAGATTGCAAAATAATGATGGCATGAGCTAATTATCTAAAATACACAAAAACAAGATTATAGTTATTTGAAACTATTATACATATAACACCGCTTATATTTTTGTGGCGAACACAAAGAGGTTGTTACGGTCACCGGAATGCCTTAATAGTTTCCTGCCTTTACAAACATGAATATGTTATGTTAATGCTTGTCTAAATACTAAAGTCAGTGTTTTAGAGAAACACAGATTAAACTATGTTGTGGTATTAAAATTATTAATACTACAATATTAACAACTAAAAAATTCAACGCGATAAATACAATATATTATTTTGGGATATTATTTTAGTGATACATTTGTGAAATGTTTGATTTTAGGTATAACCGAAGAGCTAGAGCATTTCGTGGATGCAGGAGTTGACGCTATATGGATGTCTCCCATATTCGCCTCCCCGATGGTGGATTTTGGATATGATATTAGTAACTTTTACGAGATACATTACGAATACGGAACCATGGAGGACTTCGAGGCTCTTCTTGAGAAGGCGCATCGTTTAGGTAAAAAAAATATTCAATCAATTAAAGTTCCATTACCTTCTCTCATATACGTAATTAATATCTGATTACTATGACAGCTTGAAATATTATATTTTCAATTGATTTTTATCGTTCCCATAAACGGAAGCGAATTAATGTTATCGAAAGAAGATAACATTAGCGCATTTGATAAAACCTTATTTATAATTACATGAAATAATATGCATTATACCACAAGCTCAGTGAACGCGAGTCTCGACACTTTGCTTCGATGTAAAAGAATACTATGTGTTCCTCCGCTTTATGACTTCCCTTTGATACAAAATTCTTTCATCTTTTATTGGAACAAGCGAACTAAACTTTACTTATTTGTAATACAGAGTTAAAATACTTTTCATTTAATACGACATCGTCTGCCTTAACAATATGGAAATCGTCAATATTTTTCTTATCTCAGATCTAATTTGTTGTGTTACAAAAACGTATCAAGGGAAGGATTCCCTGATAACATTTTTTGTATTTTGTTTATTACATATGAACCAGATATTGATCGGAATTTTCAATGCTGTATTATAATGACGATTAAATAACAATTACTACGCATGTATATATCCAGTGCATTCTTTAAACACTGATTAAATTATTACACATATTATTTTGACACTTAGTTCTTCAGCTAGTTTCTAAAAATATATACAGAAAGGATGTAATTAATGTCGACCTTCTTTGAGGGTGTTTGTTTGTTTGGAACAAGAAAAAAATCTAATTATGTTAATGATGGTCCCACTATGTATTAAAAATAATATTTTTATTTCCTTTATCATATATTTTTTTATTTAGGAATAAAGGTGTTATTGGATTTCGTGCCCAACCATGCTAGCAATGAATCGGATTACTTCAAGAAATCGGAAGCCAGAGATCCCGAGTATGAAGATTTTTTCGTTTGGGCTGACGGGATCGTGGATCCAAACAATGCCAGTAACATTTTACCTCCTTCCAACTGGGTAAGTAAAATAGCTAATGTTCGATAAAAATAATTATGATCGTTTTAAAAGCCTAGTCAAATAAACGAGACCATTGTTTATAATTTTTAGGTGAGCCAATTCGATGGATCAGCGTGGCAATGGAGTCCAAAACGCCAGCAGTTTTACCTTCACCAATTTGCAGTTCAGCAAGTTGACTTTAACTTTAGGAACGAGTCAGTCAGACAAGAGATGAAGAACATCATGAAGTTCTGGCTCGACAAAGGAGCCGACGGTTTCAGAGTAGACGCTCTGCCTTATCTCATGGAAGCTAACCCTGCTGACCACGGCGGTAGATATCCTGATGATCCTCTTAGTGGACGAATTGGACTTGAACCTCATCAACTAGGATACACCATCCCTCTCTACACTAAAGATCTCATTGAATTATATGATGTAGTTTACGAATGGCGAGAATATGTGGATCAATATTGGATGGAAAATGGCGGAGAAACTCGGTAAGTCGTTAGGAGTATTATACATATATGAACAACTTTGTTATGAAGATAAAACAGTCAATGATAAAAGTTTTAATAAGGATCTTATAACTCAACAACTCTTCCAAGTATGGCTAGGTTTCTTAAATCAAACTTCTCAAGTCAAGCCAACTCTGAAAGTTTATAGTAGAGACGGTCTGTTACACTTTTACACAACGGAAATTTCCAAGTTTTCAAAAGCGTTAATTTTATATATAAATAGAATGCTCTATCAATATTTTATACATTGTGCATATGGTTATGTTTCAGAGTGCTGTTGTCCGAAGGTTACGCAAATATCTCCATGACGATGCTTTACTATGGTAACGACGAGGGAGAATTCGGCGCCCACTTCCCCTTCAACTTTGATTTCATTACCGATGTCTCTAATACGTCAAATGCGAGGGACTTCGTTTACACCATTCAGAAATGGCTCACGTACAAGCCCTTCTCAGCAACAGCTAACTGGGTGGTACGTACAAAAATATAAATGATATCACATTTAAATATAAAGAGATTCCGTGTATATAAAAGAAAAAAAATAATTGTATAAATTAAATTTTTAATATTACGTTACAAGCACATAAAAAAATTATCTTTACAGTTTGGCAATCATGACAATAACAGGATGCCAACTCGATTCCGAGAAGACATGGTGGATGGTCTTAACGCCTTAAACATGATACTACCAGGTGTAGCTGTGACCTACCAGGGAGAAGAGATCGGGATGCAGGATGGGTACGTGAGCTGGGAGGACACGGTCGATGTAGAAGCCCTTAACAGAGGCGACAACGAAACCTACATGCTGTACTCACGGGACCCAGCAAGAACTCCATACCATTGGAACGACTCACTCAACGCCGGTTTCTCAACCGCCAACAAAACTTGGTTACCAGTTGCTGATAACTATAAGGAACTGAACCTACAAGCTCAGAAAGCAGCTAATGTTAGCCACTTTAAAGTAAGATATTTTCAAATTATTCTTTATTTTTGCATTGAAACTACTCGTTACTAGGAATAATAAAGCCTTATTGATTTTTTTTTTCAAACTTTAGGTTTATCAGAAATTAACAGCTCTTCGCAAGGAGATGTCTATGATCCATGGAGATTACGAAGTGAGAGCGTTTTCCGATCTCTCCTTCTACGTAGTGCGTAACTTCAGGACCTACGACACATTTGTTTTATTGTTCAACGTCGGAGACAGAGCAGATGTCATCAATCTGACTAGAATCCAGGACATAAAAGTACCCTCTACTGTTGAAGTAGCCAGTATTCATTCCAAGAGGAGAGCAGGGTAAGGGTTTTTACATATATTTTAAAATTTACAAAAGACACTGTAGTTTTTTTTTGTAATTCCTACATCTTCTTTCCTTAGTGACATCATCGAGGAAAACCTGATACAACTAGAGGCAGGAGAGGCGATAGTGATACGAGATGCTCCACTAGATTAATGTAAATATTTATTTTTAATTTTACTAGATTAATGTTTATTTTTAATTTTAATTACTGTATAATATACTATTTTATTTATAGCTAGATTAAATATTATGTTACAACTAAAAAAAGGTTTTATTTAAACAAAAATTTAAGTCTTACATGGATAAAGAAAGATTATCCCTTTCCTGCTTTAACTTTAAATCCCGTAATATTTCATTAGAAAACTGCATTGAGTACCAACTTCTTAATAAACTTAATTTTACTTTTATAAAAATTATATAACGTTTCAATACAGACAGATTTCCTAAGTAATCTAAATGATGAAAAATGGCCACAAGGACGAAAACAATACAAATTGCGTAATTTCGTGATCACCGGTAGACGGGATGAGGTTCTTGCAAAAAAAACAGAAATATTGGAAGTATGTTGTTAAAATAATTATAAACGCATAGTAAATCCGATTTATATTTGTTTTATTACCTAAGGCTCCTTATTAAGTCACAAAAAATACGCCCACTCCACATGAATAAGTGTTAACCCCAGATAGTAAGTATCGAAATAAAAAGAAATGCATACTGTTCTAGAAAAGCTTTTTTGTGTTGGCGATGTTATATTTAAGAAACGAGTTAATGAACGTCAAAATGTATTCCTATGTAACCGTATCTATTCATTATTCGTCAAAGAAATTATGAAATTGTGAAGATTCTTAATTACCAATGAAAACGATATCGTAAATTAAAATATTATTTTCTCGACTAATAACAGTAATTTAATAAGTGTAAAGTGAACGTAAACAAGTCAGCTTTATAAATAGTTACAGTTGCCAGGAACATGTACCTTAACCAAATAATAATTACAATTCAACTTTAAAAATCTAAAAATAACAGTCTTTCTGAGCCTTGATTGAAAATAAAAGGAAAATATCATTAAAAATCGTGCTATTCGCAATATTTTATGCAGCCAATAATGAGAATATTAGTACATAGTTTTTCGAGTAGAGAGTCTAACTTACAATGGACATAGTTACTATTTCTTTAAACTTTCTCAGCTTTTTTCGTATCGGCAACTAGGTGAAGTAAAAGAGATAGGATTATAAATATGAAACCGAACAGCACATTGTAAACGATTGAGAACAATAGGTGTAAGGCATTGACGTAAGTCTGACCTGGTATATAATAGAGGATCCTTTTCCTATATAATAATGAAAACTGTTCAGCGTTACATGGATTGATCGTGCCGGTACCGGGTCCATCGCTTTGCAAGAAAAGGAGCTGCAACAGTGCCTGGAATTTGATACCCAGGCCTAGGTTTAAGGGGCCCTATCTAACGTGCGTTAAACACTCACCTCCACCGTCCAAACTCATCTCCCTACGAAACCACATTTGAAAAGAACCTACTAGTGATGCCCTCGAAGTACGTTTGAACAGGCCAAGTCTCTTAAAAGGCTGTAGAAAGATTTACCTGTTATACCTCGCTCAAACTCCCACTTCTACAGTGTGCAAGTTTACGACGAAGCTATTCCTAGTGAGTTCGTTAGTGAGTCCATTATACTTGTTAACCTTGATGCATTGGTTTTCAGGGGTATTAGTTTCCCAAGTAACCGCAAGCTCTATTATAAGCTCTAAATATAATAAGCTCTAAACGAAAACAGAAATATGTCTGTTTGGGACGCTGACGCAAAAATATCCTCAGATTTTTTCTCATACGTATCCATCATCATAGTCCCATCAATCAACTTATTAATCGTTAAAATTAAACTAAACATATAAATGCTTTTTATTTTATCCATAAATATTTTTTTTTATTTGACATCCGTTGTTTCTATTTATGAAATTTGAACTGGAATTGCAATATGACTATAACTTTGTCCTGAATTTCATTGAAAACATAGAATAGCAGCAATTATTGAATTGCAATTGAATTCAGTATGTTAAGAGCTAAACTCAGACATTTTTATTTTATTAAATGCCATAAAAATCAAATCGAAATTATGTAGCAACTGATTATAATATAATTGAAATATATATATTTTTAGATATCTGTTTTAAAATAATATATTATTGACATTTGTTTCGTGTTAGTAATATCTAAATATATAAAAACTGTTACGATGTATCGACCGTAGTTAAGCCTCGGTATAAAATTTCAAATCTGTTTTGAACAACATGAAAAGTATGCAGCTTTGGTAGCGCCTGTTCAAAAAAGATGCCTATTTGGACGTTGATTGTCATTGCTATTTTGAAAATATAATACTTTGTTTCATACAAGGTGTCATGTTATTTCAAACAATTTCAATATGTATTATAAAACGATACCAAACAGTGATTGCCAACTATGTATATATTGAAATTTATTATTTAACAAGATCTTATAACGGCATTAAAGATGTTCATATGTATATATTTAAATGAAACTAAAAAGTAATGAAAAACAGGGACTATTTCTAAAACTTACTTTCATTCAAATCTTATAACATAACCCAATTTCTTTTAAAGTCCCATATTCATGAACTCTTAAACCATTTGTTTCCAACGAATCATCTTACTGCCATCATTATATTATACTAAACGAATAATGTTACACAAAGGAGCAGAGAGTATTGAATATAACATAACTGAAACATTCCTTTCTTGAACTCAACTCTCCTCGATATTTTATAAGAATCTTCCTTACAATCTAAGGTTAAATATTTTTTCTGGAATTTACGTTACTGTCTAAAACGTAAAATTTAACAACAGAAATAGAGGTAACATATTCAAGTCTTTGTAAACGAAAATATCGTTACTTCAAACAGTGACCAACATAATAACGGACACCTACAGTCGGTGTTTAACAAACACGATTCTAGAAAAAGATATACGATGATATAATAATATCAATAAATTTTAAAATGATCGTTTTATTTTGGATAATAAAATAATATTTCGAAAGATTACCTATCAGATAACAAGACCTCCAAAGAGTTGGGGACATTCAAGATGGTGTCTTGTGTGAAAGCGGTCGGTATCACCGTCTTGGTGCTGGTGGTTGTGGGAGTGGTAGTGGGGTCTACCACCTGGGCTGTTCTCGCCTCCCGAGGACCAGCCCCGCCTGATCTGAAGCCTTTGGACTGGTGGGAACACACCACAATCTACCAGATATATCCGAGATCCTTCAAGGACAGCGATGGAGATGGAATTGGGGACCTAAGAGGTTAACGAATTATTCTCAAATAAATTAAAATGTCTCTATTAAATTCTATATGAACAATCTGTCTGTCCATGACTTTTTAGTCACTGCGATACAATTTACTCTATCGCAAATTCTTCTTACGAATTTCAAAATGTAAATAAGGTAACAATTTAAAGCTTTTCATGGAATGTGATTTATCTCTCGGATCTCGTTACTTGAAAAAAACTCGAAACATAGAGTTAGGACGGTTCCTAGCAGTATAAAATATTCAGAATCATTAAATATTGAATATTTAAGAAAGTATGTAATCATTTTTTAAATAAAATCTATTTGGTTTATGTTAACCATCTTTATGTAAATTTTCCTTTAAAAAATTAACATTGCAATATTGTCTACAATATAAAATACATGAACTTCATATTTTCAATTAAAGTTATAATTTAACATTGAAGTTTTCTATAGAACGAGTTTCTTTCAGTTGCAGGTTTTTGAAGAACAAAACATGAATACATATGAATGTATATATGTACATATGTCCAATTTATAACATTAGTGTTTTCGGTTTAATGGATTGTTTAAAACACCGAAATAATCTGCACCGATTAGTGATTGCATCGGTAATTATATTGAAAATAAACCAAAATTAGTATTTCATTAACCGAAATAGAGCGAATTATAACATACTATGTAGTTTATACCTGGGGTAACATTTACCGATTAACAAAGAACCTTGCAGTTTTTTAGATTAATCTAGATTTCAGAAAATTTTATCAGAATCCTTTACTTTTGTTGCGTTACTAAAGAACATCTCCAAACATAATGCTCATTCCTTGTTTAGTGACCTTAATGTAAAAGAACAATATCAAAAACCATTTCGTGAACTGAAATTTTAGCAAAAATGGAATATGTAGAACAATAAAATTTATTTAATGTAAATACTACAGCTGCTAAATCCTTATACCTTTTTATTGATATTTTGTACTCTGATACTAAAATCTAGGCATCATAATGGAGTTGGAACATCTCGCTGACATCGGCGTCGGCGCTATCTGGATGTCACCGGTGTTCGTCTCTCCGATGGTAGACTTCGGATATGACATCAGTGATTTCTATAACATCCACTCTGAATATGGAACCATGCAAGATTTCGAAAGCTTAGTACAGAAGGCACACGAGCTCGGTAATTCTAGAGCCAAATATTGTTTTTTATGCATATCAATATATGAAAAAAATATATACTCTGCCTTTTAGGTATAAAAGTTCTTCTAGATTATGTCCCGAATCACGCAAGTACCGAATCCAATTATTTCAAGAAATCAGAAGCTAGAGACCCTGGATACGAAAACTATTTTGTTTGGGCTGATCCCATTATTGATCCCAATAACGCTAGCAACCGCCTAGTTCCATCTAACTGGGTAAACATGTCGGATTATTAATATTTCTTTGCCGTAATTTACTATTTATTCTATTTTTCCTATATAATATAATATTCGCAATTTGCCTCCAGATAAGTCAATTCGGTGGCACCGTTTGGGAATGGAGCGAGGCGAGACAACAATATTATTTACACCAATTTGCGATCGAGCAAGCAGATTTCAACTTTAGGGAGAAGGCTGTTAGAGATGAGATGATAAACATAATGAGGTATTGGTTTAATAAGGGAGTCGACGGCTATAGATTAGACGCTATCCCGCATCTCTTTGAAGCAGACCCTAATGATCACGGAGGAGTGTACCCAGATGAGCCTTTGAGCGGTAACATGTTTTTAAATCCCAATCAACCCGGTTACACCACTCAGGTTCATGTCAGGGATCAAATAGAACTGTACGATGTCGTTTATGAATGGAGAGATTTTGCTGATAACTATCAGAAAAATAACGGGACAGAGACCAAGTAAGCTGGATATAACACTACTGTAATATATAATTTAATAATATTAAATCAAATTATTTTATAACACGTTGCTGCTTTTTATATTCGTAGGATTCTTTTAGCGGAAGCCTATGCCAATATTACGATGACTATGTTGTACTATGGCAACGAGAAAGATAGAAATGGAGCCCATTTCCCTTTCAATTTCGATTTCATAACTAGCTTGTCAGCTCAATCCAACGCTCGAGACTTCGTGTACGTTATTCAACACTGGTTAACATACATGCCGGCGGGCAGAGTTGCTAATTGGGTGGTAAGTCAAAACACATACAAGTCGTGCTGAATTCGGGATAACTAAGTTATTAATCGTGAGTTCTTTGACAGTTTGGTAATCACGATCAAAATAGAATGCCATCCAGGTTCAGACCTAATATGGTGGATGGTTTGAATTCATTAAATATGATGCTGCCAGGAGTGGCTATAACATACCAGGGGGAAGAAATTGGTATGAGGGATGGTTATGTAAGTTGGGAGGATACCGTGGATGTAAATGCTTGTAACCAAGGGAACCCTGACAACTACTTGGATTACTCCAGGGATCCAGCGAGAACTCCTTATCAGTGGGATAATACGACTAATGCAGGATTCTCGAGCGGTCCAAAGACCTGGTTACCGGTAGCCCAAGATTACATGGAAATAAACCTTCAAGCACAAAGAGAAGCAGAACGGAGTCATTACAAGGTATATCTTTCCTATCATTACTATAGAAAAATCTTCTAAGATTCAATTAAGAAAGATTTGACAAAAAGATCACGTAACATACTAAAACCAGTTTTAAATTTAGGTGTATAAAACCATGAGCAACTTACGCAAAGAACCGACTCTATCACACGGAAACTACCACGTGAAGGCTCTGTCTAAACACACCTTCGTTCTGGTGCGGCATTTAATAACTTATGACACATATGCCTTGGTATTCAACGTTGGGGATGAACCTGACATCATTGATCTGTCGACAGTTGACTTCTTAAACGAACCTCTAACAGTCCACGCATCCAGTATTCATTCCGAGAGACTCTCAGGGCAAGTAGCTTGATATGCTTATAAATATGACTAAAACATAATAATATTTCAAAAGCTGGGTCTATTACTTTATACTAGACGCTTGACTTTAAACACTGGTATCACGAAAAACTTTAAGTAACTTAGAATATTATTTATATTTATGATTTTAATTTATTAAAAACCAATTTAAATTCACGTAACCGAATACTGCTTATGTTAAATACGTAATATCAGGTATGCTCGTACAACCTGTTTTATACAAAAAAATTAAAAACTTTGTGTTTTTCCTTGTTCCGTAACAACCAAATAACAGCTATTATTTTCAAATTTGCATCGTAATCCTGTCGGGAGCGTTCGTTCGCTAATTTAATTATTAATTCATAGTATACAAGAGTAGATACATTTTTAATTTTGATGAACGTAAAACTAAACTTTATAATTTTCTATTATTTATATGAAAATAAGTACACTGGTATTATAAGTCATTAATAATATTAATAAAGTCATTCATATTTATAGGGATCATGTACCCCGAGCAAATATAACAGTCAGCGCGGGAGAAGCGATCGTGCTGCGAGCTCCTCCGACCTAACATATCATATAATAATAACAATATGACACATATGTAATTGTTACTATAAATATAACTTTCATCATAAAATATTATCGTTTTATTACATATATATTTCGTCCTTTATTACAACGGCTATACGTGCAGATAATGTTAATATAAAAACTTGCAGATACGACGAACCCGATAAGCAATTGGATAAAATTTGTCGAATCATAATCTAAAGATCTTTGATCCGACCTTTTTACAGCAGGCTCAGTAAACCGTGTGATTGTAGAACCTAAAATTACAGATCACTGCGTCCGTTTCCAGCTAACTAATAATAGTTGGTTTGTCCGGCAATTTGTCACGTAACTGAATTACGGTCGTAATGACGTCGCTTCCGCCCCCCGAGGTGCATAGTGATGTATGTGGCTGATAACAACATACATCACATACTTGGGAACATTACAATATATTAGAATATAGATTTAGAAATAAAACAATGTATAAGGACATAAATTGTTTGATAAGTTTCAACAGTACGACTGTAGTTTAAACATGAAACTTTATTTAATAAACACTTTCATATATTCATTGATTTATCATTAATATATTCCTTCAATATTAGTTTCATAAGTGGACTAAATTTTTGGATTAAAATATGATGTTTAACCTTTTAATCCTCCTAAATGGGTGATATTTAAAAACTCTACTATGTATCGAGCTAAAAATTGGTTTCAATTACTTCTAAGAAAGCAGAAATAAATAAGCGTATAGTCATTAAAGCTTACAGAAAACAAATTGAGAATATAGTGTACATGTTATATAGCAATATATAGCATGGGAAAATCACCATAGTTTCTGTCTAGCTCCGTCACTAATGATTGCTGTGTGTTAAATAATTTGATCGTCAATTCATTGGAACATGTTGGTGGTTGCGTTGGTTCTTTTGTCCCTGGGAGCCTCGCTCGCCGAGCCCTGGTGGAACAACGCTATCTACTATAGATTACTAGTTGACTCTTTCAAGGATCTCGATGGAAACGGCCTTGGAGATTTAGAAGGTATTGTAATAAAAAAATATGTATATAAACCAACTATTGTTAAATAGAATAAAATGTATAATTCTTTACTTCCATAGAGCACAAACAGTACAATATGGAATTGCTGAATCGGAACCATTTAATTTTTCATCAAAATAATATTATGCTTAAATATACGAAATTTTAATATTGCTATTGTTATTTTTACAAGATCTAGCAGATTTAGGAAACATAGAAATATATTTTCTTATGGATTTACCTTTCTCTATACAGTAATGTTTTCGAAAAACTGTTAAGTAATAACTTTTAATCGTAATTAATATGTTATTTGATTTATTGTTTTCAGGAGCTACAAAACAGCTAAGTTACGTACGCGCCATAGGAGCTGATGCTGTAATCTTATCTCCCATCTCCGAGAAAAGCTTAGACTGTAATTCACCCGGGACCATCGATTTTGTTAACATTGAAACAAGATATGGTACTATCGATAACTTTAATGCACTGCTGGCTAAAGCAAATAAATTAGGTACGTTGATTGAACCAATATTTTGCTCACGTTTAGATTTGAATTGTAAAATTATCTTTCTGGTTTCAGAGCTCAAAGTTTTGATAACATTACAGCTACAGACCGTAAGCTCGAACTCAATTCTATTTAATTCAAGCGCAGAAAGAAAGACTGGGTTTGAAGATGGAATTGTATGGATCAGTGGAGCAGCTGAGGAGCCACCGGTAATTGGATTATTTTCTACATTATTTTAACCTAGAATTGAGTCCTCGCATATTTACAAGATTTCATATTCAGGCCAGTCGGGCGTTTAGAAACTGGACGTGGCATGAATACAGAGGAGCTTATTATGCAACTGTTAACAAAGAGGCGATATTAAATATTTGCTCTGAAAGTGTCGTTGCCATGCTATCTGATGCAATGTGCGAGTGGTTGAAGAGAGGAGCCGCTGGAGTTCTGATTAATCCAGACTTTTTAATGAATTACGAATGTGGTGAAAGACTTGTTAAAAGAATGGCGAAAGAAGCCATGGCTTGCTCTGGGAATCAAAATTATGATGCGCCGTAAGATAATATCTTTAATAATTCGAATCAAATCAAATACTTATCAGAATATTATTACAAACTTAAAATTGGGGTTGCTACTCGTATTTCATTATTTTAAAACTACATACGTGATCACGGTTGCTGAAAAGTAACCGAAACGTCGGGAGTATGTAGTTTTAAAATAATAAAATATGCGTTATCATCGGAATAATATTAGTTTTATTTAAATGAATACTTGTAATGTAATAGTTTTAGTAAAACGGACACAGTTCAGTTTATAAACATCGTGTACTCTTTACAGGGTTATTTTAGTAGAATCCTCTCTGGAGCCGGAAGTCGCTACTAAATATTACGCTGAGGGCGGTGTAGGTGCCAATAGTGTAATAAGTTATGCCTTTTCTACAAAAGCCAAACGGCCGGCTGTTGGCTTGGCGCTAGACCTGCACGCCGCGTTGTTGTATTCACCACAAGATACGACCCCCGCTTGGCTCGTGAGTTAACCGTAAATATTAAGCCATGCTGCTGCATGCTTTAAAGGCTAAATAATTCTTCATAAGCAACGTGCGAACAACTGTGGCGAATTTTAGGAGTACATTACTTTCTACATGATAAAATACCGTTGAATCCTCTTTTGATTTGAATTATTAATTTAACCACTAATATACAAAGTTATAATCGATTTGTTTTTATTTCAAAACGTCCTGATATTGTAACTATACTAGAAATATATTTTGCAGACCAGTAGATCCGACGGAAACCGAATAGCCACTCGTTATGGCAGCGAAATGGTTGATGCTGTAATACTATTAACCTTGATTCTTCCTGGCTCTGTTATCATTCAACAAGGAGATGAGCTAGGAGTTGCAGACACGTTACTTGATTGGACAGATACTACCAATTGTTGGCCAATGGATTATATTCCTTCGGCTGCTCCCTTTCCGTGGGATAATAGCCCTAAAGCTAATTTCACGACGGGAGAACCCTGGATGCCGTTACCTCCAAATTACAGATATAAGAACGCAAAATCTGAATATGGTAATGAATTGAGCCATGTCAGTGTAATGAAGATAGCATCAGCAATGAGAAAATCTGCAGCTATTTGGCCACACGTTGAGGTAAAATTATATTTGTTTATTTTACAACGAAATGCAAAGACTCTCGAAATCATTGAGACTAAAAGTTTTTAATTGTGTTTGGAATAAAAAAAATATTTGCAATTTTTTTCAATCTTCAGATAAAAGTATTAAGTGATGCGCTGGCGATACTGAGGTGGGGTGGGAGTGGGTCGCTGTTAGTCGTGTCTAATCTTGGTGCTGGACTGACTGAGGCTCAGCTTTCCAAGATTCCTGGCCTACCAGCTGAAATGACAGTAGCGGCAAGTTCTGGAGGATCTAGTTTATCACCCGGCAACCATGTTACTGTAGGAAAGACGTTAAAATTGTCTCATGGGGAAACCGTGCTGCTGGTTGGACCTCCGAGACACTGCGGTGGACCAGGACCAGTGGATAAAATCACAAGCAAACTCTCAGAGGGATGGCAGAAAATCAACAAGTACTTCAACATCTGAGAAAACGTTAAATACATAAATATTATCACGGCAATATAATTGTTCTCATAGCTTGTTACAAATGATCTTTCATTGACCTTAGATAATAACCGGCTTAATATATCAAACACACCGATAAAATACACAAACAGTATACCTAATTAAAATATGCTAAATATAATATTATGTCTACATATAACCTTCAAGAAACGAGTTCATTAATGAATATTAAAGTAGGCTTAAGATTAAGTCCGGCGCTCTATCGTGCCATCTGAATAGGCCACGCTAGACGAGCCTTGAGCGTAACCCTATAGTAAAGCCTCCCGGTCCACGCCGCACGGTCGAGCGAGCGTTCTCTTACATTCTCATTATACATTTCATTCTCTATTGTATTTTCTGTACGACCTATTTTTCCACGAATCCTATGAATTCCATATAATTTACATAGGCGCTTCCTTATTTGAAATTGCCTTTTTAATAACTCGTTTTACTCGTCTCTAATAACAATCATGGCTTACATTTCTATTTAATATCAGGAGAAATTAATAAATGAGCAGTTTCATAATGTTCATCAATAAATATACAGTTTTTTAGTTATTTTACTGACGTGTATATTGTAGGTATATACGAATATATGTTTTACTCGTTTCACATTTGAAATGAAAATTTTGATAAATTAAAACTAAAAAAAAATTAAAATTCATATCATTAACAATTATTGTTAAATGATAGTTTTGTGAGATATTTGAATAATATATGAATGATTTAATTCATAACTTCAAAGTATATAAAAATGTTGAGGTTATATATCGTACTACAAGTAATATATGTATGTATGAGAGTACTGTTATAAATGAAGTCATTGGGAGGTCGGGTCTTATAAATCTATTAACAACAACCAAGAGGCCGAAAAGAACACGGAATTCCAAAATGGAGTCATCGCATCCGTAAAACCGCGAACTCTTCAAGCACTTCTTAGCGGACCGCCATCCGCCAGAGGGCGCTGTGAGTGCCGGTATGATGGTGACCAGAGCAGGTAAAGTAAAGCTACATGCTATGAGTATATAACACTTACAGAACTTGCTCTTCTCGGCATTCCCGATGGCGGCTAACGCGATAGCTGTGAGCGCGGTGAGCAGGGCACGCGCCCTCATGGCCGCGGCGCGCGCTCGGGGGTCGCGCCGCGCTGACTGCCCGCGACACTACACTACACCGCCGTCTATCGACCACGGCACGAGCATGCGCGCGGCAACCCTAGTGTTGCTAGTCGAAAAAGCTCCCTACGACCCATACCATTATTAAAATTTAAAATTTCCCCCTTCAAACTTGATGTCGCATCAAATTGTTTCTTCATAAAAATATTTCTTACACATCAATATTAAATGTAATGACGGACGACTTTTATCGCAAAACTGATGCAGAAGACCCATTATAAGGCTTAGACTGGTGTATAGAAATGGTTTAATCAATTTTATGAAGGTATATTTAAAGTTATTCAACTGTTTCTCTCTTTTATTACAGAAAAGAGTAATAACACTAATAACACAAATCCAACCCGACTACAATCTTGAAATGAGAACTTCATTTTTCTTTATTATAAACTAGCACTTGCTGGTGACTGTATTAGAACAAGGAGGAACTTTAATCTCGGAACTGAAAGCAATCTTTACATAATTTGTAAGAAATTCTTTGCAAAATTCCATACACTTTATACAACGTTCTCAAAACATAGTGAACGAGAATTTAATTTCGATTATAATTGCACAAATACATGTAAGAAATTATCTCTTGATTGAATTGAATTAAGAACGAAAATTAGGCTAACATAACAAGGAAAATTTACAAAAACATATTATAGTATGAAGATAAGGGAGGGAAGGTCATCTAAAGACGGTATCAGTCTCGAACCAGCAACCATTAGGTCCTCACGACCAACACCGACTTCTCAAGTTGACGCCAGAAGCCTACCCTTGCTGATTGAACCGAGTGTCTGCCTCTCCTCCCCCGCGCCGTCCCTCCAGCTCCCCTCTCCACTCGTAAGCACTCCTTTCCTCAAGTGGCCCTCCAGCCGGCTCGAGGATCCTTCAAACATAAAGGTATCTTTTGACAGCTCTGTTGTAGGCTGACTAAAAGGTTGGAAGGATTACTTACCGCCAAGGTGTGGCGATATGGCAAAAGAATTGGATCGGCGCCTTGCTTTATTATTCGCAGGAAAACCCGGATGATTCATATGGTATACGACGAGGGGGTGCCGATTGAAATTAGCGATAAACTCGCACTTTGTCTATGGCTGCCATGAAAACTACTTTCAGTACAAAATACAATAATAATTGCTGAATATATAAATGACTATAAAATACATTTCCCCTTTGTCTGTATCCGAATTTAAGCAAAGTTTAAATACCTAGTATATATGAACATAGCAACAACCTTTACATTTCCGTACATTAAACACTCTTGAAAAGTCTCTGAAGTGTTGTTAAACAGACATCGTCATACTTGACGAAAATATTAACATGATGCTTTTCTCTTGAATACTAAAAAAGAGCTTAGAGCAATACATTATATTTAAAAATATACTTAGAACATAAAGCTTTAAATAATCACAGAATAATCAATCCTTTTTTTAATATATAATTCATTAGAAATTTGTATGCATCTCGAATAAAACGTCTTTTAATTTATCATTTCCTAAAGTATAGGTGACACTATCACCTGTCGCCTCCTGTACAAATCTAACGATACACAATTTAATTAAGTAAGCTTCATCTGTGTCTAAAATAAGCATAGACACAGTGCTAAGTACCTTCTTTCTATTAGTAAGAAATATTTACTGTAAGATCTTTTTCAAGCAACAATAATGTCAAAAATAATAGCAACTATCATATTTATTCGGTCATTTAGTGATAATTATTCAGAGGGTGGTATGACAGCGGCTGTAATTTGATACAGAGCAGCATCTCCTCGCCAACTCTCGGAGCTTTATGCTGCTGCGTTTAATGATCATTAGCAGAATGAATGCTGTACAGAGGAGATCGTGTAGAAATACTGAAGAGGACATTAAACACTTTATAAATTTAGCGAGCAAAAAAGAGTTTAAAAAATAATTATTAAAACAATCCGCGGTTAATGCCAACTTGACCTGCGATATATCGATCAATTAAAGTCATCGATCAAGATTGTCAAAAAAATAATTAAGATAAAAAACTTCGAGGTCCAGGATCAGCAGAGGTCTCGAATACCACTCAGCCCAGCAAATGGTGTAGAGGCTGTCATTAGGTACCCCAGACCACCGCTGATGATAAGTGAACGCCGAAATTGTGGACATATTACACGTATCAACTTTGTTTCGACTCTTATCAGATGCTATCTGATAATACACCGCGTATTATTGATAAACCGGATTGTAATTATACGAATTACGTATCATTCTGTTATCAGGCGCAGCAATTAAGGGAAAGTGGCCGCACTCAGAATATACAGACACTATTACACTTCCAATTATATGACAATGTTCCTCGAACACAATCAACATATTAAGGATGACTTGACTACTGTAACCAGGAACACGAAAATTTAATACATACATATTAATTATCCTAAATATAACTTTTTACATGAAAACGCACGAATGTTCGAAACTGATTAATTATTCCTCAATCTCAAGTCCTACTGACAGCTATAAACAAACACAATCCTAGGTTCTGATACAATTAGTATCCAACGGGATCCATCTACTACTGAAGATCAAAGTGCACACATATGTAGTACTTCCAAGTTAACAGCAAACCCGCAGGACGGCAGATCCCACTCAATATGGACACTCCAATATACATATGTACATAGGTTTGTGTTTGAGCTGTACTTGAGAAATTGTGATTTATATATGACTTATGTTTTATTGTTCATATTATTATTTTTTTATAAAATACTCGTAGGAGAGAAAACAATCCGAGACATAATCGCGAGAATCAGTTTAACTTCCCTCTCATGAAAGAAAGACGAACATGAAACCATAAATGCTCACAAGTTCCCGCCTTTATTAATACACTTATTTTATTATATTGGTTGAATTATTTAAATTGTATAATATAAAACTTTTAAAACAATTAAATAAACTTCATTTCTCATGATTCCGCTTTCTTGTTATTTCCAAGTCCATTTGAAGAGTTACTGAAATACAGACGATATAATATATGTGATAAGAATTTTTAATTATGCTATAAAGATGGTAACTCCTTGTTGTGTTGACTATTGCTATTTTGTAATATGTTCAAACAATGTAATATATTTTCATATATTTTTTTCCATTTTTTTATATATTTGAGTAAGGTTATCGTTAAAGACTGTCACCAAAATAAATACAAAATGTATGCAAAAAATGTTAATAAGATTTACTTATAACTCTTGAAAAGTACATTAATAATTTTCTGTTGTTGTAGCCTTTAGGTATCTTCTTATTAACTCGAGGACTATTAATTAATCATTATAATACCAAGTAGATAAGTTATTTAATTATTTACCAGACGTCTGAACTCTTAAAACATATCGCAGACAGTGCATTTACAAACCATTGGCCAACATTTTTATTTGTACTTTATACGGAAGTAAAAATCTAAGAAAATATTACTATTTTAACGACATTATTATAATTCTTAAATATATGTTGGCCCTAAATATCCCAGAGAGGTGACCAAAACTAATGAAATTGCGTTCTAGCTGGGAGCCCAAACACCCTGTTTCCTATAAAAAAAAGGTGCTATGTTTCTATAGTCATATATTCCTTTGCATATAGCTCTTATTACAATCATATGTGGAATATAATCCGAAGGTGTTCATAGGTAACAACAACTCATCAGATACACCGTAGGAATTCTATAACATCAAGATAAGTTTCAATACTAATTTTACTGATCAAAATAACATTTTGTATTGTGTTTTATTTAGTATAAATATAAAAGATTTATTTTCAATAGCAAATTGATACTAATTTAACCTAACATGCCGATATATATGTACATATGTAACATAACTAGAAAGTAAAATAAATCAAGGTACGTACATATACCAGTATAGGTTGCTTAAACCTGAGCCACTGAACTAATTAAACGTAGATCCGCTTTCGATGAAAAATGCAATTTTCTCGCGTAAGTGAAAGCTTAAAGATAATCTCATTGTAAAAGTTAAAATATTAATCAATTTAAAAATCATTGTTTTACTATACATATAAAGTGTTTGAATATAATTGGCGTAACATGAACAGAATGAAGATATTATCGTATAATAATTAATAATTGCAAAGCACGTAATTAAGGGCTGTCTGTCCGAGCGAGCCCGTTATTAATGTTTCATACATGCGCTGTTAAACTCACTTTGAACAGCCGACATCGATACATTAGTTTTGTGTCACTTAAATGGAACTAACCTATTTGTCTACATAAGTAACATAAGCACTTTCCGGGTTCTCGCCCCTAAATTTAATACATTAAAATATATTATTTTATTATATAATCATCTTTGATTTTTATAAAGAAAAAATAAATGGATAATAGTAAACCAAAAAATATTGTAGACCTATGGAATCTTAAGTCACTAGAAAAACTATTCGATATAGTCACGATGAAACGGACACAGGAAAATGAGCCACAGACTGCAATAGAAGCATCGTTTGTAGCCGCAGGAGCTGTGAAGCGTTAAGTTGGCTAACATTAAATGCATTTAGGTTAAACAAAAGTGAAACAGTGGACTTGTGATGCGGGGCGGTGCAACGCAACTCACACACGACGCGCTGCAGTGAGTTGTAGACAAACCTCTAATGTAACACTGGAAATATAACCTACACGAACGTAGACGCTTCAGTTAAATTAATTATTTCAGTGTAAATATGTGTTTTAACGCGTCGTTTTTATGAGTCGTCGTTGTGTCGATAAACAAAAACTCGTTAAGTAACGAGTTCGTATCACTGCATTGTGATAATGATGCCGTTCATTGGTAATTACATTGAAGTTCGAAGCGTAAAACACAAATAGCTTTTAAATTAAATTATGGCCGACGTCCGCACTCGAGTTGCGGTGTCCGTGGCGCTCGCACGACCCTCTAATTAGCGTCGATATGTTGTTACAGTGAATAATGAAGCAAATAAAATATTAAGTAGTGTTATCGTTGGATCGCGTGCCGCTTTCTTCCACCATTTAGTGCGTCCGCGACTGTCAGTCGAGCGCGACATGAGTCTGTGCGCGCGGGAAGACTCCACGCCGCTGTTGTCTTCTATTATACCAGAAGAAACTCACCCACGTGATAGACCAGCCACGCTCCAAACAGAAGAAAATATAAGACTGCAGAGCTACCGAGAAGTGAAAGAAAATATAACTGTGAATACACCGTCTGGAGAAGTTCGTGCGTTAGAAAACAGAGCAACGATTGTGTCAAGATTAGATTTGATTACCTCAATATCTCCAACGAGAAATAAAATTTTAGAGCTGTTACGGCCAGAAGACCCCGGAAAAGATACACTGGAAGCTATAGTGCGACCCACGCCAAGACGGGGACTGGTGCGACCCTATGACGAAGACACCAGACGGTTTCTTCAGAGAGCCCTTCTGCCGCCTGAACCTCAACAGTTTTCCCGGTTATCTAAATCAGATAGTGAACAACGAAGATCAGTTGTAGAAAACGAAGGCAATGAAATAGATAGCAAGCAAAAAAGAGAGATTCATGACTTCAAAAAAGAACGATCTCTAGCGGAGGAACTCAGGGAAGCTGAGGAGGATGAGAGATCTGGACCTCATATACGGAAACAACTTCTTAGAGAATTTAGAAAACGTGGCGGAGGAACCCGGGAGGCCATGGAGAGGGAGAGGCTCGGAAAACTGGCTCTAGCTGTCGAAGACGACGAAGAAATTGACGAAGATTATAGTTTATCAGCTGCAGCAAGGAAACTAGATGCGCTACTCGTGGAGTCGAGGAACCTGCACGAGGAACTGGCTGGCATCCACCAGGACATCCAGGTGCTGGCCCGGCGCCTCGCTCGCCGCGACCACTGACCGCGTTGGTACCCACTGACGACTGCCACCATATTACTATCAAAACCACGCACTAATCACCAAGATATTTTAATCATGACCAATAATTTCACGCTTAATGCAATTTAGTCCATTATAAGCACTCAATGTTTTCTAACTTATAATCACACAAACCGCTCATTAAAACGGTATTGTTTAAATTTATCTGTTCGTAAGTAAGTGAACGCTCTCAGGGACCGGCCCACATTAATATGCAGATATCCCTAATCAATCATTTACCTGCAAACTTGTACGCTTATTGTTTATTAAACTGTTGGCTGAGCGTACAGAGAGCACCGGATGGGGTTACGTACGTTTTTCCTCTGATCACAGAGGGTCAGAGCCATTAGCAATTTAATACCATTAATATTTTACGCTGTTCAAACAACACATTAATTTCGTATACAGAAACATTACCCACAACAAAACCACCAAATGAGCTGTGAAATAAATCAAAATGTCCTAAATGGTATTAAATTTTGACTCGTATAATATGAACAGATATTACTTTTGACGAGCGTTGTTTAACAATGTATTGTAATATAAACATATGATAATTTGTATCCGCCCACATTTTAAATCTTCATTAATAGCAATTGTTATCTAATTGAAGCCCGCACTGTGTGTCATGCACTCTTCTTTCCGTTGTCAATTGATAGAAATTACTTGTGACATACGAGTATCAGAAAATATCATCTGACAGACCGTTTATTGTATTATTTCAAGGATTGGAACATAATAATTAAATAAACATGCAAAATCTTGCATTTTTAAACATAATTCAAACATTTTGTTCTATAAAAGTCATTTGCACTTGTTTTGTTGCTTTCATATAAGTATGCAACTCATTTAATCTGGCATGCTGTGGTGGCAGTTGTTTTCAATCGGGGAGACTTCTTCAGTGTGTGTTTTATGTATTAGAATATTAATACAATTAATTTATTACAGTCTTCAATAGACGTTACATAATGTTAAGTTAATCCAATATATATCGAATGTAATTGACATACTCACAACATCTTTGTTTTATAACAAAGATTTTTTTAGTGTCATGTTACAGACAACATAGATAAAAAAAATGAAATTAAATTTAATTCCTAAATGCATATTGTTTAATGAAACTGTTTGTTGAGCAGACACAATGCGCGCGCGCATGTCGTTGTACGGCGGCGGCTCGCGCGCTGTCAGCGGAGTCGCGGGCGCTGAGGTATCTAGACGACGTGGTGGCCCTGCTGAGAGGAGACCTGGACGCGGCGAGGAGGACCAGGGCCTGGCCCTTCGCCTTCGGGGCCCGCCAGCCCGGCAGGAACTACATCATTTGAATACAGGTGAACCAAACAGATTACGTAACAAATCACACATCAATGCATATCATCGGCATCATCGGCTTATCAGAGCCCATTGCTGAGCAAAGGCCTCGTTCTCACATGGAAAAGGTTTGAGCTTTAATCACCACGCTTGCTAAAGACGGGTTGGCGATTTCAAACTTATAATTTGAAATTATAAGTCGAGGTTTCCTCACGATGTTTTCCTTCACCGTCTGTCAGTGGTGTCCAAATACTCTTAGAAAGTACATATGACTAGGAAAAATCACAATGGTACTTGTCAGGTTTCGAACTCGCGCCCCCATATATGAGAAGCGGGCGTTTCACTGCATAAGAGATAATATTTTTATTTTAACATAGCACACTGTTTTCTCTCCGTTAACTTTTTTTGCAAAACTAACCTAATTTAACATCGTCGTAATATTTAACTACGTCTGTAACGGTCTTTTTAAAATTATGCTCGTTAAATAACTTGTTTAGGGAAAAAAAATATATAAATATTAATTTTAATAGAAACGTATAAAACAAACAAGATTTCATCAACAATGGAATGAAAGGAGATTGAAGGGACGAGGAGGGAGGGAACACGAAACTTCACTCAACATTTAAGTGAAACAAAGATTTTTCGAATAAGATAAGTGAATGAAAAAAACGGAGCCAACGACGATTTATCTTTAAAACGTTTGAAACAAGACGAGACGCAATTTAAGAGCAGGTGGGAGAAACAATTGTGAGATCCGCGCAACCAACACGATTTAATTATATTATACCTAACAAATTACATTTAAATTTAATACGAATGAATTATTTTATAAAATCTTCAAAATTATTCACGAATGTGATAGAACTGTTTTACTTTTCATAGTATAATTATTGAAAAAATACATAAATATTTGCTGTCCCATAACAGACCGAGATAAACTTAATATGGTAGAATAAAATGTAAGTTGAAAATCAATGCAACAAATTTAAATAAAACCATTAAAATTATTAAATTATTATATATAGAATTTTGTACAAAATCTACAGATGTATAATTTTAAAAATAGCGATGTTTTAAAGTAATTCAAGATGGGTAGAGCGAACCATTCGTACGGATAGATTTTATTTATATTTATACAGGGCGCCCTTACAGTACAGAGGCTGCACCGGGCAGGTGTCAGTTACAAAGATATTCGAGCTCACGGTGTACCTACAAATAAATAACTTTCAAAGTAACGGCTGTATTACTGCACTTATACGTTAAACAGGAATTATAATGAACTTTAACATAATAAGATTCTGTTGTAAATACTTTATTTTATTTTAATATACAACCAATTTACTAAATAAAATCAAAGATGAATCGTTTCAGTCAAGATTATTATCACAATTACTATATTATTTCCTATCAAATATAGTTTATACATTCATCTTTTAAATTTACATTACATTAAGCGTTGCCCAAAATTTGTAACAGATATTTATATAAAATAATCCTATTTTCAATAGATAAGTAAACATGATGCATATTATATTGAACCAATGCCAAATGACTTACATAAAAAGCAAGTGCACATAAATACAAATAGTAATATAGACAATTAATCTGTATGATGGTGGTGTATCCGGGGACTACTGGCTAGAGACCAAACGATCCCGGAGAGATATAGTTTGAACCTAGCCTCGGACAGGAGGGACATGTTCTGTAGCAATAGCTGTTAAATAACAAACATACTACACAGGGTGACTGGTGAATTACTATCAATATTTAAGGAGCATACTCGGTTCATGATTCTCATTCGAATTGTGTAAAAAAAATAGGTACTTAATTTTTGACCAAATTTCCGTATAAATAAATAAAGTGTGTACACGTTCTAAGTGTTCCAAGTGTGGACGCGTGCGGCGGCGTGCTGATACAACAACACGCCTCCGCGCGCGTATGTGTGAGTGTGTGTGTATACCTAATCTGTAGGGTGTTCATACGATGCGTAATTAATTACATAACTTTTGGTTAACTTTACTTAGAAGTTTATTAATATTTATGTTATATTAATTTTTATTTTGTCATATAAGATCGTCAAATATCACGTCCTTAAATATCGATAGTAATTCACCAGTCACCCTGTATATACCTAATAGCAGATCTAATAATTCCTATCCACACGTGGTTCAAACACCATTTCTCCGTCGGCGTAAAAGAGGATTTCGTTTTGGAAACTGTATTCAATGTGTGGCTCTAATTAGGATTGAGTAAAACAATTTCGCCAAACATAATTAAAACTTAGGAGGCGTGAATATAAGAAAGAACCTAACGAACAAGCCCTCGCGAAAATTATGAGTAATCAGCGTTTTAGTTCGCATTCATCGTTATTTTGGAATGAAATAATATTTATATGTTAAAATAAGAATGATATTTGTAACTAATTATCAAATACAGTAACTAATTATGCTATTATCTTGATAACATTAGTGATAATGCATTCGCTCGTTCATATATAATAATAACACTGCCCAACACATATTTTGTTTCCTTTATTTTTTACACTGGTATTAGTTATTTCTATGTCCCTGAATATGAAAAAAATACTAAAAAAATTCTAACAGCTTTAGTTTTTGAAATATATATTTTTTTTATTTTGACCAAAAATGCAGAAAATTGATACAAAATGTTTTATAAAATACAATGAAATGATCTTTTGTAGGAATTTCTTGACTGAACGACTTCAGATAGATTTCGTTGCAAACTCCAGCAGTAGTTTGCCATCATATGTGAGTCCCACCGCCCCTGATAACGCTCTTCCAATGTTCTGGACCCTGGAGGAATCTTTCACCCTTCTCTTTACTGTAATCATCCAGATTTTTTGGAAATCGGTCTAAATGCGAGCGCAGGAAGTGGATTTTTATGCTAATGTTGCACCCTAGTTGTTTCAAATTCGATAGCATGGCCTCAACAAGCTCCACGTAGTCGTCAGATTTATTTTTGCCTAAGAAATTACTAATAACCAAAAAAAATTAACTCTAAGGTTTCGATTCCACTTTAGTCATTGATTTGACAAAATCAGAATCTTTCACGAGTTGCCTGATCTGTTCTTGAGGTTCTTGGCTAGATTTGTAGACTGAATAAGAATCTTCACTTGATGAATTTCGTTCGGGTTCACAGGGATTCGGGTCATCAGAAGATTTAGATTTGCCAGGTTGTACCTCTCATGATTTTAATTGGGGTCGTTGGGCAGAAGATAAGTTAGGATGTGGCCACTTATTTCGATTGCCAGGATTAATTCCTTTTACTTTCACAACGCAAAAGTAGCAGTCGTCATGATCGTTTTAAGGTTCTCGCACCTGATCACCTGTGTTTCGAATTTACTGCATCTCTGTTTCCATTGGACCACAATTGTAGACATACAACACATTTTTGGCATACAATATGAGGAATCCACAGCTTGTTCTGATTAAACAATTTTATTTTAAAGTATTGTTGATACACATTTTTCACAAGTTAGACATAGGTTTTCGATACTTTGCAAATACATATTCACTACAAATATAGCAAAAAGAGTCGGGATTAAGCACACAACATCTTCTTGACGAAGCCATATCGAAAACAGCAACAAAATATATTGCAGTGTCGAATAAAAAATGCATATGTAGATGAAAGTAGTAAATGAGGGTAATTAGCTGTAACTCAAAAACAAAAGCTGTTAGAGGAAAACTGTTTCGAAATTTAAAAAATATACATCAATTTAAGATAGAAACAAGAAAAACATTAAAGGAAACAAACAACTTTTATTTTTTTTGTTGACCAGTGTAATCGATGCAAATCATTTATGACTATTGTCACACTCTCCACAAAGGTTTTTACGATCGTAAAAACGATTAATATTTGAAAACATGTGTGTACCGCGTATAATGAATTTCGTTAAATTATTATGAGCAGCGGACGTTTATCAAAATTTGGCAAACGGAGCTCATTCTGCCTTATAATTATTGCGAGCACATAGCGTTTTACATTTAGGTCCGCTTCGACCACACGACACGACAGTAGATACTTAAAGACCAATGAGCATTAATCTATGAACACATACACTGTACTGTATCGGTTGATAGAGAGAGAACTGAAGAAAAATATTCAATTTTGATAAATAGACTCAATAGAATTCGTTGATTTAAACAAATACGTAGACTTCATAAGCTCAATCTCCCTCTAGGTTACTTTTTGTACACTAGCACACAACTAAAGTCGTGTCGTATGACGTCATACGACATGTCGTTGAGAGTGCACAGACCCAGCTCGTACCACGTGGGGCGAGCTCGGTACCAACACCACGTAACATACAACCTGACTCCTCAATAAGCCAATTAGTCTCTTCACTAGACTGACCTCTCTATAATGCACATTTATAATACCCAAGACGTGGACACCAGAATTTAATTATTACATACAATACATCGTCGAGTGTAAAAATTGTAATATTTAATATAATCAATGCTCTCATACATATACTGGTTAATACATAACACAGTTAATTAATAAACTTGCGTTACTGAGTTTTCACTAACAGAGGAATGTAAGCTGATTGTACACCACACGGGCACATTTCACAATATTTCTTCATAGCGTTTTATTCATTGCCGACAAGTTTTATTCATAATTACTTATTACATACAAATGTATATACGCATAAACGGTCACTGTATTTTACATAACTGTGACGTAAATACGAATTTTAATGTTTATAATTAAACAGGTTTTGAATAAAAATATTTGAAAACATATCATTCATTGACGGGATTTGAGCAGTTAACAAAACAAGTATTAATAAACAAACAAATAAATGTTTACAAGAATGTATCTCGATGACCTTTGACCGTCCTGGAAAATTATAATTATTTGAATACAATAACATTTTTGTAATTTCTGTTGCAGCGAGATAATACAACCTCGAACTGGAGATACCAGGAGATAACAGAGTCATCAGGAATACTCTTCACAAATAATTTTAGGAATAAGTGCATTTCTATTAAAATATTTATGTCTGATCAATATATACATATATAATTTTAAGTGTATAGCTAATTAATGTCATATTGAGTAACATAAATGTCACTTATTTATTGATATAGAAAAATTTATACAAATCCAATATGGCGGATGTTCATACATAGATAATATATGTTTTATCTAGTCTACCATTTTCAGCTAGTCTGCCGAAAAAGGCTTTAAATTTTTTTCCTCAAAATATTCTTGTAACCTTCATCACTGTTAAATTATGCTAAAATATTTTGTTCTATAGAATTTAATTTAGAAACATGCACTTGTAATAAGAATAGTTATATCCACAAGCACCAAGACTGATTTAAAAGGTTAGTGAATGTAATAAAAGATGATTAATTGATATATAATAATATTATTGAAGTATTGAATAGAATTGTTGAATAAGACATAAACAATTATATTTAAAATATTTATTGTATGTTAAGTCTCTGGTGTTTACATTATTGTAATCGTGTAACTGGTAACATTTATTTGAAGTCAATGCTTTAATTTTTATTTAGAAAAAATTACATGTTTATTGATTAATGAATCGCTAAGCGAATTTTGTAATAAATTTTTATATACTGATTTTAAAATAGACTGTTTTATTTTTATTAAAATTAATAAAACATCAAAGTTACATAAGTCATTCAGAATACGATAAAATTACGCCAATTATATTATTATTACATAACATTTCGTAATATATAACCACGTTATGAAATTTTGAACTGGTGCCAAAACAAAAACAAACAAAAACTACAAAATTCACAGCACTTATATTAAATGACCACACAATTAATGATAATAACTTTAGGTCGGGCGTTTAATAGTAATTCGATTACATGTAGTGACAATAGTTCATTACGTGTGGCTGGGGCTCTAATTGGAACAATTTGGCTATCCTTCATCTCTCGAGGGTCGGGGGGCGAGGGGAGGGGCTAGGGATACAGTAATCTCTGCTTGTGACGGATGATGACGAGCAATGAACATTCTCTGAACCATGGAGCTCAAGAAAACGTTTCCATTACATCTACATGATGGAAGATGACCTTAGTGTATGATTTAAATTACTCTCCAACCACGATATATATTATAAACAATTAAATTTGAACGCTGTTGGCATGAAATTTAATATATTTTTTTATATTAGTTTAGTTTCGAAGAAAACATATATGTAAAAGGTTATTTGATTATTTATTTTACAAAAATTCGATACTTGCAAGTAACATTTTACATAGAATTAAATTAAAATCGGTATTATTATATACACAATACATGAACAGGAAGGTGAATGGCTGAGAGATCTGTAAAACATTATTTATTCGTTAAGTTTAAAACATTTAAAAAAACGACTTAACAAAGCCCAATGTCTTAAAGTTTTATCTAAACCTTAATTCACATATTTATCTGTAACGCACCTTCCAGTTGAATATCAAAGTCTTAATTTATTTAGCTAACAAAACAATATGTAACTAAAGCTATCGGTTTCACACAACACGTCCTGAATTCCTCCAACAAAGCATAGCCGGGATACTTTCAATAACTTATCTTTCCGCTTTCAGCTTCAACTATTTAACCCATTTAGTAACTTGACGCACTTCGACATACTTATACGAGCTGAGCTTGGAAGCAATGCCTCTTATAAGCTGCATTACAGAACAACCATATATTACACGAATAATTACTATTAAATATAACTTTGGTTACATATATATAATAATATATTTTAATAGGAAATGAAACGTTTAAATCATAATTTAGCATCGCTGCCGGTGCCGGCGATCAATACTGTTTAAAATTTAAATCAGATGAAGGAAAATGTTCGACAATCATTTACATAATATCTGTAACGGTTCTTATATTGGCGTAACTTTTTGCGTGTTTCAGTTCGAACTAACTTAGTTAAACAATCATAACATGAACGAAACTCATTAATTATTGAGCTAAAAATATTTAAATCCGTCCAATTTATAAAACGTTAAACAGGAATTAGTTATTAAGTGGAATTGTTAGTTTAAATAATTTTTAATTCTTATATATCGTCGTTAATTCAAACAGCTGTATAATATTATCATTTCTCCAAGTGGTTTTGTTTTATCAATATAACTCAATGCATTACTAATCAATATCATTGCATTTATAGATTTTTTTAACCTTTTTTCAACATAAAGCTGTAAAAACATTCTACTTTTTCACATCATCACATTGAATTCGACTTTACCATTAATAACACTACATTATGTATTAAAAACAAAAATATTACGGAAGAACGATCCATCATTGAAGACGGAACCCCAAAAAACAGAGCGGGGTAGTTAATATTATATTTGGTGCCGTCACCGGGACGGAATCGCGTGTTCGGTAACCGCCTAATTGAAGCGGCAGCTAGCTCGGGGCTCCGCTGACGGGCCAGTGCGCGGCGGAAGGTGGCCCGAGCCTCACCTGCACCAGCCTTCTCTAAGGAACCTCGCATTACAACTGTCACGATTAAGAATCATGTTCCAACCAACTAGCTGTTCATGTGCTGCTAGATAATAGTGGTTACAACACACAATTTCGGTAAACACTTTTGTGGATAACATAGTTACTAGGTCCGAGTTTGCGTTAGATCACAAAATCTTCTTCATCCTCTAAAGTTTACAACCTTCTCTGCCACGTTGCAAGCATTCTGCTTAATAATAATCATCTGTTAAACAGAATTAATCGCATCATAACAATCAAAGCAGCTATAATTTGAGTCGCTTATTATTTTTTTCCGCCAGCAATTGAAATGCGCAACGGAAGATACTAAATCAAAAATTTCATTAACTGCTTCATGGCACGAACATCTTCCAGTTTATGTTGAAATACGTAGACAATGAAAATGACTTTAGAGAACTCGCGTTTTAATTATATGTTTATGAATTAAGCTGTTCTGAAATGAAATTTCAAATAATATTGTACAAGCAGGTAGGGACCAGTCTCACTTTCAAAGCAAATTTTCAGAAAAATAAATACAATATTAAACGTCCTTAAAGATCTTAATCGTGACAGATGAACATTAGACAAGATATATCAGAGACAGTGAAGCTTAAGAATTACAAGAAGTTTATGAGGAGGGTGAGGGTGCGGAGGGTGTAGAGGGTGTCAGAGGGTGTCAGAGGGTGACGGACGAGATGAGACTATCACGTGGGTGATCATGTTGTTTTAACATGCTTGTGTACTCGCTTCTTATTTATTTTATTGCTCTATGAATGTATGAATGAGAGTGAATGTAATTTATTCTGACCTATCATATCATAAGCTTAGGTCATCACCTATCATATCATCATACTTATCATACTACGAGTACCTACTCCAGGCACTATGTGAATCCCTGAGCAAATTATGACCACAGCTACATTATTCGATACGATTTCAATTCAATTTAAAAATTTGATTTATGAGATCCAAGTCTAAATTTCGTGAAAAGGAAAACTCTCGTTGTCATTGTTGTTTTATCTTTCATTTTAATGCTTAAAGCCGACTGAATAATGCAATAATATCTTTTGAAGTTTGGAAAAATCTTAAACACATTTAGACAGAACGCTGAGTAATGAGAATTTTCAAGATAATCATGTACATTTAAAAATTATTTCTTTATATACAAGATGCTAGAATGAATATGTCGTTTTTAAGTACCGCTATTAGTTCCTTAAATAGTAATTAAAAATAATTCCCCTAAGTATATACTACAGTAGTCATTATGTGATTCACCTACATATTCTCGTATAAGGATTTCTTTACACAACCGACGATTATCCAAATATTTAGTTATAAATAGTGTACTGCTGAAGTTTCTCCATTCTTTTCATTAAGTTATTATAGTTGTGTCTATATTTCAACTATTCTATCCACAGCCTTATTAAAAAAAATTAAAACATTATAGGTCAAATAAAAATAAGTTTTTCTGATATACAAAGCGTTTTTTCAAAACAGATTTAAATAAAATAAACGTGTCATACATCCAAAAATCTGATACTTATTTTAATGAATACTCGTGAAAATCTTAGATATCATTAATATTGTTTTTCTTCATACAATCTCTGCTTCTTTTCTTGTTATACTGAATGAGCAATTCGTAAATAAACTTCTCATTAATGAATTGATTGTCCAAAGCTTCTTTGGACAATCATAAATAAATAAATATAATACTCCTGACTGTATTCAAAGAGACATGCATTAATTATTTAGTATTTTTACAAATAAATGCACTTGCTGAAGCAGAGTCCGTAATTAATGTATTAATTCGTGCACATGATTTATGCCAAGCCCTTGAATACTGCACATCTTGAACACCACTCACTACGGCTTAAACGGATCGCTCATGAGAGCTTAAACAAACACCCTGATAGTAAACTTTATATTGATATTAAGTTTATTTTATAAATTTACGGTTTCTATACTAGAAATATTGAATTGATTGTTTGTACTAATGTTTTGTGTCTTGACAGTCTGTAACCGTCACTTTGTACGTTACACATTCGAGAAGTATAAGTACATTAACATAACTTATTGATTTCTTTTCAATTGATCATAAGTATAACGCCTCAGCTTTCTTTCATTGAGTTTACCAACGTTATAATGTGTGGGTATGTACATAAATAGGATTTTAAAATTTATGTATTGAAATAAATTTGAGAATATGTAAATACGTATATAATATGTACAGGTCGTCGTAGCCTTGAGGTTAAAGTAGCGCCTCTCCTGAATGAGGGTGCGGGTTCGAAACCTGGCCATTACCGATGTGATTTTTCCGAGTCATATGTCCTTTCTAAAAGTATTTATACACCACTGATAGACGGTGAAGGACATCATCGTGAGGAAACTTGGAATAATAATTTTAAATAATAAGTTTGAAATCGCCAAACCGTCTTGAGCGAGCGTGGTGATTGATGCTCAGTCCTTCTCCATGTGAGAAGAGGCCTTTGCTCAGCAGTGGGCTCTGATAGACTGATAACGATCAAAATATGTACAACCATAGTTGAACTATCTCTTGAGATCTCTGAGTAGTGTATTAAACCGTAAACTGGTAACATTTTCATGATCGCTCATTCAATGTTTCAGTACAATGTTTTGTCATGAATTAATCAATTCAAATATAGTGAATGCTGTCATGAATTCAACCAGCTCACACTGAGGTCAATGAACCCATATATTTTTACATGACATGACACGGTTCACTAACTTCAATTTCCTTATAGAGATGCAAACCTCATTCAACTTTACAATTAAATGAAATTCTGTTTAAAGAAACGGTAGTCGGTTACAGTGTACTCAGTAAAAGAAATAAAAACCGTCCTGTTAAAACTAAAATCGTTTTTAATAATAATTTATTACATTTTACTTCAAATATTTCAATATCATTATCATTTATAATATAAATGTTTCGACTATGTACATTTACAAAGCGTTATGGAAAGCATAGGCTAAATTTCATATGTAAGTATTCAAGTTGACATATTAATGGAAAGCAAACACATTTCCGAAAGCTTATATTTGTCTGTTTGTACATGATCCCGGGATTTACGAATGTATTTAGATATTAATAATGAAAATTATATATACGGCTGTTCCTGTGGTATAATAAAACAAAAAGATCGAATTTATACCGAACTTTTTTCATGTATTCGGGATCTTATAAAAGAAAGGGAACATTTTATAAAGTTGCCTGATAGTATTTCGGTTAAACATAATGGTCATTGTCCATCTCGAATCACGATCAAAAGACCGATGTCATAACAGGTTCCTCGACTTCAATGGAATGGATTTATAGTAATCAGCAGAAAGCCAGTACATTAACAAAGTTCGGTTTAGTTTTCGAGATAAATCTTCAAGTTTTTTTAAGTTTCAGTTCCTCAATCACAGATGAACAAAGTCATTTACATCAAATATTAACCCTTTCACCTTTGAAGACTATCTAATAATTTCTTTTCGTATCGTTAATGGTCTGTTTAATGGAAAATATTCAAAGGTATTATGTGACATAGCGCTACCCACGCGGTTGTCTATCACTAAAATGTGAAACCTCTTACAGAGACCAAAACATAATTATCCTTCAGTTCAATTCAAGTAACATTTATTTGTGAGCAAAATTTCACAATAGTTTTTCTCGTGATGCAACTAATTATAATACATATAGTAATTTCTTTAAATTTAGCCTTAAAGATGCCATGACTATTGTCCTTATTTGTTTTTTCAACTTTAAACGAGTCCATCTGCAAACGTTCGCGTTTTAAGGAAGTAATGCCATCAACAGCACAATGTAGACTGATACATGCGATTTGGACATTACAAAAAGTACAAAGAATGTGATCACTTTACCAATACACAACACACGCGATACTGTTTCATGATGTTCACCTAAGGAATTCACATTAGCGTTGAAAAAGTTTTCACAACACGACCAACCAATCCATTACGAGTTACGACTGTCGCTGGAGATTATGGAATTAAAAAAATTTATATTACACAAAAAACTAAATTAAAGTCTGTGGGTCACAAAAAAGCATTTTCTTCAGCAATGAACCTATATCAGTACGGAACTTCAAAAATAGCTGAACAAGGCAATTCATTGAGTTTCGACATCCCCTGTCGTGATTAATGAAACTAGACTCGCTTCCATACGATGTATATAACGTTATTTTAACAACACAATAACCTTACAAGGCTTCCTTATTACATAACACTCATTAGCTGTTACGAAATCAAATTACTATTTCAATTATGTTACATTAAATACAGTTTGGTCGTAACAAGAAACTTTCGCGTTTATTTTGCAAAAGTATTACATTATGTAAAACTAAATCCGTGCTGTGGAACCCGCTAATTAGTTTGAACACCCTAATTAGGCTGAACCACAGAATAATGTTATATCTAGGTTAAATATTGTAAATGTAAATATGTTTTTCATGCTTTTGTTATATCCGTGTAACAACGCCATCTATACAGATTGGTAGAAATACTTTTTCAGGTCTATTCCTTCAGGCGCACGAATTCTATTGTTGTATTAGTAACAACATAGATGGCGCTTTTCACAATTCATGATACATTTTGATTTTAAAGACAACGTATTAGCGTTTCAATTTTGAATGTGTAAAGATGGGAAAATTATTAAATCGGTATATATTTGTATTGGAGCAGTTATTAGTTTTTGCTTGTTTTTATTTAATAACGTAGTCTGAACTAACTGACAACTACTTACACAGAAGTAATTAAGAAGTTAGAAAAAAATATATATGGCAAAGTTGTAGGTAATAAAAAGATCTAAAACTTTTGTAGTAACATTTTTTTTCACATAACCACAAATTTTATGTGAAATATTGGAAAAACCAAGTTTTTGGTTTTTTATTTTTATCTCTTCCTAAAAACAATTTTTTGTCACGAAATTTGGTGGAAACTTTCCTTTTAATAGTCCAAATGCACTGTAATTTAATTAATAAGAAATATTTATTTTTTCAGCTTATTTTCAATAAATACTGAAAAATCAGCCTCATTTTCAATTGAAAAATCACCCGTCAAAATATCAGCTTTTTTAGAAAAATTGATGTGTTTTCTATTCGTTGAAATCTCTATTTTCCGATGGTGAAGAAAAAAATATAAGTTTTTTACTTGCAGTACCAATTTTGGATAAAATAATAATGTCCCCTTTAATGAAATTACACTCGACATCGTTTTGAAAATGCTCTTTCTTATTTATTTTTAACAGTTGTGTACTATGAAAGTTCTCCAGATAGTCTATCTCTTAGGTTATTTAGAGAAAATTGACATTAAGCTGCTAAAACTTAATTATTTTTCCCTTAATTTTTATAATATTCCCCTCCTTTTGTAATGAGTTTCATTCTACTATAATTTATATTATGTTTTAAAAGCTATCGGCACTGGTCTATTCGTAAATCTGGAGAATATAATACAATTCGAAAAGTTCTATTTTATATTTAGTAAAAGATAAAATGAAAAAGCAATGTTTTTATAATTCTCTATGTATTATGAAATTAAGAATCATTGATTTAACAAAACAATTATTAATAACCATGTTTATTTAAAAATAAGACCGATTATTTTTCCATAACCGTTAATTGACTATTATCTGATTATTTAATTCACGCTTAGTATATCCATTCTTAATAAAAATCATAAAATCGATACAGAGTCATAAATCGTAACTAATATTATATCACAAAATATTAACAAAAAGAAATAGATATCATGTCAATAAAATAGACGAAACGCTTTAAATGGTTTTTCTTATAAGTCATGCGAACCTAAGAGCTAGGAAAAGTATTGACTATACTTTAGATGAGTTTTGTAAATAAAACTCTTCACTATACATGAGGTCGTTAGGAGTGTGAAAGAAGACAAACTAATGAATGAATGAGTTAAATTATTAATGAGTTGCCACAAAGCATTCATTCCCTCATCAACAACTTATCTTACATATCCTAATTCTGCAATCCAATAAGTTACTTCCAAATGCTTCCTCCTACTAAACTTCTTCCTATAATCCAATCTGCCTCATCCATGGCCCTATATATTCTTGTCACACCTTCCCCTCGCCCGCTGCTTGTATTTCACTCACCACCATGTCGGTAACGAGCGCGGTCGCGAACGCCGCTGCCGCCGCCGCTGCGGCCGGCGCAGGCAAGAAGGCCGCTCAGGTACAGTTACAGGCGGAGCTGAACAATGATGATGAATGGAACAAGTTTCTACTACGAGACGGACTTCTTGGTGAGATTAACACGAACAGGTCTCTAGACCAATGAGAGTCTTACTACATCATTTGATATGTATTTCAGTGATCGATGTCTACACGGAGTGGTGCGGACCGTGTATAGGGATGGTGGGGAATCTGAAGAAGATCAAAGTTGAGATCGGAGGAGATAACTTACATCTGGCCGTGGTCTGTTTACACTGGATTCCAGTTTTGGTAAAAGCGTATACCCAATCACAAGAGAATTCAAACTATTTTATCATTTTAGGCGAAAGCGGACACCATTGGATGTCTATCTAGGTTCAGGAATCGCAGTGAACCAACTTGGATGTTTATTTCAGTAAGAGATGTTTTATACTAATTACTAACTCCGTAACAGAACGTACAAAACTGAATTTCATGATTTAAATGAAACTAATATTTTCGGGTTTTACTTCGCGTATTTATTTTTTATTATTAACTACATACTCCCGACGTTTCGGCTACTTTTCAGCAACCGTGATCACGAGCAGACGAGATGTGATGATCAAAACAAATACTCGAAGTAAAATCCGGAAATATTAGTTTCATTTAAATGAGTACTCGCGAAAATCTTAGATCTCATTATGTGAATTTCATGATGAAAATATGTACGGATTGTTTTCAAAGACGCCTTGAGTTTCTTTCATAAATCTGTAGATAGCATTCGAAATCCTTGAAAGTTCTGTCGTTACAATTTAAAATTCCACCATTTACACGAATCTTTTGTACAATACGTAAAACTTAGAAAACCAGTAAATTTGCACCTTATCAAAGTGTACTCTAGGTCTATATTCAAAAGTCCTGTTTATCTGAACCCATATGCACATATACGTAGAACATATGTTTGCGGTGGAATGGCACCGGTGTGGACGATATCGACCAAACTACAATAAAAAAGCAGGTATATGTTTAACATAGCATAATTGTCATATCAAGTATATGACATGACATAATCGCTATTTGCATTATCTTGTTCACTACAAGACTCAGACACCTCCTACGTGAAGAATGAATATTTGTTAACGAACCAATTGTTTTTAAATCAAATAGTAATCTTTGACCAAAAAACACCGTTAGTGCATACAAGCAGTTAGTAAAGAACATATGTGAATCGTCTTCCTATAGTATACCTAATAACAGCTATTATTTGTTAGTTAATAATAAGTAACCATACATTTACGAGGGTGGTCAATTAATCAATGTGGTGTTCGGAGCGGACGCTCCTCGCCTCGCTCGCACCATCGTGGAAGAACTCAAGAATGAAGAGCTGGTGAAGAAAGGAGAGAGACAGAGACCGACACGAGCTCCACACGAACTGACTCCACCCGAACAGGTTCATGTATAAATACTAGAAGACCCGGCGAACTTCGTATCTCCCTATAATCAAGCCATATTAAAGCTATAAATCTCCGTGTTTTGAGGTGTACAGAATGATTGACAAATTAGTTAGTTGTCAAATCTAATGTCAAAAAAAAACGTTTGTATCAACAACTACTAATAAATTAAAAATTAATTAAAAAAAACATTGTCCAAAAAAATTGTGAATCTTAACCATTCCTTGAACATACACAAAACCCTTGAACACACACAAAAAATTTCATCAAAATCGGTCCAGTCGTTTGAGAGAAGTTCAGTGACATACACACTCACAGAAGAATTATATATATAAAGACTAGCTTTCCGCCCGCAGCTTCGCCCGCGTGGAGTTCGGTTATATCGCGTTTCCAAGAGAACGTTTCAAAAGTCTGGGATAAAAACTATCCTATGTTCTTTCTCAAGGTCAACTCTATCTCAGTACCAAATTTCATTAAAATCAGTTCAGTGGTTTAGGCGTGAAAGAGTAACAGACAGACAGACAGACAGACAGACAGACAGAGTTACTTTCGCATTTATAATATTAGTAAGGATAAACAACTGATTATTATTATTATTTCTCTTTTGTTAAACGCAAACACAAGCTAAACTGTCCCCAGTGAAAAGTTCATGGGGATAATAAAACGTAAATCAAATAGACATACCACACAAATATTGTTTAATAATTTGGGTTTATTTAAAGTAATCTTTGCAGAGATTCCATTGATTTTAAGAAAATTTACATTGATAGACAATTAATTCAGACAGCTTTATGGTGTAAAAACTAAAAAAGGTGCTGTGATACAGATCGTCTTAGAAACTTGAATTTTACAAAAACAACTAAGCGTTGGGTAAAAAATGATACAGGAGGTCGCTTTGGCCCAAGAAAAGCTTCTCCAGCAACGCAAAGAAAAGGAGGCGGCGGCCGCAGCGGCGGAACGACTTGAAAGAAGAGAGGCGCGAGCAGTCGCCCTAGAAGTACACTTTAACGACGTGTGTCCCGCGCTTATGATGCCTCACTCACAGAAAAATATACGGAAAGTGTCAGACGCGCTGGAGCCTTACGGTAATGTTGGACAAAATATTTAAACCATTAGTGTAAGGAATAGGACCGTAACGTTACAAAGAACAATAGTTATGTTAGTACCTGGTCAAAAAACATCGTGTTTTAATAACATTTAGAGGATATACAAAAAAAAATTAAGAAAAACTAAGAGTATATGTAATGTCTATGAAATTAATAGGAAAAGTATTTAAACGTCATCATTTCTCATTATCTTCAGGAGTAATTGTCGCTGACAAATGTCCATTAGTTCTGGGAAAAGATGGAGCGAAAGCTCTTGGCGTGGAAGATCCTGAATTTGCTAAACCAGAGACCGCGATGGCCTTACTGGAACGACCGGCACTTGTTCTGCTGCTGAAGAAACTACCTGATAAGGAAGGCAGTGTCATCGGTAGGTTACATTAATATTTAGCTACTTTTTAAATAGCGCATAGTTTTTGAAGAGTTGTGTTTTACTATTAACAGAACTGGTCCGTCGCGCGATCTATAATGAAGGTATAGAATCAGATGAGAACGAGGCGAAGAAATCTCTGGCAGAGGAACTGAGGGCTAACGATATCCCCGGCGTGTTCGTACCCACCGACCGTCATCAGAGAGCAGCCGCTCTAGACTTGTTCTTCCCGAAGGTTCGGTAATTAATCCTAGATAGAATTTTTCTTATCGCAGATATGTTAATTAATCGAAATAGGTATTTTAAGTTATAATAATCTTCTTTTTGACGAACTCAACTATTGTTACGTAAACTACAATTTTCTCTAATAATACTAATGTTAATAATATTAGGAGTTCGTAATATGTGAGTCAATTAATTTTCAAATAAGACTGTATCATACTGTACCGACTGATACAAGATTAATTACTTTGAATGCAGTTATAGATATTAGAAAGAAAAGACAGAACGAAAGAAAAGACATTTATTGACATATGTACATACAAAAAAACAAAATTATACAAAAAAGGATATAAAAACAACATTACAAAAATAAAAAAAATAAATATAATTGATATGAATCTTGTGTGCAGTCAAAAGGATACAGCTCAGGCTATGAGGGTTTAATACGTGTTTATGTTATTACATTGGAATATCATTTTAGATATGGCTATTTTACGCAGCACTACGAAAATAACAAATAGAGACCAACATTAATGTGTATTTTATTTCTGTAAGATGGTGTCGGCGGTGGCGGCTCCCTTGTCATCCCCGGAGCCCCCGCACGTGGCTGTGATACTGGGAGCGTGGCAGAGACGAGCCGTGCTCAACATACTGAACAATAAGTTACCTTCTAGATTACTGAGATACGGCTTCTTTAAAGATGCTGACGTCGAGCGACCGACGCTACTGTGCAAAACCATTGACCAGTATGAAGAACGACCCGACAAAGACTTGTGAGTCATAGCACTCAATTTGTTGTAACTCGATTTTCTTTTCTATCTAAACTAATATTATAAAGAGATTTTTTTTTGTTTGTTTGTTTGTTTATTTGTTACGAATAGGCTCAAAAACTACTGGACCGATTTTAAAAATTTTTTCACCATTATGATTGTACATCTTTCCAAAGTAACATAGGCTATATTTTATTTTGAAAAAATTAGGTATCCTTGCGAAAACTTCGATAACATAAACCACGGTCGATAAAAATCACTATTGAAATACCTTAAATCGCGTGCGCTGCAATAACTACTGATGATGGAGCAAAACAATGTACTACGATTTTGTTGACCGTATTATTATCTACAAAAAAGTCCGCGGTAGTGTATATCTAAGTATTATAGTTACGCCAATATAAAAACTTTTATAGTTTAACAAACTATTTAAATCGGCAACGAAAATAAGATGTCGATATTCATACCATGGTATTTATACTTATCTAAATAAGTTACTTTTTATTTAACAGTACTTCAATACCTTTATATTGCTGTTTAAATTATTTTAATCGGATAATCCATTCAAAAGATATAGCGAGTTTAAAAATTTGGGTAACTTAAAAATTAACTAAGCGTTTCGCTGCATCGCGTCGCGATGTTGATTGTGCGTAGCTGAACTACGCATGTGCGTGCAATGTCTATTGTGAATAAAATTGTCTTTGACATAACTTAATTTCAACAAAAAACTTTAAAGATTACAATGATAAATAACTCCGAAACAAAACCAACTCGCTCTCTGCGCTGGCCGGCGCGGCGGGAGAGAGGCGGTGCTTGCGGGCAAGCCGGTTGAATGCAGTGCTAATTTGTTTATGCGATATAATTATCATCGTAATATTACTATTTAAACACAGTTTCATTTTGTAGTTGTTTTCTATATACATAGTAGGTACTTAATTTGTTTTACGATAGTATTTAGTTTGACAATAATAACACTTTTTTATAGTATATGCAGAAGTTCTTTAAAATAATTAAATTTACTGTAAAAATTGTACAGGTATAGTTTGGAACTCGAAAAAAAACATAGGTTTTATCCTGAAAATTCTGCGGGAACTCGACCATTCCGAAAATCCCGCAAGAACGGGAACTATGTGGGAAGAACCAAAAATCTGCCGGAAGTCACTATTCCACGCGGACGATGTCGCGGGCAAAAGCTAGTGTTTTATTGAGAGACCCCAACCACTATCCGCGGTAATAAAACTTCTTATTGTAAGTACATTGTTATTTGTTCATTCTTTCATTTTTATAAATACTCTATGGTTTTCAGAGCTTCTTTCCAAATTTTGTTATATTAAGTACTATGTTTTTTTTTAAATTCACAATGAAGTACTCTTAACCAACAACATATTGTTTATTTGAATAAAGATTAATATTATTATGTTGATACAACTTAAACAGATTATTTCGACCAAATTAGGTACCATAAAAACGGTTTTTGTGAGTTAATCTTAAAAGATAGACATATACTGTCGCGGACTGTTTTTTAGATCATTAAAAGAGCTATTATTCTTTCATACATATTTTTTGTGTATCTTGAACCGTTTTCACGGCGCACGCAACGGAAGGCTTCAAAGATGAAATAATTTCTCCCGTTTTTTACACATTTACCACTATATCTTTGCTCCTATTGGTCGTAGCGTGATGTTATATAGCCCACAGCCTTCCTCGATAACTGGACTATCCAACACAAAAAGAATTATTCAATTCGAACCAGTAGTTTCGGAGATTAGCGCTTTCAAACAAACAAACAAACTCTTCAGCTTTATAATATTAGTATAGATAATTTAACTTTGTATAACTTATTAAAGTACAGTTTCGCACCAAACATTAAAATAATATTTCTACACAAACCCACCAAAAAAATCTTAGTCATAGTCATTCACAATAACAGTTCCTTTGACTTTCCATAATGATAACATCGATCCGTTTCCTTCAGTTCGGAGACTATCGTGCTGATGGTATCTGTGTGTGTGTCGGAGGCCGGCGCGGACGGGGTCCCGCACGAGCTGCTCGCCTTGGGACCGCTGTGGGTCAGCGAGGACGCGGTGCTGGGGAAGGAAGAGTGTGCGAGGTTCTTCCCCCCGGGGTACAGCCAGCCCGAGACGAAACCAGGACCCAAACCCAAGAAGAAGAAGAAGGTTCGCTGGATTGGGCGAATTAGATTTCACTTGATAAAATTATGATACTTTGAACGATTATGAACTACACAAAAACAACTAGTGATGGACAGATATAAAAGATATCTCCGCAATTATTCCAAACAATCTACAATCCAGACCATTGCAAAAACTATATCATAATTAATCGATGATTACATTACAATAACTTGGCTGTATCCGACTGTATTAAAACCGTGCTCTTAATGCCGAACTCCCGCCGATTAATCTTATCACTGTTTATGTTATAGAAGCGTCACGACACTAAAGAAGAAACCGCTGACAACGTGGACGCACCCATCGAGACACACGCCGATACTGAGGCGGGAGAGGGATCCGTGGAGGGAGACGCTGAGCCGGAGGGGGAAGGGGAGGAGGAGGGAGAAGAGAGGGACGAGGAGCAGGGGGACGGGGACGGGGAGGAGGGGCAGGAGGAGGAGCTACTGCTGGACAAGGGAACCTCGCCGCCACCAGTCAACGATTAAATGGAATAACGTGTCTCGTATAAGGAATTTACAGTTTACAGTACAGACTACCAGTGGAAAGTCAAGTTTAGAGTTCGGTTTTAGAGGAGTCAATTTAATTTCTGTTGGGTCAAAGCGCTTAATAAAAGATTGTATTTAATTTAGCCCGCTCTCCTCACCTCTTAGAAAATTCTTAGAAAACTTAGAAAAGTCTTAGAAAACGGGTGCAACAGGTATTCAGTGTCAATTTTCAGTCTACACAGTAAATGTCATTACATTATTTGAAGCAAATTTTTTAATCCCGTTTTTCCTACAGGGCGGTCGAGGAAAAATAGAGGGAGATACAAGAAATTTGAACTTATTCTTACCCATCCAACACATTAAATTGACTACCGATAACATAAAAGAGATTAACACTGCAATGTACTGTTACTGCAATTGCTTGTTTGATTTTAAAAGCAGATTTGCTTAAAATGTTATAGCTTCAATAATGCATTCACTGTTTCTCTAGTATCATCAATATCACTCGCTAAATGTATCAGCAAAATGTGAAATAAAATATCATACTTATATTCTAAAATTTGTATTTTCATTTATTTATAAATAGTCAATTAATATATAACTTTTTTAACAATATAATAGATCGAGTAACGTCTTAACCTGATAGTAAGGCGGCCTTCAGTGGAGCGCGACCCGCTCACACCACGGAGTCTTTACGGTTCCTGGAAAATAATAAACGTTAGTGAGTCACATGCACAAGAATAAATCACCTAAGAACGAAGATAAAATCTGTCTCATCTTTTCTTTTTATTTGTCGTCGTATTGTCCGACCTATCGCTATATATTTATCATGTGTCAGGAAAGAGTTGGTTCGACGATTGACTAATAACAGATAATGTAGTTATCATTAGGTGTCCCCCCAAAACTCAACTCAAACTCCAATAACTTTATTCAATATAGAAGCATTACACTTTCTTATTGATGATCAATTGAGACACTACCACCGGTTCGGAAAAGAAAATATCCCGCGACTCTCATACGTAGTATGAGCGTATGGACTATCCTCGCTGGCCTCTCACTACCCTGGTGTGTATAGTGTACTCACCATATATAATGGTTGTCATGGTGCGGCGCCCTCATGACGCCGACCCCTCCCCCCAGCCGCCTGTAGTTCATGGCTCCACACAACCGCCACTGGTTCGCTTCAGGATCGAACACCTGGAGACACGGACATCACCACAAAATATAATACACTTACTATAGTTGGTTTAAGTCAGTATATCAAACAACGGCTTAACATGACTAGATGTTGCTCATATGGGTGAAGTTAAGGACTTGATATACTAAATAGAACAAAGGTCATAGGCTTATTTCTATATTTAAGATTTAATACTTTTGAGACATTTGTAAAATTTATAAAGAACACGCCATCTACCGTAGGTGAAACTTGTTATAGTTAATCGTAAATAAGGCATCCACGACACAAGCTCGCTTAGTGTGGACGCCCCTGGAAATCGCGCCATGTTATCACTTCAGCAAAATATTGTTATGTTTGTAATTGTGTTCCCTGTTAACATTGAGTTATTGCTGGTAATAAAGTATTTATTCGGCACAAAAGATGTCCTATCTCCGTAGTCTATATATGTATACACTCATATATAATAGCCTCACCTCTATAGACTTGAGGTAGGCGGTTCCGTCGAAGCCCCCGACCGCGTACAGTTGTCCGTTGACCACCGCCAGCCCCACGCCGCTGCGGCGTGACGTCATCGCGACCACCGGCGACCACGAGTCAGTCGCCGGCTCATACCTGGTCACATACAGTATTACGTTACAAGGTTTATATTTGTATCAAACAGATTCTGACCGCGGCTTTGTACATATGGATTCACGCATAGGACTCAGAGAGAAATGTATATATTTTTAAAAACACAGAAATGATAATCAACCAGAAGCGATATCTATAGGCAGCGTGACGAAACATCATAAAAAATAAAAATGTTATTTCGTAAAAACGCAGTAACTAAACAGAATTAAAGTAGAAATTACAACCCATATTTGGTCAGGAGATACTTCTGTAAGAAATTATAATATTCCTTTAAATAATTTCTCGTGACACAGCAACTACTATCCATACATCCTCAAAAACGTTTCATTAATATTATTATCAGCATGTATATTCAAGTATAGTGACCTCTCAGCGGAGGACAGTTCCGTACAGTCGTCTCGTCCGCCCACAGCGTATATCTGTCCGTCGAACACGGCGCAGCCCAGGTGCTTACGGCGAGTAGACATCGGAGCCACCGCCGTCCACTTGTTGGCGCGGGGGTCGTAGCGCTCCACCTGCAGACACACACGGGACACGATCACTAGTAGCGGGGGTACAGTATGTGGGAGAGGGAGAGCTGGGGCCCCGCACGCACCGTGTTGAGGGGTGACTGTCCGTCGGAGCCGCCGACCGCGTACAGATGTCCTCCGAGGACCGCCACGGCCACCCCGAGGCGGCGCGTGGTCATGGCGGCCACCTTGGTCCAGCGGTTCTCCTTGGGGTCGTACCGCTCCACGTGGTTGAGACACTGCACCCCGTCCTGGCCGCCCACCGCGTACAGCGCCCCGTCCAGCACGGCCACGCCCACGGACGTGCGGCACGAGGACGTGGGCGCGACCGCCCCGCACCACTGGTTAGTTTGAGGGTCGTAGCGCTCGATACTGTTGAGGTAGCTCTGTCCGTCGTGTCCGCCCACGGCGTACAGCAGGTCGTGCAGCACGGCCACGCCCACGCCGCAGCGCCTCTTGGACATGGGCGCGACCATCTTCCACTCGGCGGTGGCGGGCTCGAAGCGCTCCACGGACGCGATGGCGTCTCCCGAGCACCAGCCGCCCACCGCGAACAACACCTCGCCTGGAACACACACGGGGGATAAAGACGTGAAATAACATCATGAATTATGCGGAGCACGTCGTATATACTACACTTTATGGTTGATCGAGCACTGCTGTGAAGTATATCGAAGCTGTAACATTTCCGTACCTCTGCGCGTGGGTTTCCTGGGCCGGGTGCGGGGTCCCTGCATGAGCGGTCGCTCCTGAGGCAGCAGCAGGTAGTTCTTGGCCTCGTCCAGTAGGTCGCGACACGCATCGTCTGACCGTATGAGCAGCTCGGAGGACACGGTACCCACTAGGAACTTTGGACTCAACAGCGGCAGACGGACGTGTTGTAACACCTTCATGTACATGAAATATATATATTATTCATGAAAGAATTTGTTCAGTGGATTAGGATAAGTAAGAACTGACATCACAAGTACATGCAAAAACTTATAAGACGAGACACACACACACACACACCCACCCACGCACGCACGCACGCACACACGCACACACGCGCACACGCGCACACGCGCACGCACACAAACACACACACACACAAACTATCTCACTTTATTTATTCCATTTCCTTTAATAATTAATTTTTAAAACGTTTGAATATCATAATATCATAAAGATTTCTTATTTCATTTCATTTTTTTTAATGTGTTAACATTAAAAAAAATGAAATGAAATAAGTACAGTATCACTATCAATACTTTAAGTACAGTATCACTCTCTGTGTGATTGTAATTTACTATTTTTATAGGAGTAGTAAAAATTTTACTGTATCGTGTCTGCTAGAAATGAATCGATGTCCACGATACATAACAGGCCTAGCCTAGTGTGGACGTCAACGTTTTATTGTATACTAGCTTTTGCCGCGGCTTCGTCCGCGTGGAATAGTGACTTCCGGCAGATTTTTGGTTCTTCCCACATAGTTCCCGTTCTTTCAGGGTTTTCGGAATGGTCGAGTTCCCGTAGAATGTTCAGGATAAAACCTATGTTTTTTTTATTCACAATGAAGTACTCTTAACCAACAACATATTTATTTGTTTTTTGAATAAAGATTAATATTATTATGTTCATACAACTTAAACAAATTATTTCGACCAAATTAGGTACCATAAAAACGGTTTTTGTGAGTTAATCTTAAAAGATAGACATATACTGTCGCGGACTGTTTTTTAGATCATTAAAAGAGCTATTATTCTTTGATACATATTTTTTGTGTATCTTGAACCGTTTTCACGGCGCACGCAACGGAAGGTTTCAAAGATGAAATAATTTCTCCCGTTTTTTACACATTTACCACTATATCTTTGCTCCTATTGGTCGTAGCGTGATATTATATAGCCCACAGCCTTCCTCGATAACTAGACTATCCAACACAAAAAGAATTATTCAATTCGAACCAGTAGTTTCGGAGATTAGCGCTTTCAAACAAACAAACAAACTCTTCAGCTTTATAATATTAGTATAGATTGCATTGTAAAGTGTTTTTACAAATGAATAAATGAAATAAATAAATATGAAAGTCGTAATATTTATGTCTTGAATTTGATCCCTCATTATGATGCCAAATAATGAACATCCGTGTGTTATTAGGTTCATTTATATTAAGTATGATCCACGGTCCTATCCCCCACCTGTGCGAGATGCTGCCTCCTCTCAGCCACGTTGTACTTAACCCAGGACATGACTGCCTGGAAGGTCTGTTCCTCTGAGCGCACGTTGAGTTCGTCTGATGACACTATGTCTATGAGCTGTGCGGCCGGCAGCAGCAGGAACTCCTCGCTCTCCATCACCTACACACCACATTAACATACATATATAACATGATTCCTTAATCACCTAGTGTTGTATGAAGTTACAGTATATTTCAGAGATGATATTGAACTCCTAAACCTTGTTTTCTTCCTTCTAATCCTTTTCAATTTACCAGAATCACTGTCACGTATTGACTTGCTCTAACGTTAAAACACTTTATAATTAGTGGTCTACTTTCGAACCAATTTGTATGTAGGTTTACTTGTAAACAAAACCTATAGTATGTACATACCTCTGGGAAGTTCTGCTGTGTGAACTTGTCCGCTATCCTGAGCAGTTCCCTACATGAGTGCGTGTCAGCGAAGGCCCGGATGCCGAGGCAGTTGGAGCAGTCGAGCTGTCGCTTGAGGAACTCGCAGCACACGTCCTGTATCTCCTGTAGCTGTAGTAGACAGGCGGCCGGCAGCAGCGCCTGCACGTTGCTCTCCTCGACCACCACGTGCGCCGTGTAACAGAACTCCACCAGCTGCTCCATGGCGTGCTCGTCCACGTCGCGGATAGTCACCTCCGTGGCGCGGGACTCCGCCAGCTCGCCCGTGAACATGGCGCGGAAGTACGGACTGCACGCTGATAGGATCACACTACAAACACACACACACATACATTACATAGGACTTAGGACCAGTCATAAACACATTGATTAATAAATTTCAACATCATTTCATTATGACTATCTTAACTGTAACTTTAATGTAATATAATATCGAGATATCTGTTTACTACATCCAATATGATTTATGTGTGAGATATTGTGTTAGTTTTTTTGGAAATAAACATAAGAATGTTCTACTTTCAAACGACCTTCGGAAAGGTTGTTTAGACAATACATTATCACGGTTACTGGAGTAACCTTGTTTTACATTACGTACTTCCTCAGCTATTAATTAAACATTGAATTAATATCTTTTATAGACATTAGACTCATATAAAAGAATTTATTTTGAGACTATTATCAAAACTCTTTTCATATGGAAACCTAGGATATTAAAAATAATATATAAATTTAAAGAGGATGCATATAACAAGAACTCACCGATGTGCAAATAATTTTCTATTAGCAACATTGAGGACCACATCGCACAGTTCCCTGTGCCTCCTGAGTGCGGACAGTTCCCCGAGGATGGCTCGCGGGTGCTTCTCGGACGTGTGAGACAGCCGCGCCCCACCGCCCGGGGACCCGCCCTCACCCATCCTGGAGATATTTTTATTCATCTAATAGAAATATACATTAAACATATATTACAAGTTTCATTTACAAAAAATCACATCAGATTGTAATGTGATTTCATTATTCTACTGAATATACTTGGTTTTACTAAATGATTAGTTCATTCTGAAACAAAATTTTGTCTTTCAAATTGAAAAAGAACAATGTCAATATAAAATTTTCAATCTGAAAAACATCTGTCACACAAAATGTTTCAAGGATTATGAAAATTTTATTAGTTTTATAATCTTCCAATGTCGCAAACAGAAGCTATGTGAAACATTTCATTTAAATTTAGATTATTGATTCTGAGTTTACTCTGCGGCCTTCACGAGGTCAGGGTTAGAATTCATTATTAGCTACATTTAATAATACACATGGGAAAGTAACTGCATGTGTCTGTGATGTTTTCATACTGATGTATAATTTCCTTTTTATATCAATATAAATAATCTTTATGTCATGTCATTTTAATATGCAAATAAAAATTATTTCCATTCAAACAATGTTCTATAACGACTCATACAAAATACATAATATTTCTTAATAATACACTGTTCTTATTATTATATCAAAGCCCCTCACTAATCTACTACACAATCTGTTTTCTGTGCTGTGTCCTACATTACTCTCAAACACAAAACAATCAAATAAAGTGTTCACTGTTACAAAATAACTCAATATAAATGATAAGATATATTTCAAAAGAGGTGAATGATGTATATTTAGATCAAAACAATAACAGGTTTAAAATATCAAAGAAATAATTCCTTGTCTTGATTTATTCATAGACTTGTAAGTGCAACATGAAGCCCTACATAAGTTGACATCACAGAGTGATTACACAAAGACACCACAAATTATGAACTATCTATCCACATCTAACACTAAATAGACTGCAGCTATACCTTTTGTGTCCGCGAGCGTTTCCCAGCTGCAACCGCAGCGGGGGCGAAGCCCAGCCCCACACGGAGTCAATCTGCAACCATCGTCCAGATTCAATAACAAAGTTCCAAAACTTTCACTGATTTGTACACTTTTCGATCTAAATAAGTTCTTATATTTACACAGGAATATTATACGAATTAAGTTCATTAAAGGAAGAAAGACTATAACAGGATTAAATATTTATTTATATATATAAAACAACACATTTGTTAGTACATACTTGATAATTTATGCGAATGTCAATGCTCCCTGCTCGACTTACCTTTGAGGATTTTAATACACCACACAATTAAAAACTACCCTCGAGGGAGCGCAACTCGTCTTTTAGCGCTCTGAGATTCACAGGAGAAACATTAAAGCGTTGATCGATTTTTTAATTACAAAAATTTTAATGTTTACTGTTACACTAGTTTGGACATTTTACAATAATCCACCACTTCTATGGGGCCCGTTCGAAATATATATTTCATTCATTTTATGTTATTCATTGAAGAAAAAAATAATGCAAAACAATGTCTTTATTCCGCTGGTTTTGTATATTTTTGTAAGCCATTAAAAATAGTAAATTGAATCACTTTTTTATATTTTTTTGACGACTATTTATCATGCCCTACATATTGTAATTTTAGAAAATTAGATCTTCTAAACGTGACTTCTTGCAAAATGTCAAAATTCTTGTTGCCACATTGCGAAACATTATGTTATGAAACAAGTAAAAACATTTCACAATTTAAAAATATACTCTAAATAAATAAAGAAAATTCTTTGTAAACTTTTATATAAGTTCCTTTTTAATGTATTAACTTACCTTTGATATTGTATCAAAAATATAAATTATTTTGCCTTTAACATAATTTATAGAAAACAATGTCAAATTCTTACATTGAAGTGTCAACTTATCAAACATTAATTGACAAAAGACATTCAAGTAGAGTTCTTGTTTTGTTGGCAACGAAAACAAACCACTATCATATTTGGCATAAAATATTTAACGATTTTAAGATGTCCTTAACGTTACTATTAGAGAAATATGATGTTTCTACAGAGGAAGGTTTACAGAAAGCTTTGAATGAAATTGAAAAAGAAGAGGTGTAGTATCTAAGACATTTACTGTAAAGCCGCTAATATCTATTGCTTATGTACATTCTTTATTCTTATTCACTTTTATCACACTTTAATATTATTTTAGTGTGAAGTGAATGAGGCCTTATCCAGTGCTCTGTCTCGCGCCTGCACTTTAGAAGGACGACTGCGTTCCGCTAGTCAGGCTTACTCGAAATTAGGAGAAGTCAAGAACGATGCTCAGGTAGCGGCCGACATGGTAGATAAGACTGCTGCTTTAGCGAGAGATGTTAGTGCTAAAGTGAGGCAGCTGGACCTTGCTAGAGTGAGTGAATCTTATTAATAAAGAAAACACTTCCTGTTAACTGTATTTAGAACTTATTTAGAACTATTATACTATACATATGACTATACTGTACTATACATATGACTATATCTGACTAGATAACAGGTTTGTTTTATTAAAACCATACCAATTAGACAACCAAAAAATGAGATTAATTAATTAACACTACTTGTTGGGAACAAATCCTGATTGTACAACATATAGGAGACTTATTTTGATAGTGGCCATGATAATGAGAGGCTGACATATGAGCAATAATATACTGAAATAATAGGATTCCCAGAGTGGATCCATGGAAGAATTTTAACTTTGTCTCGCAATAACCCCACAGAGTATAAATGTGGGTTCATTTTAGTTTGATCTTTTTGACATTCTGATTTTAGTCACAAGAACTCTAACTGCATTCATATGGTACAAAAAACTAAATTCACTGTTAAGGATATTGTAATAGTTTTGCAGTTTATAATTACATATTATAGTTTTGCAATTATAAAAATACCAATAATTTATGTAGTTAAGATAATTACAATTTGATATTTTTAAAATAGGGTACTTTAATTGTTGGGTCTTGTTTATTCCTTCCAAAGATGTTTCCTAATATATTTTTAATATATCTTGTGGTAATAGTGTTTGTGTGTCAGTCCCGTGTTGCTGAATGTCAGCGGAGAGTCCACGACCTCATAGACCTCAGGGTCTGTAGTGCGGGTGTTGAAGCGGCCATCAAGGCTCAGGATTATGAAACTGGTAAACAAACAATTAGTTATAAATATTAATGAAGTGTCTGTTTGCAGTGATGCCAACATAAGGAATTTTCCCAAAAATATAGGGTAAAATAATTTTAAAGAGGATTTTGTGGGAGGAATTTTTTTAAGGTTGAAATGAACCTTTTTTTCACTAATAATGTGCTTGTTTAACAAATGGAAATTCAGTACTTACATAGAGTTTTCTATGGTCTATCATATTAGATGGAAAAATAATACCATTAATGTATAATGTAATGTCCTCTGTCAGCTTTGAATTAAGGGTGTTAAAATTTTTATTTAGGCGGTTTTGTGTTATGCTAGGGGAAAAAGATTTTGAATGTCTGGTTACACTGTCTATTCCTAATGTTTATGTGATACATGTACAATGCAATATTTTTTTTGCTATGCTCATCTATAGGTGGATAAATATTGTTGGGACTATCACTGAAATATAGAGATACTGTTGTAAAAAAAGAGTGGTTAAAATTATAGAAATTTTGTTAATTTCAATTGATATATAATATAAAGAAATTGCTGTTTCATCAAGTCTTAGCTGCAAATACAGATACAATGTATTTTGTAAGTGTCACATTAATAATGGTATATAAAATTTCCAGCTGCGGCACATGTTTCTCGTTTCCTGAGCATGGAGCCGGGGTCAGTGGCCGCCGCGAGGGCCAGGGGTCCCGACCCAAGGACTGACATGGACGCCGCCGCCCGCACGCTGAGGGATCAGCTACGGATCAAGTATGAACATACATGTAGTTTCTATTAAATATTTGCTTTTTGTACAAGTAAGGACTATAACATACTTTGTAATACATAATCTGGCTTAAGCTGGGAAATTGCCAGGAAGAAGAATGTGAAGTATCTTATGTTTAACATAAAAAAACAACAACATTTGTGATTTAAAAAAAACTTTTTGATGTCAAAAATGGCACAATATTTATTCTCCTGCAAGATGAAAGTATATCCACTAGTGTTGTAGAAATTAAGTTCAAATTCCATAAATATTATTTTTATTTCTTAAATATAATTAAAGGTTTGAAGAGGCTGCGAAGATAGAAGACGACGCGTCCGTGGAGAGACTGTTCAGACTGTTCCCTGAGATAGGACGCGCCGAGGAGGGCGTGGAGCTGCTCACACGACACCTCGCCGCACAGGTCGCTCACTTTTTGCTCTTGTTAACACTATGTGAGGAGCTCTACTGAGGGGAGGGTTGTAATGTACCGTCTGTGTGTAGCTGGAGGCGTCCCTCCGCCGCGCCGGCCAGTCCCGCAGTGGAGGCGCCGTGTTCGCCGACACGCTGACCAGAGCCCTGGAGACCGCCGCGGCGACCGTGGAGCGACTCCGGAGACTGCTCCCGCCACACGGACACATGCTGCTCGTACAGGGACTGAGAGGGCTCCAGCCGACCGTGAGACCATATATATTATACAACATTGACGAATACACTATACTAGTCCAGGATCCATGGCTGTTTTTTGCACTTGATTACTAACAAGCTTATTTTCTGTGAGTAGCTTCGTTTCATTGAGACGCCCAACTTTTTCCTGTGCGATAATTCTCGATTGTGGTAGGTAACAGAGGTAGCAGGGATTAAATATGTTGATTTGATAATCCTCCAAAATTTATTACTAACAGGATTTTTTATGTTAAATCTTATGATAATTATCTAAATTATTCGAAAAAAAAAATTGTTTTACAAAATGTATGGTTTGATCGACGAATCCCCCTCCTTTAAATTAATAAATTACCAAATTTTAAGTATTTAAAAGATCAAATTCAAATCATTATCAATTTAAGCACGAGTAAAAAAAGTGTACTTAAACATCAATGACATTTATGTAAAGATTGGAGATCAATTGTCTTGTTCACTCGCCATATTTTTACAGGGAATGATTATAATCCTGCATTCTTTCATAAGGGAAAAAAAGAAACCTTTTAGTATTCTAAAAAAATTTAAAAGGCCTTTGTTCAACTCTTACCAATGGAAAATACGACACTAACAACATCGAATAAGTTAGTTCAAATTATTGAAGAGTATGTATGTAGAAAGTATTCCTTAAAAACAAAAAACTGATATCAACGTCATCTCTAGGGCAACACAAAACATTTGTATATAAATAAAATATTTACCTAAATTTTTATTTGTTTCGTTATAGCCCCTGTCGCCATAACATACCATGGCGCTGTCATTGAATTGAGTCAGAGTAACCGTTCTTTCGATTGAATTTTAAGTTTAGATTTATCATTATTTCTTTAATCTTTAATTCTTTAATAATTTATTTGCCACGCTTACGCGCCCGTACGTCACCGTCACACGGAGGCCTCTGAAAATCAGTGCTGGGATTGTATTATGCCAGCTTTAACTGATGGGGTTTTCCATTTTGGATGCCACACCAGTGCAAAATTTATTTACACTTTCTTTTTGTTTTAGTCTTTTTAATTATTATAATTTTTCTATTTTTCTTTTCTTGTTTTTTATAGCTTTGTGGTAGGAAATCTTTTTTAGTTTATATAATTTAATTTAGACTAAGTAACCATAGATGTAATTATTCTTGTAAGTTATATATAAGTTTATTTTCTTGTTTAGTTATTATTATTCTTTTTTTGTGTATTTTAATATTTCCTTATTGTTTATATTTTATTTTATTTTTCTCATGTTGTGGTGTGGACCAAATAAAGTTTTTATCTATCTATCTTATCTTATCTAACAAGGGGCGGTATGAGTTATGTGTATAAATCAAAAAAATAAAATGAAGAAATTTTAAAACAAAAATCGTAGGATATGATTCTTCTAGTTTGCCACCACCAAAACAAGAATTGTTGCAAAAAATTAAAAGAACTGCATTCATCAGCAATATATTATGGTGTAATGCACACATGCCGTGCCCCACAGAAAAATTGGCAGAAAATTTTGGATGAACAATAATTGATGGCAATTATGAATTTTATTGGTTTGATGGTCCCCAAAGTCCATCTTTTGAGGAATTATCTTCTGACATACACGGTAACCTGTTAATACTATTGTTAATTATTGATTTATTACGTACTATTATATAATTTTCTAACTTTTGTCAGAGTCAGATATCACAAATGAGGACGCTGTAAGCAGCGAAGATTCATCAGATCAGACAGTTAGTAATGAGAAAAATGGTCTTGTGGCATCAACCACTTTTAAGCGTAGGACCGGGATAACGTACCAAGCAACTTGTAGGACAATGTTACTGTTAAATTATATAAATATTAACGAAGTAAATTAAAAAAAAATCAGCTAATTAGTAATCACTTGCGATGACCTCGTTATCGATACATGTTGAAAGGAGGGGGATTCGTCGATCAAACCATACATTTTGTTAAACAATTTTTTTTTCGAATAATTTAGATAATTATCATAAGATTTAACATAAATAAATCCAGTTAGTAATAAATTTTGGAAAATTATCAAATCAACATATTTTATCTCTGCTAGCTAAGTTAACTACCACTATCAAGAAATATCGCAAAGGAAAAAGTTGATCGTCTCATTGAAATGGAGCTACTCACAGAAAATTAGCTTGTTAGTAAAGTGCAAAAAACAGCCATGGATCCTGGACTATCAATTATAAAGGTTTCGGTGTTGTACCGTGGCGCTAACATTCACTATTCGTGTCCTACAGGTGTGTTCGTCCGTCCGTCGTATATGGAGCGAGCTGGCGCCCCGGCCCCGGTTCCGCCCACCACAAGACAAGCCCGACCCGCTCCGCCTGGAGCCCGCGCTGTCGGAGCTGGCGCTGGCTCTGTCCAGGATGCAGCTGTACTTCAACTTCCTGAGACGTCGACCCGAGGTCACAGTCAACGAAGTGTACTCATTATATCAGATGAATAGTTCCCACTGCAGGTCATGTTAATTGCTAAGTGTCTCCTGTCCGCAGCACGACCCCAGCCTGTCGGAGGAGGCGCGCGCGGAGAGCGTGCGGGTCATTGACCGGATGATAGCTGAGAGCGACATGACGCTCACCGCGCAGGAACACCTGGCGCACTACCTCGAACTGGAGAGGTGACCCATGAACACATACTTTACACAGTTTCATTAAATTGATCCAGTATGGTTAACATAAAAGAATGCTAAATAGTATATAGTCGATGATAATAATCTTAATATGAAGAATAACATTCGTATTATATGTTCATAATCAATTTTTATTAAGGACTACACTTTTTACAAAGCACACCATTTTTCATTTATCAAAATAGACAGGCATATCAAAGACAAACAGAATAACAGTACCATAGAGAATATACAGTATTGCCAATATAAATGTACTATTTATTACCAACACATAATAATGGAGGCGGTGTTTCGTCTGTGAAGGTACTTCCTGGAGGAGAGCGTCAACAAGGCCATCAAGCTGTCCGCCGGAGAAGACAGCGGCGCCGGGCTCGTGGACGACGTGTTCTATATAACGAGGAAGGTCATCAGGTACGTGGAGGGGGGGAGGGGGGTCGCGGTGACGTCATACGGTACTGACGGACTCTCACGTGTTTCAGGCGAGCGATATCCACGGGCAGCGTGGACGGGATGTGTGCCGTCATGAACGAGGCGGGCGCGCAGCTGGAGCGGGCGGCGCGGGCGCTGCGCAAGGGTCTGTCCGTCACCCCGCACGACGTGCTGCCGCTAGCGCCGCCCCGCACCACGCCCGCGCCCGCGCCGTCCGAGGCCGAGCTGTACCTGGCGCACCTGGCCGAGGCCGAGGCGGGCGCCGAGTGGACCGAGCGGCTCGCCACCGAGGCCTGCGTGGAGGCGGAGGCGGCGGTCCGCGCGTCCGCCGGCGCCTGCGACAAGCTGCGCTCGTGTGCGGCGGGCCTGTCGGGCGCCGCGGCCTCCTTCCGCGCCGTCACGGAGCTGGGCGTGTCCTCACTGCGGGCGGCGCTGCTACCGGCCGTCACCGCCTGGGCGGACGCGCTCGTGGACCCGGACTCGGACGTCGGTGCGTCCCCTGGCCCGCGCGCCGCGTGTTTATTTTATTTTTTATTTATTTTATTTTATTTAAGCACACAAACAGAATATAATCAGGATTACATATGAGTTACAGTCTAAAAATTATTTTTAGCTTGATTACATTCCTAAGTATGTGTACACGGCACTGTGTTTGAGAATAAATCATTGTATGTACGGCAGAATCTAATAATTGGATTATAATATGATGTATTATTGATGTGAACGCTGAGGACGAAGGTATTGAAATGTGGATGTTGAGATCTAAATTTGATGTTAAAATTAATGAGCGATAACAAGGCAGATGGGTCGATTCTAGAATGAATTATTTTGTGCAGTGTATAAAGTTAATTACACGTACGTTTTTGTTTCAGTGTGAGCATATTAAAATAGCCAATTCTATCTTCGTAACAGATGAGATGTGTGTTACAGACGAGCTATCGGAGGAGGCGGGTGCGCTGCCGGCCGCCCTGGACACGCTGGCGGACACGCTCCGCGGACGACTGGCGGCGGCCGGGGACCTGCTGCTGGCCGGGCTCATGGACGACCTGCTTACACGAGCACACAGGACGATGCTCAGGAACACATACGACAGGGTACACCACACTACACTCACTTATATAGTTCAATGAAAATAATAAGTGTGACGTAAATAACGGCATTCAATAATATTTGCTATAAGAGAAATAATATATCTTCACTTCTTTCGAGCAATTCATTCGGTCTCAAAATAAATCCACTTAAGTGTCGATCTATTGTTATTGGCAGTCCAATATTAATCTCACGAATAGATTTTTCTCTCTTATCCCCTATATTATTTGACAGTGCCATAATTCCATACAATGATAAAATTAAAAATCTGGGTATAATATTCGATAAAACCCTCTCTTGGAATCCACAAATGAGTGAGGTAAACAGAAAATGTTTGTTGCTATTGGTTCCCTACGTAGATTACGTAACCTCTTTCCAATTCCCTAGTGATTCCCATTTCCGCAGGCTTCGCTCCGAACAAAATCTTACTCTTGAAACTCCTTCCCATACATCTTCCTTTTTTACTACATCCTTCTCTGTCCAAGCAGTACGCTTGTGGAACTCCTTGCCCATAAATATAAGACGTGCACAATCCGTTGCTGCTTTTAAGAGGCTTCTAAAACACTTTTTATTTGTCATTGTAAATCGTTGTACTTTTATTTATGAAATATAATAATATTTTATATATAAGTATGTATTTGAATTTATTTATAAAACATATGTATTAATTTGTTTATACACGTATTTATATGTTATATATAACATTTATTAATCGTATGTATATATGTTATGTTTGTGTATATGTGATTTACCTAAAAGGTGTACACCTCCGAACCCCTTAGAGTATTCAATGTCCTCTATCCAAAGGTTGTCTGGAAGAGATCGCTCTCTTAGCGATAAGACCGCCTTTTGTACCGTGTTTTCTATTTTGTTGTGTTGCTTCTTGTACAATAAAGTATATTTATCTTCTCTCTCTCTCCCACGTGTGGTAACGTATATCTGTCTCTGTCAGCGCGGCGGGCTGGCCACAGAGCGTCGTTGTCGCCGCGTGTCCCTGTGGGCGGGTACAGGAGCCCCGTCGGTCCGGGAGCGCGCCCGGTCCCTGAGCGCGGCGGCTGCGCTGCTGTCCCTGGAGCGACTGGAGCACGCGCCGGACGCTCTGCCGCCCGCCGCGCTCACACCCGCCGCCGCCAGGGACGTGCTGGCTAGGAGGTGAACACTCATTACTTTATTATACTATTGTAAACATTTCAAACAAAACCTACTGTACCAACATCGATCAAACTTTAAAGAATAATAGATAGCTACAGTCACGTCACTCGGACGATAGATGTCGATGTTAGTGTAATATTCAGAAGGAATAATTTCTCTGTGACATGTAATAAAATAATTCTCTGTTGACAGATCCGACTTCAAGCTGGAGGACATCAAGCGTTTGAAACTGTGAAGATAATGTGTAGTATGACGCTTAATATGTATATCACTCGCTGTATTTAAACACTGTGTCAGGCTTTATATGAAATTATAGATATTAATGTACCTATCACTTATGTATTTACTTTACAATTTACTTAATTCTGAAGAGGCTTCTTCGTAATCCTTATTGTCGTAATTTTCTCTTTTCTACTAATGCTACTTTCCCGGTGAATGAATAGTCAACAGACAACAACCAATTAGTGTGCGTGTTGCATCTGAACTCTTATTTTTTTACGTTATCATAAGACTATAGTGGAACCTTCAGTTTTAGATTAGACAGTCTATATTTTCCGCTAATTTGTTATCCCATATGTTATCATGATATGTTCTTGTGATACGCACCAGTTTTTGTTTGTCACAGAATTTTTATTGTTATAATTTATTGAAGTGTTTAATTAGATACTTGTTACAGTTGTAAGTATGACAATATGTAAGTATGATAATAATTACTTTTCAATGTTACAGTCGTTTTTCTAGTGTGCAAGACATAAAAAGTTTATTTTTAAAAAATAAAGAAAAGTAGAATATATGCTTTAAAATGATTTATTGCATTGTAAGATTAAAGCTACAATGTTGATATAATATTCATATAAAATATGACATGTACATACAAAATATAATTACTGTGCATAAAGCTAAAATGACATATAAAAATACTCAACTTAGTGTATTATAGTATATCTGTTTTTTATAACGAGGCATATAAAATGTTGAGGTCATAGGTTCAAATCCTGTCAGTGGTATAACAAATTTTATAGATTCTTATCAAAGTATATTTGTAAACCTTTAAAGGCACTTTGGTGCTTGTGCAAGTAACATTTATACTTAACAATAACTACATAACAAAATGAACTGAGAAATACATTATTATATTAATAGGAAATGTTAAAACTATAAGCAATGTTACTAACAATAAAAAAAAAACATTTAGAAACAAACATTGTAATAAACATATAGCTTGAGCCTTCCCTGTATATGAACAAACAAAGAACATACATACATCACATGATCTACATATTAACAATAAAGTATTGAACACAAAATAGACTAACATATTACCTATAGTTAGAGTGATTTAAGTACACAAGTTAACTTAAAACTAAATAAATTCTGATTGGAAAATATTATATAAAAAATACAAAATAACATGTGTATAAACATAGGAGTAGTGTTACACGCTATGACATAGGAAGAGGTGAGCTTATAGAGAATGTAAATAGAATGACAAATATTAATATAACAAAGAACATTTACACTTAGGTTGTATTATAAATAATGTGTGGAGGTGTCGCATGGATAAAACTGATTAACAAAATAATTTACAAGAGTTACATAACATGTTAGAATCTCAAAAGTTTGTTCGACAAAATTGTCACTTAGCTCAAATAGTAAGATTCATATGGACCATATTACTCTAGTGTCATGTGTAGTGTTATGTTGGTCAATATTTTTAGTATTAATATCCTTCCCTGGTGACGGTGGTCTGTTTAGAGACGACCCTCGTGCCCTGAGCCAGCCCTCCGGCCCGATTCGCTCTCCATTTGAGGTAAGCATCCACACAGTATGCCAATGTACAGGAGAAACCAAAAAACTGAAAACGATATACAGTGGATTTCATTAATAACGACCTCGGTTGTAACGACCTTTCGGTTATAGCGACGTCGAACTTACGTCCCTAGAATTTGAAGCATACTTTCGTATAAATCCATTCGGCAATAGCGACTCCGGATATAACGCCTAATTCGGGTATAACGACTTGTTTTTATGAACTATTTGGGACAGATTCCTAGAAATTCATTGCGGATATTGAGACGGAGTCGGCAAAGGCGCAAAGACTCATTCATCAACTTTAACTATTAAGCTTGTATTATGTAGGAATGTAAACAAAGGATAAGAATCTTTTGTTTACATTCGCAGATGGTCAAGTGATTTGTTTCTGTGTAGGATTACTTAGCACGTGCATGAAGTTAAAATTATGAATCAGTTACGTATCAATTTCCAGTGAGTAAACATCGTTTCTTAAACTTGTGAACATGGCTCCTAGACGTACATTTACTGTTAAAGAAAATGTGGATACTGTTTATTTGGAGAAGCCAGTAATAATTTAGATGTAGAGGGAATTATGAAAATGGAATATACCTTACAGCGTGCACAAAAGTCTAAACTTAAGCAGTGCACTATAACTCGTTTTTTTAATAAAAGCCTTATATAATATAAATAAGTGATAAATAAATAACTACGTATGTATATATACATAATGTACGTGATTTTTTATTATTTCGGATATAGAGACCTCCGGATATAGCGACAACATTAAAGTGGTCCCTCCGCCGTCGTTATAACCGAAATCCACTGTACTTACTTATTATTAATGTTAAGTTTTTTCAACTTGATGTTGCATCATTCATTAATTGCTATTGTGCAGGAAAAAATGTAAATATAAACGTGTATCTTTCTTCAAATGTCGATTTAACTTTCTCCTTGCGAGATCTGCTTGTAGTCCAAATATGAAAAATGTATTTTTGGTACATATCTAGTAAAACTAGTGTTTTGGTAGAGAACATTTATTACAATTAAAATAAATTTGTCAAACATATACGGAAATACTAGAGATATTATGAGGCTTACCGATGCTGCGGCGTGTGGGTTGTCATGTACGGTGACTGCGAGTACGGCAGCCAGGAGGTAGAGGAAGGTCCACAGAGCCGTGAACAGCAGCTCGATCTTCAACCACGGGATCTTGTAGAACTTCTCCACGATATGGAACAGGTAGAAACCCAGCAGGATGCCGGTGAACCAGAACGCGATCATCGCGATCCAGCTGAAGAACAGACCCTTGCTCGCGTTGTTGAAGTGAGAGAACTGGATGCAGATGAAACCCAGTAGACTGAACACCTGGAGTGGCAATAACGTAACCGTTGAGAACCTTATATGATTATCAAATCTCTTTCTTCCTCACTAAAACTTAAATCTATACTAATATTATAAAGCTGAAGAGTTTGTTTGTTTGAAAGCGCAAATCTCCGAAACTACTGGTTCGAATTGAATAATTCTTTTTGTGTTGGATAGTCCAATTATCGAGGAAGACTGTGGGCTATATAACATCACGCTACAACCAATAAGAGCAAAGATATGGTGGTAAATGTGTAAAAAACGGGAGAAATTATTTCGTCTTTCAAGCCTTCCGTTGCGTGCGCCGTGAAAACGGTTCAAGTTACACAAAAAATATGTATTAAAGAAAAATAGCTCTTTTAATGATTTAAAAACAGTCCGCGACAGAATATGTCTATCTTTTAAGATTAACTCATAAAAACCGTTTTTATGGTACATACCTCATTTGGTCGAAATAATTTGTTTAAGTTGTATCAACATAATAATATTAATCTTTATTCAAATAAACAAATAAATATGTTGTTGGTTAAGAGTACTTCTTAGTTACTTAGTTTTATCCTGAAAATTCTACGGGAACTCGACCATTCCGAAAACCCCGCAAGGACGGGAACTATGTGGGAAGAACCAAAAATCTGCCGGAAGTCACTATTACACGGGGACGAAGTCGCGGCAAAAGCTAGTATCTTATATCTATTAAACCTTGACATATTATTTATTACTCACTGTAATACTTTAAAAACAAAATACACATTAATAGACACTCAGCTATACTAATATTAGATAAGGCAACCAACCGTCCCGCATTCTGCGGGACGGTCCCGCAATTCTAGACGAAATCCCGCTTTGAAATTATTAGTAAAATAGTCCCGCAAAACGTTGTATGCGTCCCGCATCCCTACTTTTCTACCACACTTCTACACACAACAAGACCACGGTCAACAGTGCAGGAACACAGATTACCTATAATAGCGACAAGCGTATCACGCGATAATCTCGTTCTTTGTCTTTACTGAACTCATGACGCGTAAGAGAGTACTTAAATTTAATATGGGCAGTTGCGAAGATTTTTATGACATTCTAAAACCCTAAACACCCCCCCCCCCCCCCCGTCATTCACGAAAGGTTAAGTCCCGCATTCAGTTTTCGAAAAGTTTTAATAAATATATTGTCTATGGTTGGTGAACCCCCAGTCTGTATACGTAGTAGCTATAAATATCGTAAGCAGCTTTCTTATACATTATACGTCGCCAACACTTCACGGATTACAAACTTCTCTGACCTATTTATATTCTACATATTAAAGAGTGATGGCTTGTGTCGAGTGGATAGTGAAAATTCTCGCCGGTATAGTAGTGTATACTGGGAAGGGTTTATGGTTATTGGCTAAGCTGGGTTTCGCAGTGACCGGTATAGTCGCGGGCAGTTTGGCCGCGGCCGCCATGGCAGCCACTGGGAACGTACCATCAGGCAGCATTATAGCTAGAGCAACATCCATGGCTATGAGAGCCTAAGCCATAAGGTATGATATACTCATTGAATGAGTGAGACGCTTTACAACAATACCATCAAACTACAAAAATAATATTCTGTATTCATCATCATCAATACATTATTATAAACGACTAACATATCAATAGTTTTTAAATAACAATAAAAGAATTTGGAAAGTAAACTTCTAAAGCACATCAGATATTTGACAAAATATAAAAGATAGTTATAATGAGTGGGGGCCGGTAGGTAATCGAACCGGTGGTGCACTTTACTAAAATATTAAAACTAGAAAATGCAACAACACATAACGAGATGTCAATCATGGCTCAATTCGTCATACATCAGGTGCTCTCGGTAATCTTCGGTCGCTCGTGCGGCGCTCGAGAACATTACTCGGTACATTTCTATGAACTATCTTTTGTTTCACGCGTCAGGCGTATTAATTCGTATCTCATACAAGATGTATTTGCAGTCTTCGTGCAGTGTGCACTGGCCGAAGGCACGATATGAGTTTAGTAAAGCGCTCGAACTTTTTGACCATAATTAGGAAATTTAATTTTTTATACGTTTTTATATGTTTAAAAAATAAAAATTAAAATGGTAATTTAAAAATAAAGACGAAGTAATATTTTGTAATTTTTAAATCCTTTGAATTGGTGGTTCAGCGCAAGAGTGCACTTAAGGTACAGCCGCCACTGGTTATAATTGTTATTATGATTTTCTTAACTCTCGGACTATAGTGACAAAAAACAACTTCAAATCCGCTCATAACCTTAAATTATACATATTTATTATATATATATTTTGGTTACTCTCAAAACTAAACTAAATCTTTTCAGGTACTCCAGGTTTTGGTGTTGCTTAACTATGAGCTTAATAAACGCTTAGATTAAAAATTCTTGTGTTTCATTAAATAATCGTTTTAATGTTTCCCTGTAGAAAGTAAAACTAAGAACAAGAACAACTCTTAGGAATAATATGTAATGGATCTGTCATGTTGTGGTGTAATATATAAATGTAATGTTCATACATACTCACCACTTGAACTACTTTAAGTATCCCGGGGATAGTTCTTACATAAGAAGGATCAAATCTTATGTTAGTCTGCACCGTGGTGTTTGAAGTCACGGTTGTGGTGGTCGTATGCTGTCCCGGAAACCCTGTCTCCGCCATATCTATAGTTGAAAATGGAATTGAAAGCTAATTGTTTATTAAAATATGTAAATAATCAGTGAATGTGCTGTGAAGCAATACATTGACATGCATCAATAACTTTATAAATCATTCACACTTATATACCAACGAAAAACGTTCTATTCTTCCAAATAACAGAATTTGAGTTTTCATTGTGATTTCTATAAAAAAAATTTTTTTTCAAGTTTTTACAAAATATATGAATATTTTATTAATAATTACATTTAAAAAAAAACAATTTCATAGACTAATTTGTGAACTGTTTTCCAAATCTTATATTGAATTAACATAATTAAGAGTAAAATTTTGATTTTCTATTTTAAAAATTTATAAACATATAAAATAAGGAATCATGTTTACAATGTTATTATAGTATTTCTCTGATTTCTTCTACCTGGGTTGGAGATGATTCAAAAGATTCAAAGACGAGAAATTTTATACAAAATCACAAACTTTCTTTTTCCATAAAATTAAAATAGTTAAAACTTATCTCTTAACCAGTTACATACACACTGTTATATTGATAAATTATAATAAAAATAGTTTCTGGTGTGAAATTTTCATATATTATGCAGTAAATTAGCTTTTCATGTTCAATGTAACCAAATGCTAGGCTTATCATCTGTTATCACAATGAATTCAACAAGTGTTGTGAGTCATTAGTCAAAATAAAAATGTCTGATAATTAAGTTAAGACTTTATTTATAACAAAAATCTGTGTTCATATAAATAAATAAATTAATTGCTTAATCTTAATTTCAAAGTTGTATTTGTTGTTACAGTGAAAATAATGTTTACCACAATCATAATTTCGTATTTCACTTATTTCTTGTGGTGCTGAATAGAAAATGTTAAAAATATACCTATGTAAACATGTCACCACCTAAAATAGAATTTGTGTAGAAAACGCACAATTATTAAAATAAAGAATTTAATTTATTGAAAGGCATATAAACAAGAACTGTTATTAGAACTTACCTATTGGTATATTATGGAACTTTTAAATTTTAACTAAAAGGACTGGATGTCTGTTAATAAGTCATAAAAATATTATAACAACTTTACACAATCAAGGATAAATCGTACCTACACACTACAAAACTAAAATGACGAAATTAGTATCAACTATCAAACATCATATTTGACAACTGATTAACCACCCACTAAACATATCATGAACATTCTAATATCGAATAATACAAATTACATTTATATCACAGCACTTAGTAGAATTTCAAATACATATGTGAGTTAATGTATGTTTGTAGTAAAAATAATTATTATTACAAAAGAAAAAATCTATAAAATATTATTTACATTACCAAAAATATTGGAAAACAAGTTTGAAACAATAAAAGAAAAATGGGGGCTTTTAATTTCCTTAAATATAATACTTAAGTCAGTTTATTCTGTTACTAACGATTCAATAAAATAAAATTTAATTAATAAGAAACTTTGTAGAGAAACGTATAAATATTTTAAATTCTTGACCTTGAGTACAATTTGACAGTTGACGTTTTAGATAATTGTTTATGAATAAACGCTTATTGAATTCCTATGTATTGAAATTCTATTTCATAGTTAGTCACATTTAACAAAGTTTTTGATAATAATTCATATACATGTTACATAAAAATGGTTATTGTGACTTTTAGCAAGTAGATAAGACATTTTTGACGTATTAATGAATAATCAAACGATCATAAACTATTTTATTAATACAATGGGTTAATCGTCGCGGTGGTACATAAATGTAAACACCGTAAACAAATCATGGTATGCTATTTAAATATGTGAGTCAGAGATGCATTTAACACAATTCGGTATTGGTCTGTAATATAGTGTCAAGGAGAGACGGTGACTACATTCTTATCTCGACTCTATTATCTAAATGCGGAGTAAAAACAACAATATATTGGTGAATTAAATCATAGACGTAATTGCGTAAGTGAAATATTTGCCACTAAATTTAATTTATATATTTCCTCAACTATATTAAAACTATTTACGACACATTAAGTCAAGCTATTTTATCGTTTCTTACATGTAGACTATTGTAATATATTATTTTCTAATAAGTTCAAATTTTATAGACGATGACCTCTTCTCAAACCCAAAGCCCTCAAGAGATGGGTTCAACTAATGTGGTGTTTAGGACGCAAATGCGATTTGACCACTCCTATTTGAAAACTATACCGGGGATAGTTAAAGCTGCTGTTATTGTAAGTTATAAAATATTTACCTCAAAATATAACTAATATGTTTAAAGTGTCGACAGTGCAGGTCGAGTTTATATTTAATTCATTAAGTCATATGTATTTTTATAAACATATAAGAGAAAAATATTAATTATACTCTTTTTCTTTGCCAGGTTTTAAATCTTCTAGGTTTTATATGCATTCAGTCCTCAGCGTTCTGGTCTAACTCGCGAGGTGTGTATTTCAATGTGGTGTCTCAGATGGGGCTTTGGTTTACGGGGATTTTGCTTCTGCTCTATTTATTCCATGTGGTGGAAAAGTTCCACAACTTCATGTGGCTTAAAGTAGAAATGATTGGATGTGCGGTGCTGACATTCTTGTATCTGATAGCTTCAACTATTGTTGTTGCATTCGGATCAGCTGCATATTCTGCTGCCGGGGTAAGTTTAATCAGTTTCATTTGTAGGTATAATACCTAATATTGTTTTTTATAATAATGTGAGACAAAGAAATAAAAAATGGATGTGAATTTTTTATTTCATGCTTGGAGTGACAATGACGCAAAAAATAAACCATTGTTTGAATGATTATGTTTGAGTTAATAGTTATATGTAAATACAGGGTGACTGGTGAATTACTATCGATACTTGAGGACGTGATATTTGACGATCATATATGACAAAATAAAAATTAATATAACATAAATATTAATAAACTTCTAAGTAAGGTTAACCAAAAGTTATGTAATCAATTACGCATCGTGTGAACACCCTACAGATTAGGTATACACACACACACACACACACGCTGCTGATACAACACCACGCCGCCGCACGCGTCCACACTTGGAACACTTGGAACGTGTCCACACTTTATTTATTTATACGGAAATTTTGTCAAAAATTAAGTACCTATTTTTTTTTACATAATTCGAATGAGAATCATGTACCAAGTATTCTCCTTAAATATTGATAGTAATTCACCAGTCACCCTGTATACATATATGTATATGTATTGTCTCTATATATATATCCTTTACAGAATTTTATAAATTTATTTGTTCATTAATAAATTTGTTCCACAGTTCTTTGGCTATCTAGCGATGGTGTTGTATGGTTTTGACTCGTTTCAAAAGTTCCGTGATATTCGTGCGGGTGCACTTGCTCAAGGGGAATGTGTTCAGACCAAGCAGCAGCACGTCACAACCCCTCCAGCCCTGCCCTAGGCCCCACAGACAGAGCTGCCACATACCAAATATGAAAATGCATCTGACAAAGCTACAAAGCTATCAAGCTACCAAATATAAATGGATTATTGCTCAATGTGAGTTTATATTCTCTGTTTAATACTCTATGAACCATTCTGGTTTTTGAAATTCGAAATTTTATAATAATTTACAAAAGATTATTTGTATTTGCTATGTATTTAATGATAACATTAAGTAAGTAAGTTTTGCACAATTTCTGTACCTATTTATTATGAATCATTCTCTGTCAAAAAACACTGTTTTTATACATTTCTTCAGATCAAGCTTATTTATAAACTGATCTTTATTGTATAAAACATATAGTGTATTATCAAACGTTTATAAATCCAGTACAACTTTTATGATATAATTTATAAGCTTTGTGATTATTTTCTATGTTTCTCTAGTCCTTTACTTCTAAGCTATGTTGTATGTATAATTTAAGAGTAATTTTAATTAAATATTTTTCATTTCTTAGATTTTCTATTTAATATTGCACTTATTAATTTCTCGTTGTAACCTATGTTGTAGAACTTGAATTGTTATATTATAATTAGACTACAATTGCAAATATAATTTATACAACTTTAACGACTCAAGATCAGTGTAATGCAATTACTTTTGAATTTTAACAATGTATGTACTTAAATAGCTAATATTATCATTTAATAATAATCATTAATTACGCTTAATTATTATTATCAAGGAATATATTGCTTGATAATAATATTTTAATTCAATATGAAACAAAAGTTTTTGTATAAATGTTGACATACGCTCATTGCTCCGTCCTACAATCCACTCATGTGTCAAATACATTGCGTGCTATGATTAATGTTCTGAAACTAATATGTAAAATCATGATTGTTATAAACAAGCCTAATTGTTAAGACGTTTAATAAAGTATTTAATACATTGCGTGTTTCATTTTATGAATAATCCACATTAGATGCAAAGCTTTCAAATCGAGATGTTATCTAAAGCTATTGCTTAAAAATGATATAAGTCAAGATTCAAAAAGTAGTCTTTATTCATGATAAAACATTACAGACATTTTTTCACAAGCAACATTTCAAAAAATATATATTTACAATGGTGTCATAAGACATGAAGGCACATTAGTTTCACATCAGTACACAGTAAGGTACCTTTATTTAAATACCAATTAAGAATATAAAGATTGTCACAAGTTACACTTAATACTACATGTAGTATTTGTATCTATATAATATATAATACACTGTCTCACGTACCCCAGTAGAGGGGGCGGCATGGGCTCGGCAGTCTCACGACTAGCGCGGAGCAGAACGGTGACGTGCGCCTGCACTCTAGGCGGGGTAGTAGCGAGACAGTGACTAGTTATACTTACATGTAGGACCAGGGGGTCCTATACTACATATTCTCCGAAACCCATCAATTAATTATTAAATTGTCTGTCCAAAAATAATTATAAAATTTTGTAGATTGATTGTCATAAAATTTAATACAATATTAAGTAACCTTATAAGCTAAATACATTTATATCTTAACAGCGTGTAAAGATTAAAAACATGATTTGTAACATTATTAGTAAATTAATACTTAAGTAAAATACTGTAAGCATATTATAAGTGTAAATAGAAATGCCCATTGTGTTAGACTATATAGCTTTACCGAGGAAATAGTGAAAAATTCTAAAAATATCCCTTAATTTCTTATAATAAGTATAAAACCCAGCTTTAAAACATCCCCTTGAATTATAATTATTGAATGCCAATGAAAATATTGTAAATATTGAAGTACACTTGAATTATAAGAATAATACTTATAGCAAACATTATAAAGTTTCTCATCAGTCAATATCATCTCTCTTACAGTATTTTGTGCAACATACAACCATTTAACATGTTTAAACTTTGCTCAACACAATTATTAAGTAACCAAATTGTGAAATAACAGAGCCCTTACAAACACTTAAAATATATCAATTAAATTGTGAAAAAAGTCTTACAAAAAATATTTGGGCTTATAATAAATATATCCTTATAGTAAGTGTGTTTGTTTCTTCACTGCGGTGGTAGACCTCTCTTCCATGCTTTATATTTCAAGTAACAGTCCAAACCGTATATACCAATAGCACAGACACCAAAGAACTAAAAAAAACAGAAATTTGTTAATTACACAAATGCTTTGACAAAAAAACCCTGAAATATAAATTTTTTGTTAATGTTTGATATCATTATAAATAATGAATTTGAAAGTAGATTTGCAGTTCGTTTTAAAAGATACATATTAAATTTTGTGTTTGTTATTATTAGGGCATGGATAAATATGTATTAAAAAATCTAAAATATGTACATAAAATATGGACGAAAAAATCAAAAATATGGAAAAAATATGGAGTATAAAATTAAATACTTTCATAATTAAACATTGTTTTACTATAAGAAATGGGTCACTCGTGACGTACATCGTTAAGTTACATTTAAAAAAAGATGACAAAAAGTAGCGAAATATTTATTTCAACAAAAAATAACAGTTTTATTTAACTTCCATTACAATAGCCTTATCAAATTGGTTGCAATACACAATGACGTGCTTCTTTAAATTATCAAAATGAAAACTGACCATTTGGTCGACATAGCATTACATCTGCTGATTGGTCTCATCTCAAGTCACTGACGTGATGGATGCATTCTTGAACATGCTTAATTCAGTAATTGTGTACCACGTCTACAGCCCCCGAAACTTTCGCACAGAATTTTGTTAATTGTTTTAGCCTATTAAATCCTTTATTTTATCCAAAATGTTAGTGGCAGAAACGTAAATTTTATGCATTTTTGTGAATATATGGATGATTGTGACATTTTCTTGTAAAATATGGACTTAACTTTAAAATGTGGTAAAATATGGAAAAATATGGAAGATAAAAGTTGGTTTTTCACAGTCTAAATATTACAGTCCATGTAAAAAACACATTCTAGACTGAAAATCGCGTAAATTAAAAATATGTATTTACATATTAATCCGGGCCCTAGTTATTATAGAAGAAAACAATTTCTGTACTATTATTTTACAAATGTAGATACATGTTTTTAGGTCTCTTGTAGTAAAATCTTAATATTTCTGAGTGATTCTCTTGGAGGAATCATTTTAGTACTTTTTCATTTGCATGGTTTAATTTTATTTAATATTTCTAAGGGACATGAATATTATATAACATTTTTAATTTCTACTTCATCATTCAACTGTTATAATAAAATTAAAAGGGGAAATAACCTTTATCTATTAGAGGATAGCTTTAAATTTAAAATGTATCTAATGTCTTTCAATATTAGCAAGTGAATAGTCTCTACTTACTGTGACAGCATAACCAGCGCTGTCTCCGATCGTAGCAGCAAATATTGTGGTGGCTATATACCCCAGGGTCATGATAGCACAGTAGAAGAACTCCACCTTTAGCCACGGCCACCTGTCATATTTCTCGACAAAGTGGAACACATACATGAGTAGCAGAAATGTGGTGAGAATGTTACCCGACCAGTACAGAATGTTGTAGAAAATTGATGACACCCACGAAAATGACACTTTAATACAGATGAAACCCACGAAGTTACATACCTGAAACATATGAATGATAAAATAAAAAATGTTCAACTGTTTCGTGTTATGGTTGTTTAGATTTAAATATATTACCAAAGCGGCAATTTTCAATAAGCCGGGTAGTGTTTTAAAATAGCTCTTATCAAATCTGATAACTTTCTGCGGCGGCGGCGGCGGCTCACTTGGTGCGGGGGGATTTTGATTGAAATGGTCAAACATCGTGAACTAGGTTTCCTGCAAATGAATATCCATAGTTAAACTTAACATTTATACAATTCATACAATATCTTTTAAACATAATCAAGCTATTTAAAGAATTCAACTTTTAGATCAATATCCAATTGATATATCTTAATTTCACTTTTGGTTTACCTATTTTGTTTACCACTTCAAAGTAGCCGTTACAGATTTCAAAATAATGTTTAATTTAAGAATTTCAATACAAAAGTTAACCTTAATTAGACAATATGTACTAATCACCGTGTGAATAACTTTACCTTCAAAAATAAAATTAATTTAATGTTATCACATTATCTACATGTTTTCCGATAAATTATAAACTTTGACGTATTTCCAATCAATTTTGACAGTTGATAAGACTTGTTAAAATACATTACACAGTGTACATAATAAATAAGGTATATTTTTTTCACACGTTGTGTATCATTAATTATTATTAACTATAGTGATGGTAATGGTTTTAAATAATTAAAAAGGTCAAAAATGTTAAAAACTTTGAATTTATATATTTTATCACATATCATAGTTATTGGTAGTAGTAAAGGTAGTTCAAAATAGATAGAATAAAGTGTTCCAAACTTTTCTCTCCTCACGATTTTTAAAATTATCAAAATAATGTTCTAAATATATAACGTATCAAAATTTTTATACGGATACATTTTCTTGAAGTAACTTTTATTTCAATATAGTATATTTGAAAAGTATGGAACGGTATGAGAAGTGAATTTAATTGTTAAATAATGAAATTTTGAAATGCAAATAATATATTTTGTAATGAGAAACAAAATAGGAAGGTACGATTATTTATATCATCTATCTTCAACTAATGGTATTTAACTGTCAAGTGTCACAAATCAGTCTACTCTAAACACTAATGACTAATGTATGTTCGACTGTGTGGATAGTTGAAAATGTGTGTAATTAAAATAAGTCGAAACGAAAAGAGTCTTTTTTAGATTTTTTTTCAATATAAGTGTTAAGAAATATATTTTTTTATAGTGTTAAACAAGTGATAACGGTAAAAAGCGGGTTTCAGTGATACCGGTGCTGAAACACTTGTGCTACCACGGACTTTAAATAATATTGTAACTGGAACATTTATACTGCGTGTGATGGGAGATAGAGATTGGAGACCGTTTGTTTACGGCGGCCTGGCCTCTATCGTTGCCGAATTTGGTGAGTTTTTTGTAACGTAACCTCTCATATTGGTCAACTAACCAAATATATTTTGTTGATTATTTCAAATCTTTTTGAATATAAGTTCTGGAATGCATACAGGTTTTATAAAAAGAATATCAGACAAATATAACATAATTATTTGCTGACAAGATCATAGTTATAAGATGATTATCTGACTAGGCACTTTCCCCATCGACACAACAAAGACTCGTCTTCAAATCCAAGGACAAAAGACTGACCCGCGTCATGTGGAACTGCGGTACACTGGTATGGTGGACTGCTTCGTGAAGACTTCACAGCAGGAGGGGGTCAAGGCATTGTACTGCGGGTATGAAATGTTCTATTATAATAATAAAATGATCATAGTAAGTCATTCATACAGGCTTTAAGGATTTGTATGTAATTTAAGGATATTACTAATTCTTTCTTTAATGCCAATATATAGAAAAATGGAATAGGTATTAAAATGAAAATATAGTGGTCACATTGAGTAGTTGCAATTTCTAGTGACAACTGCAAGGTTAAAAAACATTTATTTTAATGAAGTAGATAGCTGATGTGAAAATAATTATTAAAAGAAGCAAATGACTAACACTTTAACACCAAAATATACATAATAAAATATTTATAAATAATATAAAAAATATTTTTGAATATTCATATACAGGTGACTGGTGAATTACTATCAATATTTAAGGAGAATACTCGGTACATGATTCTCATTCGAATTATGTAAAAAAATAGGCATTTAATTTTTGACAAAATTTCCGTATAAATAAATAAAGTGTTGACACATTCCAAGTGTTCCAAGTGTGGACGCGTGCGGCGGCGTGCTGATACAACACTACGCCGCCGCACGCGTATGTGTGTGTGTGTATACCTAATCTGTAGAGTGTTCACACGATGCGTAATTAATTACATAACTTTTGGTTAACTTTACTTAGAAGTTTATTAATATTTATGTTATTTTAATTTTTATTTTGTCATATATGATCGTCAAATATCACGTCCTCAAGTATCGATAGTAATTCACCAGTCACCCTGTATATCATTTTTTATTAACCTTAATCTCTTATTTGTTAGAAACTATATTAATTGATAAATAGGTAGTAACCGATAAATATGTTAGATTAAATAAAAAAAAACCATAAAAGATAGATTATAGTTATTATTTTATTTATTACATAGACATACCACATGACTTTATATTAACAATGTGCCGACATCTACATGCAATAATTTCATCATGTATTTAATTTGTTTTTGATTGAACTAAACCTTGTTTTGTTTATAATTATCAGAATCTCTTGTAATAAATACATTGTTTATTATAATACACATTTTCAAAACTTTCTTATCTCGGTATAATTCTGAATAGACATTTTTTTTATGTGCAATGCAAGTTTTTATTGAGTAATTGTGTAAATGAGAGTATCAAATATTCTTTCGGTCATTGTTTTCTATGTTGTGTCACAAGAAGTAACAAAATTTGTATAGCTTAATAACTACAGTGTTAAAATAACAACTAATATAAAATATATATCTGTAATTCTACCTGTTAATAAACTGTGGTTGAATATTAATATTTTACTTCAAAGCATCTCTATCACACTTTAAGATGTGAGTCAGATGACCACCGATCCCAAAGCTGTGAGGAAAGTCTATATGAAATATCTGCCATAAATATTTATTTTAGATCAGAAAGCAAGTGCCAAATCATAATGGACAGTAGTTTAAAGGCGATCTTGAGATTTTTAGTTTTTAAATAACTCTTCCTATAAAATTTCTTTGACTTTTAAGCATTTTCGTCGTGAGGTTTTAGCAGCTTCCCACCTTGATGATAAATAATAATATTTTATAAAATAAACAAGTGTCAATTATTATTTGTATACTTTTAAAGTGTGATAAGATTTGATTTCTGACCCGAGAAACCAGGTTAGAACGAAATTAATTATTTGACAAAATTACGTCAGAAATCACGGTCGTTAGGTAGAGAGAGAATGTGGAGAATATTAAGAAATTTATATTCAATAAGACTAATAGTTTTTTATTATGTACAGTAACCATTCAAAATTTTTCAGTACAATAATTTGTTAGTAAAACTAGGATAGTAGAACGCCTTGTCTAAAAATGCTTCGGTTATGAGAAATGCGCGCCAACAACGCTATATTTGATTTAGACGTTTGAAATGGGATTTAGATAAGAAGTTTAGTATAAGGAAACAGATTATATTGTTACAGTGACACCAGTCGTGTACTATATGAGTATATGACGTGTACTTATTATTATGAGCTCTTTGTTTGTATCTTAGTATTAGAGATATATAACGATAAGAAATATTAGACATTGAAGTTATTTAGATTGTTTTAAAAAACATATTAACATACAATAAATATGTATGTATAAAAATAATGTACTAATATATGGGATACTAGCACTTAGCTGTATATTTAAAAAATATTGATTTATGACTATAATTTCATGTTGACGAAGATTCTTGGCCGCACTATGAGTTTCACTTCAATTAATAGAAGTTTAAATATATATTTGGAATCAGTATTAATGAGATACAAATGTATAACAAACAACTGGAACCATCCATCAGTTGTTAATGACGCGTGTGTCACGTTCACGATCCACAGTATCTGGCCAGCGGTTCTTCGACAGGCGACATATGGCACCATCAAGTTTGGTACCTACTACTCCTTGAAGAAGTGGTTCGCGAACAGACGGGGAGGGGGAGGAGGGGACGGCGGCGGGGGAGGTGGGGAAAGTGTCACCACAGACACGCTGTGTGCAGCGCTGGCCGGGGGGCTGTCCAGTGCGATCGCCAACCCTACTGATGTACTTAAAGTACGGATGCAGGTGAGTAGAGTTATGGTCATGTACTAGATATGTAGCTCGTATTGTATATCACTCGATAGTTGCTTTTAAATGTGAGGCCAGCGTGCTAGCTGATGGACTAAATGGAAGAAGTAAGAAACAAAAAAGAAATATAAAAAACTTGGTATCTTGTAAAATACCAATATTTGTGTCTGCAAGTAAAATCCTTGCTGCTTTGTGGTCTTGTAGATCCTTTAACGAATCGAAGTCCTTTCATTGTTGTAGGTGGGTGATGAGAAGCGTCACCTGGTCCGGTGTTTCATGGAGATGTACCGTGTGGAGGGTGTGCGCGGGCTGTGGCGCGGCGTGGGGCCCACGTCCCAGCGCGCGGCCCTCATCGCGGCGGTGGAGCTGCCCGTGTATGACGGCTGTAAGAGACGCCTCACGCCCGCGCTCGGGGACTCGCCTCTCAACCACCTCGCCTCCAGCGCGCTGGCCAGTCTTGGCAGCGCCGTCGCCAGCACGCCGCTGGACGTCATAAGGGTAATACCAGACTTGCAAAAAACTAGGGACTAACCAAGCAAAAAAAAAAGTAATTGAGTTGCCTTTTGGATTGTGTGAAGGTGTCTTTATAGGCATTTTTTATACAGTAGCTATGGATGTTATTTCCATTTTAGGTTTTCGTTTTAATAGACTATCAATAAAACTTTTCTTACTGCTTAAAATATATGTAATATTATTTATAAATTATTCCAGACTCGGCTTATGAACCAACGGAAAGTGAAAAATGCCAGTTCAAACTCCCAAGTTAAGATCTACAAGGGAACCGTTGACTGCCTCGTCCAGGTACACATGATTATCATATTATATGTTGAACATACTTTGTTTCGGGGACCGGGTTTGATTCCCGAGTCGTCACATTTTCAGTTGTTGTTAAAGAATAGTCCACAATTTAGGATATTTTCAAGACACAGCTTGTCGTGCGATTAACGATTCTGTCTCTGTAAAAATAGATTCGTAATAAGGGTGTATAAATGTCTCGATGTATTATTGAATGTAGGACTGGAGGTCCAACAAAAAAATAAACTGTTTTTTTATATTAATAAATACTTATTAAAGTATAACAAAAATTATATTTCAGACCATTCGTAACGAAGGCTTCCTCGCGCTGTACAAAGGGTTCGTGCCCACGTGGCTCAGGATGGGGCCCTGGAACATCATCTTCTTCGTCACGTACGAACAGCTCAAGATTATGTACTGAACGACGCGCCTCCCATCACGGTGACGGGAGGAGGGAGGGGGGGGGGAACGGAGGAGAAACGTGGAGGACGGGGGAGGTCGGTATATATAATAGGCTGGTTCTGGTATAATAATGAATATCTGTAATAATATAAAATACTATGTACTTTAGAAATTTAAATTAATAAGACTCGCCAAAATCTTAGATCTCGTTACTGTAGAAATAATACTCAATTATATATATATTTTTTTTGATAATAATTATTGTATGTTGTATGTGATATATTTTCCAGGGTTGGGCTGCACGGAGGAGTATGACTCTTTAGAAAAATTGTAGTTTTAAGAGTAGTTTCAATGTATAGTGTAGTTAATAGTCGCCGAGTACAAACTGATGTCACACGTGAGTCGTGACACCTTCATCAAGTGTCAATATAATAATTATATTGGTTTGCATTTTGTTGCCTCAAATATTGTTTGTAAATTAATACAATGCGTATTTTAAGTTAAGCTTTGATTACTATGTAAACATCCTGTATATACATTACAAGTCGCATGTTGCATACACACTGTAGAAAGAGTGTGACAAACATTATAAAGGAATAGTAAGGGTCGTGTGAAACGAGTGTGCTTAATAATATGATTGAAGTAAAACTTCTTTAGCCATACATATTATATTAATTTATTATATTTTTAATTATAGGAGAAATTAAACGTGTTCATTCTTGTCTCTATTGCCGTTACAAGATGTATCTCTATCTCTTTCTATCTCCACTAACACATCTCCCTCTCTCAGTCACTACCCAAGTGAGCGTAAAGAAGTTTTACTTCATCAAGTGACGCTTTGTGGGTTGTTTATAAATCTCACAACTAGTATGTAAGTGTAAGTGACATATCATTATGAGATTTCGCACTGAGTGCATCGACCTCTTGTTTTGTTTAGTTGTTACTGACCTGCGTTAGACGCCCCATACAACACGAACCAAAGTATATATTATATAAGTTACTGAAATAACGATCTTGTGTTATTGTATTAAGGATCTATTTCATTTGATGGATATTTTAATGATAACTACATTCAGGGTTCCCAGCAAATCACATTTTTTTTTGTCAAAGCCCATATGTGCGAGTGTTGCCCATAGTTCAGTGTTTCATTCACAAATATATTTGTTTAACTGACCATTTGTGGAATAAACATGATAAAACTGGTGCTATAACAACTTGTGTTATAAATATTAAAGATATTTTTTATGCCCAAAAACAGCTTAAACCATTTTACATACTTAAATGTTACCGGTATACTGTATATGAAGCTTTTAGATGTCTTATTATTGCCAGTTGGATTAATCATAAAACGATCTCGACTGAGCGACCTCGGCCCATAGGTGACGTGTTACATGAATTAAAATATACTGAAGTATCGCTTTGTGCCAAAGGAGTACAGAGTACGCATTTGTAAAGTCTTGATTAATGTTCCTGATTGTAGATTATATCTGCTGTGGTACATTTATTAATAGAATTCGGATGTTTATTGTTTAAGAGATCGTGATTATGTGCTGTAACTCACTGAGTGCTGGAGTGGGACTGAGATAACAAATTTAAATTAATAAATATTATTTGGTGTTACTTTCTGTTGTTTTATTATTCACGGCGTTTTAAAATTCCTTTCTTTATTATTGATACACTATTCTTGAACTATCGCGTCCGTCTAAATGGACTTATAAGTGTAGATTTGCAGATATTTGACTATCTTTTAATTAGTAAACTTAATTAAGTAGATTTAACGAAGAGGAACAATCATGAAAGATCGACGAGATGAACTTACCTTTTTAGTGTGTATCAAACCAAAAATTTACCGGTTGGAAGAGAAAATATATAACAATAAGTACCTTCTTAAATAAATGATTGCCAGGAAGACCCCTTATCATTCCATTAAATCACCAGCTCCTCTATACCTAACACAATTTGAAACCAATCACTAGGTCTGCTTTCGACGTATGTTCCAATAATGAACTGATATTAGTTCTAACAGGCCCAAGTTTTTTAGTAGGTTCTAGAGAGATTTAGCTTATTATACCTCTCGCTTCCTCTTCAACCGCTTACACAACGAACGAAAAATGACGCTTACACAAAGAACGAAAAACGAACAAAAATTAAAGAAGGGCTACATTAAAAATCACAAACTTCGAGAAGTATTGCAAATTCATGAGATTGCTCTATTATTATCTTGTTCACTGATATAATATTACTACAGAGGTTTTATGTACACATTTCTTAAAAGACAACACTGGCAGCTGACAGAGATGTTGGTAGAGAGTAAAAAAAAAACAGATCATCAAAAGATAGAAGTCAGTGAAAGTATTAACGTTAGGTATGATACATGTCCTCCATGGACAACGTGGAGTGTGTGTGCGCGGAGGCGACCACGCTCGGCATACTGAAGGAAGTGCACAGCGCTTACAAACACAGGCTACAGGTCATTGACAGGATGTCCGGGGGGGAGAAGCTGCAGGTGAGGGGGGAGGGGGGGTTTACATACTGAAGTTGATAAATAACTTTCACCTAACGCATGATTACATTGATGATTGGTATTAATTTTGTTTGAATATGAACCATAGAAACAAGTGGAAGTTCTTCAGTCGTGGGTGGAGGACCTGGTGGATCAGAACACGCTGCTGGCGCGGACGGTCGAGGAGTTGGAGACTGAATTCACGTCCAAGCTACTTCTTGAGAGAAGGAGGCACTCCGAGGTTTGGGCTCATTTAAAATATTAATAGTTTAAATCTGATGTCAAGACAAGTCTTTCCTTTCTCTTCAAAATTATCATGTACTACGAGTATGTGCATCTACAGGAAGTTTCGCCGTGTATTGAATTTCTTTAAATGTAAAATTTCTATGCCTTAATACTATTCATATGTACTTAAAAATCAATTTCGTTTCGATTCAATGATTTTTCTTATTTATTATAATAACAGTCTAAAACAAATCAGAATTACTTGAGTCTAAAATAAGTGTAGGATGTGGTCGCTTTAATATATGTTACAACAGGCTTCCAGAAAATTATCAGACCGTTTTTTAAGGAAAACTATTTTTACAGTTAGTCTTTATGTTATGCACACGTTTCATATTACTTTTGTCTGAAGGTGGTGGTTAATTTTAAAAATTAGGGAAGTTTAAAAAAAAATACCATTTCCTTTTTGCGCTTGGTGATGCACTCGTTTCAAACCATTTCGTTAATTTTTGTGTGACTGTGAGAAGTGAAAGAAGAATAGAAGACAGAGAAAGCAAGAGTGGAAAGAAAGAGTTCGTTATAAAATATAACAAGAAATGAGAACGTAGAAGATTCAAAGCAGTATACAAACAAATGTATGGAAGAAAAGCCTCTGAAGTGTTTTGATATGCAGGTTGTCAGTGAGCTACAAACAGAGACATGTGTTCTTCGTCGCCGTCTCTCCCGCAAGGATGCCGACCTGAGAGGACTGTTGGAGGTGTTGAGGAGGTTGCGGGAGTTTGATCACTGTTCCATCGACGGCATACATTTCCACGAAGTCACCGAATCCGATATATTCGGCACTGTTCTATGGTAAGATAAGATTGGTTTATACTAATAATCTGTTCGAATTTTTGTCAAACTATTGTAAAGTAATTCTTGTGTGAAATTATAATTACAATGTTTTTATTGATGTTACTCGTGAATATCAATTTAATTGACGGCTTAATGAACGTATCAGTTTATGAGATATTTTTGTGTTACAGGCAACAACAGAATCTAGATCACGGAGATATTAAAAAGAATACGAAACACGAGTCTCGGAACAGGAACTTTAAATTGATATAGTTTTTTTTTTACTCATTGTATTAGCTTTTGATGTTCTTATATTTTTTTATTTTATATACACAATAATTTTATATCAATATATTTTTTGAATTTATTCTAGTTTTGTTTTAATTTATGAGACGAAACTTCTCAGTATTGCATGGATTTAAAATATCGGGTCTTAAAAAATACGTTACCTACAGGTGACAAAGAGAAAATATGAAAAACAATATAAAATCCCAGATTGAGTCGGCAAACCAGATCAGATATATTTCTGTATTCGCAAAATTAAAAGCGGGTGTTAATAGAGCTTACGGTTCCTTTGGAAACCAACATCCCCAAAGACCATGCGATCAAGGTTAATAAGTATTACAAGCTTACCAACGAATTCACTCAGAATAGGGTAAAGCAAGAAAAAAATCTCAACAGATCCCATATTTTCTCCGATACATAACAATTTATGGAAATAAACCTTTTATTTAATATCGGTAACAGTAATATCAATGTTTTTTATTTCAAAATAATGTTTGTCGATCACTTTGTTCACAGTGGGACAAAAGTAAAAAAATATGCGATACAGTTAACGATCTGAAAATGCTGAACGATTCCCTCATCAAAGAAAACCTCACCAAGGAAAGGTTGATATACTAATAATAATTTTCAGTATAGTGAATAATAATTGTTTCTTAAGCCATTAGTGTTGAATATTCATTATATGATATATGAAAAACATGAATGTTTTTAAATAAAAAAAATTGTGACCGGTTAGAATATTTATTACAATATATATTTTTTTTTAATTAAAGGGAAATACGCAAATTGAACAAGGAACTTCAACACTGTGAACAAACTATACACTCTCTAAGAAACGAAACGACCGCTGAAACCTTCCCCACTTTACCGTTAGATATCATGTCTTTATCATATTTGTACTAAGAAATGTCATCTCTTCACACAAAGTAGTTAATGAATATATAATATTTTATATTACCTTCCTTTTACAATATTACTTCTCTGTTTACCATAAATGACAGAAACTTGTTTTACTTCTACGTAGGAAAAAGAGGCAAATCTAGCTATGTATTTATAATTGATAGTGTTAATCCATGTTAAAAGTTAAGAATAGTCCATGAAATTATCTAGTTTTCTTTTTAAAAGAATATTTTAACGAAAAGATTGTATTTAATTTAGGGACGTACCAAAGAAGGATGCTGAAGTAACGGCTGATATTTGCTGCACACAAGAGGTAATGTCATATGTTAATTTATATTGGTCCATTCACGTAAACGATAAAATACTTAGTGAACTAAAAGATTTAGAAATTATTAATGCCATGGGCTCATTACATACACGTTTTGAGAATAAGTTGAGGATAGTGTAGGCGCTAACTGATATAGAACTATCATTAGCTAGTGCTAAAGCTAATGGTAGTTGTGTGTTAGTTATGTTTTCTTATATATAATTAATGAGGAACAGTTTGAGTGTCCGGCGCAGTGTGGCGACTCCGAGCCGGTGAGGGAGAGGGCGTTGTACAGCGGTCGGCTGCAGCAGATGGAGGTCAGCGTTAAGGCAGGACATCTTTTGTATTTATAATGAACGAAAGCCCTAACGTAATCACTTAACATATCATTAGCCCTCGAAATAGTTCGTTACCATTTTCTTCCTTTTGTCCCTCTTTTCGCCAAAGATTCTTCATATTACATATGCCCAGCCATGTATCCACGTGTATGTCTATCTCCCCTCGTATTTATTAGTATAATGAGCGTGTGATTGTTGGTGTGACAGTCAAGCGGCGACAACATCCGCTCCCTGCGTCAGCTGAACGTGTCTCTGTCAGAGGAGGTCCGCGCCCTGCAGCGGGTGTGCGGCGCTCTGGACGAGCAGTGTCGAGCGATGGGGCTCCGGGCGAGGTTCAAGGATGACGTCATACATGAGATGAGGCGCCAGCTGAGACAGGCCAAGGCTAAGGTGAAGCTTTGACTTTACCAGTATCATACAGTTTTAAACGATGAAGCAATCGGATCAATTGAAGAAAATATCTTAAGGTTATGGAAAAATAAATTAATAGTACATCTGATGTAGCATTGTAAAAACAAAAATAATTTTAAAATTTACAAATAAAAGTATTTTTAGAATTTATTTGAATAATTGCTTATTATTTCCCAAAGCTCAAAGAACTATCGGAGTCCAATATACCGAAGAGCCAGAAGGCCCAGGAGGTGTGTCGGGAGTCTGCATCGATGGAGTCGCTGGTGGGGTGCGGTCCTCGCCACAGACACAGGCAGGACGAGCGACACATGAACTGCTCCTGTCACAGCTCCATCTACGACGTGTCAGATGACGACGCCTCCTCTAAACCTGAGTAGTTCATTAAATGATAACAGGAGACGTTTGTTTTATTTGAATCAGAATATTTATTGTGGCTTTCAGTAGCTTCCTTGTTATTATTAAGTAAGCCAGAGTACTGTGTAAGTTGACGTTGAGCAATATTATTATATATAGTTTGTTTACAATCTCAACTCCCTAATTAAAAATTAAACGTTCCCTTACTCTTAGTCTCAGAAAAAGTTTACATGAAAGTTTAATAAGTACGTCTTTGAAAGTACGATATAGTATAAATGTAATATATATGTATATTAAGTGTTGCAATCAGATATTTAACGTTTACGTGTTTGGGCCTTTCTTAAATACTTAGTTTATTACATATTTACTGAACACATGAATTGTATGTACGTCCAGCTTGACGTGAAGGCAAGATGTCCAAATATCTGTAGAGAACAAGACAAGACTTCAGATAGCAGTGATTTGTCCATCATAGAGAGGGTTAGTGTATAACTTACAATATCCTGATATATGAATCCATACAAATAAATAAAGTTGTACTGCCATGTTGTAAAATACTAAAAAAAACTGATTTTATTAAACACATAGGGTACTCGTCTGTCTGTATGTTCCGTATCTCTAACACGGATGAAACTCTTTATATTGGCTTTTCACTGGAAGTTAGCAAATGTTATAATAGGAGTAATCTTTGCTACTTCTTTTAAGTTTCTTGTACAAACATCTTCATAATATAATCAAAGCTGATGATGCCTCTCATTTTCATCATCTATTGATATTTATCTCGTCCCTTCTCTGTGTTCCATGTCCCAGCCTCCGTCTCCTCCCCTGGAGTTATCCGACACTTCTATCATAGCGGACGAACTGGCGTACCCTCGAACGAGTCGCTCGTGTTGTGACCGCGGACAGAAACAAATACTAAGGGGAGTCAGCATATTAGATGGGTACATAGTTATTGGTTCTCTGTTGTATACTAATATAATAATAATAATAATGATATACTTCGATTATTTTTATCAGGAAAATCAAAAAAGAACCGGATCATGTAAGTACATTTTTATAATACCTATCTTGTGCTTATATATTCGCAACTCCTTACTCGATTCTCGAGTGACTTCTAAACCACTGAAATTCGAAATATTTAATATCTATTTTATTTCGTGCCGGTGTTCGGTCGGCGCCCGCATCAGAAAAGATTAGTTAAAAGTTATGGGACAAGGTTCGACCCAATTCTAGTTTACCACACCCGGTAGTGTGACGGAAAAAATATCACATTATTGAGAAATCCATTCATAATACTGTGGAATTATAATAGTTCAACTCAACGAAAATAGGTAAAACTTACTTGTGTTTACATTAATGATCATAAGTCATTTATTTATTAACTAAATTGGACTTTATTTTAGAAGTAAATTTTTGGGAGCTTCTATTCTTTTTGAAATTATTATAGACAAAACCTCCGTCTAGACTCTAGACTGAGCGATAATTACCTATGTTATATTAATCAACAGCAATAACAACACGACTCTCTTTTACTTACACTTGAAGTAAGTCATAATCTCTCTCGTCGCAGTAGAATTGGTTTTATAAAAGATGTCTTTGAATAGCAGATATCTCCAATATAATATGTAGTAAAAAGTATCTCTTCAGGCCTTTTAGTAAGCTTTTAGTCTCCCTGCTTAATTTTTTATGTGTTATTCTTTTACAGTAATGTTGGTATTTCTATACCTTTTAATAGAGTTTCAAAACAAAAAGTTTTTAATAATTAATTTATAGTTGTTGGGTTGTATTTCGTCCTTGTCTTCAAAACATGAGTTACGAAACAGATGAAGTTTGAAAAATTAATGTTTTTTTCAAAGTACATCAATAATTTATTGATATATTCGCCATCGTTGATAGGATAACTATTCAAAGGAATTCAACAAGCGGTATAAATACTTCCTCAGTGAAAAAAATTTCATAGTCCTCATATCACTCAAGTCGTTAATGTTCAAGCACGACTACCAGGCCTTACCACAAGTTACATGTGTAACTTTACACCGTTTTTTCATAGTTAAACTAAATATAAAAGGTTTGAAGTTCCTAAAACAATGTACTATCAGGATAAAAGTTAATTTCTTCAATCATATTCAATACCAGACCGAAAGTTTAAACATTATATTCTCATAAAATATGACTTGTGAGCAAAAAACTGTAACGTTGTCCGTATTATCGTGTTTGTTGTGAGCCGGGACTAGGGCTACGGTCGTATTCAAGTGGAGCAAACTTCCGCCACTACAAACTAACACTATTTACGTTGTTCTAATAATATTGTGGCGGCACAGCAGTCACAGTGCAGCGAGCACGGCTTCAAGATGCGTTGTGTCAGAAACAGATCGAGTTTGTTGTGAAATGTGTTATTTTGATGCGTTGTGTCGTACGAACCATCATTGAGGACTTGAGAATAGTTTTATTTACAATTAAAATACTGAATAGCGATTTATAGCAATATCGTTGATTTTTGAAAATTTGGTCTGTGTTTTACAGTTTTATTTAAAAATTCCTGGATATATTTGTATTGAATTAATGAATTTAATATTAGTTTCAAGATGATGTTCAACGGATTTCTAATGAGTAATGATTCTGATACTAGTATATATACGAAGGTGAGTATAGTTTATTTAAAACTACATATAATATATAATATTAGAGGATATTCACCAAATACTTTCAAAGCAAATAGTTTCCAAAAATAAGGATAAAATCTGTTAACTACTTAGTTGTAATTTTGTAGCTTTTTTGTTTTTCACTCAATACAATATTACTATATTATATGAACGATGTGACGAGTTTTTCAATAACTCCTATATTTCTGTTACATACTTAAACTGTGTTTATTTTGTAATACTGATCTTTTAAACATAAAACTGAGAAAACAAGTATTAATTTGTAATATATGGTTTCTAACACTTGCTAGAATATTCATTTAAATTAAACTAATACATCTCGTCATTGTGATCACGGTTGTTGCTAAGTAGCCGAAACGTTGGGTAGTTAAATTAAGTAACCGAAAGTTTGTAGTTTTTAAAAATAAAAAATATGCGTAGTAATCTGAAAATATAAGTTTCATTTATATATATGATATTATTCGGGGTTCCTGAGTTTCATTAATAAAGGTTCGATGTAATGAACTAAATGTCTATTATATCTGTATCTTCCCAGGTCAGTAACTCTGCCAGCGTCAGTGACAGTGAAGCGCGGGCTCGTTCACTGGAAGAGTCACTAGAGGCCGCCATGAGAGTCGTGAGTTATTTACGTTAAATACTTCCGCTTACAGGATACTCGTAGGAAACACAAGTCTTTTTATATTTGAAATGGAATATGTGTTAAGATAGCTGTGTCTTTGACTATCAATGATACTACTATAAGTTACTTGTAGGTTTGATTTCATATAGGAAACATTGAACTCTTCAACATATTTTGTTTTGTATAGGTTTTGAAAAACTATATTCAAATAAAGTAAAGTAAGTTATGATAGATAAACAGAAATATTGTTGATTTAATGAGATCTACGTTAATATATTGTGTATTATTATATATGTAGAAATCTGTTTTGTAAATCCAGTTAAAGAACAAAGAGGAGACGGTTCGCGTGCAGGCGGAGAGTCTCGCGCTGGCTGAGGAACGACTGGCGACACTCGGACAGGTGAGGGTTAGTAGTGGCAAGGACCAGGAACATTAGACTACTACTAGAACTAGAGCGGGCCAGACGTGTTGAGAAATAAAATTGGTTGTTTGTAAAGTAGGTTTACGATCGAGATGTTTACGTGATAACGTCTTATTGGTGATATAAGTTTTTGGGAAGTAAGGAATTAATGAAGATAACAATTTTTTCAAATTTTAAATTACATCTATCGTTTTATTCACACTTTTGATGATAAAATTCGGGTGTAAAATGACAAGTTTACTTATTCGACTATGATATACATTTTTCTTCATACATACATTCATACAAACATACTTTTATACATTTATACAAACATTTATGCATACATACATATACAGGGTGACTGGTGAATTACTATCGATTCTTTAGGACGTGATATTTGACGATCATATAATATGACAAAATAAAAATTAATATAACATAAATATTAATAAACTTCCAAGTAAAGTTAACCAAAAGTTATGTAATTAATAACGCATCGTATGAACACCCTACAGATTAGGTATACACACACACACACGTGCGTGCGGCGGCGTGGTGTTGTATCAGCACGCCACCGCACGCGTCCACACTTGGAACACTTGGAACGTGTCTACACTTTATTTATTTATACGGAAATTTAGTCAAAAATTAAGTACCTATTTTTTTTTACATAATTCGAATGAGAATCATGTACCGAGTATTCTCCTTAAATATTGATAGTAATTCACCAGTCACCCTGTATAACCGCACGAGAAAATCTCCATTCGTTTGTATGCCGCTAGAGTGAGAGAGACGGAAGATCGGTCCACTCACTCGAACGCTATGCCTGCCTCCGCTCGTGAGGATTCCGCGTGACAAGTTTCACGGAATGACTGGCAGCGCTCGAGATGAGACGGGAGATCGGTCCGTCTCTCTCTCTAGTTATACCTGCGATCGCGCTCGTGAGGTTTTGGTGTGACACAAGTTTCTGAACATGTCACCCGACTAAAACGATTTTAAAGACGTTATCACGTCAAAAAAAATAATTAAATTTAAATTAAAAAAAATCATCAGCCTATCAGAGCCCACAGCTGAGCAAAGTCTCTTCTCACATGGAGAAGATTTGAGCATTAATCACCGCGCTTAAGCAATACGGGTTGGCGATTTCAAACTTATAATTTGAAATTCTAGTGTGAGTTTCCTCGTGATGTTTTCCTTGATCAATCAATGGTGTCTAAATTCTGTTAGAAATAAATATGACTCGGAAAAATGACATTGTTACTTGCCAGGTTTCGAACCCGTGCCCTCATGCAAGATAGCCGGGCCTTTAACCTCTAGGCCACAACGACTATATATTAATGTTGTCTCATTGAAATTTGTTTTATAAATCGCACCTATATTTTTAGTCGCGTAATCAAAATTCATCCGATGGTTGCCAATGTTATAGGAATGATGTCAACAGCAAAAGACAATTAAAAGTAAGTGCTTGAGGCATATTATAGTTTAAAAGTGGTTTATATGTGTTACTGATGTTTGGTGATTTTTTAGGAGAGAAAAGAAATGGTCCAGACGCTTCAGGACAATCTGTCCGTTATAGAAGAACTCTATAGAGAATGTTTTTACGAAGTAAGTAGGGGATAGCTCGTTTTTATTTCCAGTTTTCCTATGGGGTTTTCAAAAAAAAAAAACAATTTCCAACAGACAGCAAGACAAGATGAGATCATCGCGTTGTTAAGAAACACGTGTCGTGGACACAGCAGGGTGATGGAGACAAGGAAACAACGGGAGAAGGTCAGGAATATAACAAAGGAAATATCGTCCAAAAACCTCCTCTAAATGGAGATATCGGTAGACAAGTATTTACCGTTTCTAGTCAATAACTATTTTTTGGTGATTTCTGACGATAAAAATTGCGAATGGGATATAATTCTATTATTTGGTAGCGGTTTTTGAACTATAAAATCCTACTTTGTTTTCATAATCACGTATGTATTGAAGAACTATTGAGATTTTGTTTTGTTTTAGGACCTAGCACTAGAGGTGGAGAACCTCAAAGTGGAGATATCTAATTACCTGAACAGTTCCACCAACAACGACTCGGTACAAACTAACATAGCGTGTGTGTGGTACTAATGACGCTAGCAGACGGTGCGTCATCATTGTGTTCTAACGACTTACGCTTGGTGTGAAGCTTCCTTACGGTAGTGGGTAATATGGAGAACGGGCTCAATAAAGCGAGTCCCTTGGGAAGATAATCATTTATTACTAGCTTTTTCGCATGTTCTAACACCACACAGCATTTTAATTGTAATAAATTCTTTGGAAGTTCACGTTGTTGATCATTAAACATTTTAAACAGCACTGTATTTCATTGGTCAGGGAGTGTGGGAGACGGGTGGGGGTGAGGGGCGCGCGGGGGAGGGGGAGGGGCCGGACGATCTGCGGGGGGTGCTGGAGCAGCTGCAGCGGCTCTGGGACGTGCTACAAGTACGGACTAGAGAATGGGAATGGGTTGAGAGTGAATGAATGGATTGAATGGTATCAGAAAAATATTTAGTTGACGGAACAGTCATCTATAGATATTGGATTGGGTGTGGGTTTTTATACGATTGTAATTGGGATTCCGTCTTTTAATTTTTGATTTTTTTCATTAAAGGCTGACTGTACGTGCGGTCTGATGGAGGAAAATATACGTCTCAAGAACATTAACGAAACGATGGCGGTGTGTATTTTTATCTCCAATTAAATATTCCTTGGCAACACTTGACACTTAAGAGAATTATTTTTTTCATAGAAACAAATGGAAGAATTGAAACAAAAAATAAGAAATTTAGAAGAGCTCTTAGAAGATAAAGAAAATTTGGAAGTTCGTCACCAGAAACAGATAAGAGAAAAAGAAGAAGAGGTAAGATGTTTAAAATATATTAAATATTAATGTTACATTCTGTAATATAATATTAAACATTTCCTTTGTTTAGTTGCAACAAATCAAAGACAAGTTCGATGATCTGAAACGTGAGAAACGAGACCAGAGCACGAGATGTAACACACTCTCCTGTCAGATCAAACAACTTGAAGGTAGCCAACTTACTGAATACAGTTACAATATTAGTCTTAAGAACTTAGTTTAAAAAATACTCATAATTAAATTTATATTAAATATAATTTTGTAAAATTAAATCCGTTCAGTCTTAGTTAATATGTGTACTGGTAAATACCAAATGCTTAAACATAATCCCTCCGGAGGGAGATAACTAAAAACCCAACATTCCGATAACAACGAAAAAAAATTATTTTTTGCAGCATTGTTAAACGAAAAATCAGAAGAATTAATAAAAGTTCAGCAACAATGCGCCACATACGAGACGACCATACAGAAGTTACAAGAAGATATCGAAAAAGCTGATAATATTATTAAAGAGGTACAAATATTGCATCTAATAATTTAGGCACAATAAGTTTCCAAGTTTGATATATCTAACTGGTCCATTTATCTATCAGAATGCGTCCGTTCGTTCGGAGGTGTGGTCCCTTAGCGGGCAGGTGTGTGCGTGGCGTCGTCAGCTAGCGGCCGGCGCCGGCCAGCTGAAGGACCTCCGACGGGAACTGAGACGAGCGAGAGAACACTGCCAACATCTCGCACAACACTACACGTTAGCACGACACGCTCTAGGAAAAACCTATATAACACTAGAAGACCCGGCGAACTTCGTATCGCCCTATAATCAAGAAATATCTGTTACATTTTTTAAATAAATATATATATTATATATACCTAAGCCTCAGAAACACGTGGTGGTTACGCTATTATTAAATAGTCGCTCATATATGACGTTTGTATTTTAATTAACATAGCGCCATCTATTGAATATTTAACTCAGTCAACAGGTAATTGTAATAATGACAAATAATTTTCTTTAATAGACAAATAATTTAAAATAAAATAATATTGTGACTATAAATTAAACTGTAAGCTATCCTATCTTTCAAGTTACATCAAAATGCACACGGAATGCAAATCAAATTCCAAATCGAGTCCATAGCGGACATACACGTGACACGAAATTTTTATATATATAAAACATTGGTTTGAGAATAGTTAAGGACAAGCTTGTACATATATTGTCATATATGTAGAATTTTTCATTTGGTGGGTCCATTTCCATCTCGTACAGCTTTCGTCTTTCTTATTTTCTGTGATTCTTGTCGGTGTTGTCGTAGTACCAACAATCCAAACCCTCTATTTGTCTTCTCTTACTTTTGTTCAACTCTGTATGTTTCTCTCAGTGAGAAGTGTGAGCTGGTGGAGGAGTTACGCTCGGAGCTGGCTGAAGCTCGAGCTGGAGGGGCGGAGCTGTGCGGGGAGGCGAGGGGGGCACTCAGAGCGGCGCGGGCTGGACTCAGGGCGCTCAGGGAGGACGCACGGTAAATATTGACAATGAACGGGAAATTATCTCTAATACATGGTCGGATTTTATGGTGGCATTTGAATATTCCAGTGAGAAAGAAGAAAAAATTAGCCAACAGGACAAAATCATACGCAGCCTTCGAGAAAATTCGACGAGGAACGTCTCGAAACAATCCAGCGTCGAGGAGGACGCGCCGTGCTGTTCGAGATACTTACAGGAGATGGAAATAAAACACAGCGACCGCGGGCGTGGAGCGAGCGAGAGGAGCTGCTCCCGGTGTACCTGCTCGGGTACGGACCGGGGGGCGAGTGTGTGTGACACGACTCATAGTACTACACCGCCCACACCACCCAGGAGGTTGTTGAGGAAGAAACCCTTGTGTATAGACAGGGTGAGTTGGTTTGAACGAAAAGACCGGTTTGAAATGTTTGTTTAATAAAAATAATGAAATTATTCAACCTTCCCTAGAGATGTCAGTGGCCACAGGTTCGCGAGGCGTCCGTTTGCACTCCATCAAGGACTCCGATGTCCTCTATTGCGAATGTAAGAGAACCGTCTGAAATTATTCATAATATAACAAGGTTATAAGAGGAAATCCTAAAAGAAGGACTTGTGATTACAGAGAGAATTGTCCACCAACTCCCTTTTAGAGCGTGTGGAGCGAACACACGAGGCTTTGGAACTGGCACACCGCCGCTGGTGCAGACACCGCGACGGACACGACCGACCGGCCGCCTCGCGCGACGTGGACTGATGACAGTCAGTTGTAACTTAAATAGTGATGCGGTCACAACTAGAGATTCCAATTTCAAATTTGGAATCCAAGTAAAGACTACAACTAGAGATTCTAATTTCAAATTTGGAATCCAAATAAAGACTACAACTAGAGATTCTAATTTCAAATTTGGAATCCAAATAAAGACTACAACTAGAGATTCCAATTTCAAATTTGGAATCCAAGTAATGACTATCTACCTCATACAGATAAAAGTATTCATTTTTTTTTTTTGATATTGACACTTTAACTGTCAGTGGATGTTCGCCGGCTGCAGTTTTTGTTCGGAAAACATTCAGATGTTTCATAAAGTTAATTTTTATTTATTACTATTACGTCGTATTGTTATATTTAATTATTTAAAATAAATGTTTTAGTACGTTTTGTGACTGTTACTTACTTCCTATATATATATAAGAGTATCATTAATTTGTTATATAATAAGAGCCACGCATATCGTATACATATGTATTTACATACACATATATAATATTACTCAACTAAATTCTAGTTCTGTTTAGAAGGGACTTTTATTGATACACAATTGCATAGAATTAATGTTTTATTAAATGACCTATGTATACTTCTTACACAATATTTAAAGCTAGGAACCAATAAGACGAGGCACTAATAGTGTTGCCATATTAAAATAAAAAAACCTCGAGAAAATTATTTTAATCAAACACATTTTAATATTCAATTATGTACCAGAATTTTCAACATACAATATTGGGAACTTGCATCCTAATTAAAAGTAAGATAAATGTACAAAGGTTTCTTCAATCACAGGATTTTTTTGGAATAAAAAGTGCATTCTAGAGATATTTCAACCCGTACTATGTACTATTGTGTGTGACTCGTTTGTTACAAAGAAATATTTAAATCTAATGATAAAACAATTCACGTATAACATTTTAGTGTTGCAAAAAATAAAGAATTTAAAACAGACAAATGTTTTAAGCAGTAACGCGACGAGTGTGTTTGTGTGGCAGGGGTTTATATGTGTGTGTGTGTTATTGAACCTATTCCGTATGACCCTTAATAAGCTGCAACAACATTACTAGCGTGTGTGTGGAATAAGGCAACAGTATGTTATTCAATGTATTGTACTATATCAAGAGAGAGCTCATAAACATTCTGTATGTTGTGTGTGTGTGTGTTACTTGGTCCAGCCTCGCCACACGGAGGCGATGGATGCCAGCGAGGCGGCCGCTGACGTCACCAGCGAGGGAGCCACTGGCGGAGACACCGACACCTCCTCCATCTGAAACGTATCACACGCACCTTATATATACATACATATTTATACAGGTACGTTTTATTTAAGACTGCGGTCAAGCACCAATAGTATACTAAAAGTCCTCACAAGCAAATTTGACGCTCCAATACTTCAGCATTGTATAAAAATACTTGTTAGGACATAGTATAATTGATTGTAACTCCTAACATTAATTATGTGGTATCCGTTTGGTGTGTGGCTATCTTGTTAATTTTAATTCTGAATATGTTGTTAATTTAGACATTATTATCAGACTAACATAGTTTTTATAAGTAAAAAAATACTAACAAGTGGGCCTATGTTGCACAAATAAAGAAATTAATATCTGGTTACCGAGCATTGCTCGGTATTTAGGAATTTTTAGTATTTATCTTGTGTATTTTTTTATTTCGTGTAGGAATTTTTAAGTGAACACGTTAAGAAGACACAAAATAATATAAATCAACAATTAATTTCTTAGTCTAATCTCAAAATATATACAAGAATTGCTCATTTAAATATATAAGATTATTATTATTATATATTATGTCCGTGTGTATGGCTATGTGTGTGTGTGTGTGTGTGTGTGTGTGTGTGTGTGTGTGTGTGTGTGTGTGTGTGTGTGTGTGTGTGTGTGTGTGTGTGTGCGTGTCACCTGTCCGTCCTCGGGCCAGGTGAGGTGTTCGGGCGGCTCGTGGTCGTCGAGGTCGTCCGGGGCGCTGGTCTCCTGCCAGGCCGAGCTCGCCGCCCACACCGACGGACCCGCCTCCACACTAACACACATCACATATGGATTATAAAATAAACACACTCTTACGTTCATAGGTTTAGGGAACCAACATGCGGCCAGGTAAAGGTGACCCGTCAAGATATCATATTTTCTATATTAAATCAGGCCCGTTACATCTTCTATTATAAGAGTACTTTGTAGTATTAAAAAAGATAGTTTGACGTTCTAAGTCTGAGGTCTGACGTCATCATATAGCCTACCAACTGTTAAGGTTGTACTCACGTGCCCAGCTCGGGGTCATCGGCCGCGGCCGCCAGCGCTATGGAGTGTAGAGCGGCGAGAGGAGCCAGCGGGGCGAGAGGCGGGGGAGGGGGAGGAGGGAGGGACGCCCGCGCAGATAACGACGCCGCACCAGCACGAGCACGGCACACACAGCTGCGCCAGCTGCGGGGGTCGCTGTACTCACTGAAAGATTAACACAGATTATAATGTGACTTCCATACCGGAAAAGTACACGGTAATAGAGCGAGATAAAGAGATCGAGGGGCCCTCAGTGTAGAAACTTTTGTGAGTAATAATTTTGTCAAAAATACAAGGTAAAAACAAAAGTTCTCACTGGAGCTTGTTCGGAAGTTAGGTATATAATGATCTGACCTGAGTGTAATAGCGTGCGGCAGCCTAACGTCCAGCGTCCAGGCCATCAGCGCCACGAGCTGCGCGGACAGACCCAGCGCCGCGCGGGCTCGCTGGGCCGCCGCGCTTGTTGACGACGTTGATGTTGCCTCCTTACTCTGAGAGACAGCTACGGACGAGAATAGGGTATTGAACATTACATGACGCCTTATACGTTTAGAATTAAATAGTTTGATTGATGTTAAGATGTCTCATCGAAGCATCTTGGAATTAAAAATTCGTCTGCTAAATTTGATACTTGTATTAAAAAAGAATAATGGAAAAGTTTTAATAATTTTTTTCCCATATAGCCGTTAAGACATTTTGTTAAAATTCGAATTAGAGATGACGAGATAAAAATTTCTCGGCATTCCATGTAGTCACGGTGCGGGTGTCGGGACCATCGCGTTGCAGAGGAGCTTCAATAGTCCCTGGGACATGCGACCCAGTTGTAGGTTTAATGGGCCCATATCTTACGCGCGTTAAACCCTCACCTCCACCATCCAAGTTCCTCTCTCTACCTAACCAAATTTGAAATTAACCTACTAGGATTGCCATCGATATACTAAGAATGAGCTATTGTTAGGTTTGCATAGAAGCAAGTATTTCAGTAGAATGTAGTGAGATTTAGCTGTTATACCTCTCACTCCCATTTCTACCGCATACAAATTTACGATGAACCTACTCTTAGTCGTTTCGTTAGAGAGCTCGTAATACTTTTTGACCTTCATTGTATGGTTTTTAGTGGTGTTGGTCTATCAAATAATCCGTAAGCTCTATTAACTCAACGAGCTTTAAAAATTGTGAAAATAAAAATATGTCTGGTCTGAAGGCTGACGCACTGATATTCTCTGTGTTTTTATATTGTTTCTCATACGTATCCATTATTATAGTCCTTTCTGGAATCGATTTAAGGATTATATTTTCGGGGGAAGCCCAGGTAGTAACAGTCATCAGATTCTAACTAAAGCAATAAACATTTCAATACTGTTCTAGTGTCTGATATAAAAGGAACTTGTTAGTCTATTAAAGGCGAATCTGTTCTACACACTAGAGTCTAGATGATACTGACTACTTGACTATCTTGGTAATGAAAATAAAGTTATGTCACAGACACTCATATAAACATGGACTCATTTAAATATAACTTCAAGAACACATCATAAATATTTCATCAAGTTTTGGTTTGAATTAATAATATCCACCATAAAGGGTGACTCTGGAGATAATGACAATATAAGACGACTATCATTGACAGGTTTTTATATTTACCATGTATATGAATATTCAATTTATCAATAACAATGTTTACAATTCCTATCAGTTGTACATAACATAATGAGTATATCCTATCGGTCTCACCCCATGCTTGTATGTGTGAGTAGTCAGCGTCTATGTCGATCCAGGGCGCCACTATATGTAGCTGGGGTCTCTTGGGAGGCTCCTCCTCTATGTCCGAACCCACAAACTCCATGTCCTCTATACTGTCACTGGAAAATTATAATATAGACATCAAATAATATGTCATATTATATGATTAACAGTCAACTGTGTAAAATGAATTCTTGCTTTTAGTTTAATTATGTAAGACTTAAATGGTTGTGAAAGGAGTATTTTTTTTTAAGATTCAGTAATTAAAAACACTTCATCTAACTAAAAATGCTTAATTACAGTGACTGATATTAGACAAGATAACCTTCCTTTGGTTATACAACTTATACTTTCTCTCATAATGTTAATATGAGAGTTTTTACCTTGAGTCATAGCTCATATATATGGGGAATATATATCTTGTTAACTGTCTAATCCTGGATCTCCGTAAAGCTGCTAATGACTGAGCCTGGTCGTTATATAAACATATCTTAGTTTGTAATTCTAATCGTTGGGCTTGAGCATGTTTTCCGAGACTCGATACTCTCTTCTGGTATCTAGGCATTTTTGATTTCAATTCACTATTGTATGCTTTTAGTTCTAACAACTCCTTCTTCCGCATCTCGATGATACTTCTTCGTTGTTCGATGGCTAGTCTTATTAAGTCAATTTTGTCTCTTGACTGTTTTGTTTCTGTTACAAGCATGTCTTTCTTCATCTTTGGTGCTAACAACATCTCACACCTTTCTAACACATACTGTCTGTTTATTTTCATACGCATCAGTTTCACTTGTTTCTCTGAATATCTGTGAAAAATAAAAAAAATTATTACATAATTTTGAAATCACCTTTTATGATTTATTGTTATAATATTCATTATTATTCACTTCTGGTTACTATAAATGTGTGACATAAATGCAACTAGCAATTTGCAAAAAAGACCACGAGAAGTCTTATGTATCATTTTCTACTCCATATGGCGAAAGTCAGCTTGTATGTTCGTTTATATAAATAAAATTAATATTTTCCTACATGCTAAGGTAATCTAAATGTCTTAGATGAGTCATAAAGATCAATTAGTTACTCAAATCTTACCTATCCGAGTAGGGAACGGAGGAATGTACAAAGTTTCCGTTTTTAACACATTCAGCACAATAAAAGTTTTTTTTCACGGTGTAACAGAGAATACACTTTGTATAATGTCCATCGCTCTCTGTGGAGGAGACCCTGAAGTCCCGGGGAGCTTCGCTTTCAGTTAGATAGCTCATCGCCATTGTTTTGCAAAATTGTTATTGAATATTACATCGCAATTGAACACAAAAACTTGTCATTGTCAGCTGGTGAAAGGAATATTTTGACAGCTGTGGCACTTAGTGACTTTGACGTTTATAAGCAGTGATTGTCACTGTCAAATAAAAATACATCGGAATCTACAATGTATGATAAATACTTCTTATTTAAAAGTAAATTATTGAAAAATAGAGTGATTAATCGATAAGCCATGAATATTGATTATGTTCTGTAAACAGAGTATGTTAAATGAATGTCAGTGAGGATGATGTGATTTTTTTTGTAAATCTTTATTATTCATATTATAATGTTATACAAATTATTGACATAGCAGAGTTCAGAATTTAATGGCAGTTCTAAAATATACATATATAAACTTGGAGTGTTTATACAACCAAGTCTCTTTAGTGATCTGGAAATAATATTACTTTTGAGAAAAATTTTAGTCTTACCAAACATCAAATTTTAAAAACTCTTTATAACAATACATTAGCTATATGGGTAAGATACTGATTTTCTTATATTGCTACGTGAATAGTATAATAAACCAATATGATATAATAATATAAGTTTGTTATTTGGAAATTTCCTGTTAATCTTGTATTTGTCTTTAACTTGTTTAAATTAAGGTAATATTTTCTTATTATCTGTTATACAAAAATTTTTATAGCTAAGAATTTTTATAGCTAACCACTTTAGAGGAAGTCTAAAATTCTTATTTCATTATATTTTATTTATATTCCAAAACAAAGACTTTACGCTCACTATTTCAGTACTTGAGGATAGTAATAATATAATTTTAATATAATAATATTTCAATTTCGCGTACATCCGTTCGTTACTGACAGGTTGTCAATGAACCTGTTGTTCATGTCTATTATAAAATAAATAAAATATTTTATAACTCAAATTACCAAAGATTTAAAGTTAAACGATATCAATTTCTATTGTGGGAGATGGTTTAATTAATTTCAGTACCATAAGTAAATGGCTATTTGTGTATGTGTGTAGATATATTAAATTTGTAATTTAAGTGTTGAAATCAACCAACACCTTTTTTTGTTTATTTAGCTGTTTAAACTTTATATACATTTAAGGTATAAATGTTTTCTCCGTCAATACTTACATTTAGTGATTTCGTTCATTAATCTTACAGCCAAGAACTACATAAAAATTTTAATCAGTGTTTTATTTCGTTTTTCTTTTTTTATGAACACAGTTTTTATATAGTATTTGGATCTTAAGCAATTTGGTAAAATATAATAAAAAAAAAAAATAGTAAACGACTAAATATTTTAGTTAATAGTTATCAACCACTAATGTTCTTAGTCATTAGTTTATTATGTTGATTTTAGAAAGTAATTAAATATACGTATCTTTATCCGTCAATATTATTTATTATGTATGGACATTAAGTATCTTTTTTAAATTCGATAAGAAATTAGTTAATAACATAAAAATCAAGACGTTTTTGAGCACTAGGTATTAGATAATATTTTTTGAAATTAGTACGTTATTTTTTTTTTCATTATGGCAATGTTGTATTCAATAAGTGATTTTTTTTTAGTCTTTGAAATATTTCTCGGATAAGGGAAGGGTATAATATATAACCGCGTACAATAAGTACTCTAGAGGTCTTTTATACCTTGGTGGTAGAGCCTAGCTGTAGTCATGTAACTACATGTCGGATATGGGCTGGCTCGACCGGGGATATACCACCTCCTCACAGAAGATCGGCGTGAAGTAGTCTTAAATGGCTGCGTTTCGTCCGACGAGTGGGAGAGCCGATTGCCCTTTTGCTATTCCCACATTATTCTGACATTTCTTTCGTCCCAATCCTCCCTATTACTAAAAAAAAGGTTGGCAACACATCCGAAACACAGATGTTGCGGATGTCTATGGGCGACGGTGACTACTGCCCACCAAGTAGGCTGTCTGGTCGTTTCTCATCTTTAACATAAAAAAATATTACAAATTACAATCTTTCAGTCTCGGAAGAAAGAAAGTAGCGAATTTAACTAAGAAACACAAAAAGCATTAAAATACCACTGTATCTTCATACGAATACAGTTCTAAAAGCAAAATTACAAACTACTGTCTAATTTTCAATAGTAGGTACTATGGCTTCAATAGAAAATAAAAATGTGTCACAGCAACGACATGAATGGAAGTAGGGCTCAATAGGTAGTTGCTCGTTTAAATATTCTAAAAACGAATTGAATTCCAGAGAAAAATACTAGGTAAATATTAAGGTTCCACGAAGATAAACTACAATTCACATATCTACATAAAGATTCGTTTCTCACTATCATGTGATCCTTTTACAAAAACTGCAATTTAGTTTTATTTTAATAGTTACTACAAATTAAAATATAACATTATTTGAATATTATTTCAAAACAAAATATCGTCGTAGGCAGTGTTACCAGCATTTTAATTAAGGCATTACCTTTGATTCCGGAAAGATCTATTTTGGAAACTTGCTTTTACTGACTGTTTGTAATTCAGAATACCACCTATGTTTAAACAACAATCGTAAATGTTCACCAGAGTAATCATATTACTTTTAATCGTCACGTGAGAAAAATTTAACATACAAAGGTACGTAGAGGATTATCAACAAGAATGAAGCAATTAACAACAGTCGTTATATTACGGACCGACTTACTGTTGGATTAAACTCAGAATGGTACTTGTAACTTTAGAATGTTAACAAAATATTGAACACTCTGTATAATTTTTTCTTAAAGTCTTAATTATGGATCATTCTCTCAGTTTTTGGTAATTAAAGACACATCAATAATTGAAAACTAAAAACCATTAAACATTCTTAATGTTTATGAGCTTTATAGATCATGAACCATTTTGTATCGATAATATAATTAACGAAGAATTCAAAAAAATACTGGTGAAGAGAAAAGTCCTAGTTTAGTCCTATTATATGACTATGCATGTTATAACTTACTAGCTTTTGCCGCGACTCCGTCCGCGTGGAATAGTGACTTCCGGCAGATTTTTGGTTCTTCCCACATAGTTCCCGTTCTTGTGGGGTTTTCGGAATGGTCGAGTTCCCGTAGAATTTTCAGGATAAAACCCATTTTATTTTAATTCACAATGAAGTACTCTTAACCAAAAACATATTTATTTGTTTATTTGAATAAAGATTAATATTATTATGTTAATACAACTTAAACAAATTATTTCGACCAAATTAGGTACCATAAAAACCGTTTTTGTGAGTTCAACGGAATCCTTCAAAGATGAAATAATTTCTCCCGTTTTATACACATTTACCACTATATCTTTGCTCCTATTGGTCGTAGCGTGATGTTATATAGCCTACAGCCTTTCTCGATAACTGGACTATCCAACACAAAAAAAAAATATTCAATTCGAACCAGTAGTTTCGGAGGTTAGCGCTTTCAAACAAACAAACAAACTCTTCAGCTTTATAATATTTGTATAGATAACTTTAGAAATATTGTACTTTATATTATTCATTTTATTGTTTCATCAGATTTGAAAGTATCCTCCTCTAGGCACTTTTTACTAGTATTTTTCCCCTAGGTACTTATACAGGGTGACTGGTGAATTACTATCGATACTTGAGGACGTGATATTTGACGAGTATATATGACAAAATAAAAATTAATATAACATAAATATTAATAAACTTTTAAGTAAAGTTAATCAAAAGTTATGTAATTAATTACGCATCGCGTGAACACCCTACAGATTAGGTATACACACACACACCCACACGCGTGCAGCGGCGTGGTGTTGTATAAGCACGCCGCCGCACGCGTCCACACTTGGAACACTTGGAACGTGTCCACACTTTATTTATTTATACGGAAATTTGGTCAAAAATTAAGTGCCTATTTTTTTTACATAATTCGAATGAGAATCATGTACCGAGTATTCTCCTTAAATATTGATAGTAATTCACCAGTCACCCTGTATATATAAGGTTTGCAACAAAAACTCTTCGTGAGCAAACGAAAAAAGTGTTGAAGCAGATCTATAAAATACCAAAAAATCAAATTAATAGACATCTATCGATAAGTTTTTATCTATAGTATTCCAGATAGAAAAATAACTCAGCTTTAATGTAAAGATGACGGTCATTCAGTACACACTACACGGCATCGCTACAACCATTAACAGTTTCAATAGCTGAGACGAAGATTTTTACTAATTATTATCATACTGTTGGAATTTAAATGTGTCACAGTAAATTCAAAGATAGTTTCCGATAGACGAAAAACTGAAATTATGTTTTGATAACAATTGTAGCTTGTTCAATAATAAAAGCAAAGACTAAACAGATACATAGTTAACGTATTATCTACTTATCAGAGCTTACTAAACAATCACATATTCGAATCAGATTTGATCTCCTAAACCTAGATAAGATCTTCATAATCACCTTACAATAGATAGTGACGTAATGAGTTGTCAGACATTGAATACACTTCCATTAAACGATGTATTAATTGTCAGCTTTTATGAAAAAATTACATATTTATAGGTCTGAACATAGATTTTTATGTATACTGCATTTTGCTCCTGGTTTTGCTCTTTTGTAAGTACTTTTTTACGAGTTTGGTAGATAGAAATAAAAAAGTTATCATGTTATATTTTTAAATAATTTCATTTCGTTTTTCCGCACATTACAGTTACTGTATTGCCAATGAAACAGGTAAAATGTTGGATATCGAGAAAGAATTAGATATCAGTAAAGCAAATTGTGTTAGTGAATATAACAAAAGCAAATAGATATCATTCACGCAGCAAGGCACCAGGAATGTAAGGCCGCAGTACAAAGGAGCTGATGTAAAATATGTATATAAGGTCATAAATAGTACTACAAACTATTTCAATTGTGGTCTCTGTTGTTGTAACGCAAACTATAGTTATTAGAAACATACATTACATGAATTTCACATTAAATTTCGTGTAAATTATGTTATTGTAGTTTAGT